AGTCCGTTCTATTCATTATATTTATGTTTCTTTCCAACAACCAATGAGCAACTCCTCTGGAAATCCAGCTGCATACTGAACATTGAGATTGCCGAAAGGCCAGTCACTTTGAGAAATTACAGGAACGTCAAGGTGTGGAATGTTAGCTAAAAAGACTGGCACCCAGACTACATTGACAACACGATTCTCAACTTCTGGGTCGCGACGGGATGTTATGAATTGGTCGCGAGTGTCAAAATAATGTATTTTTTAATGAAAATACTAGTCTGAATTTAAACTAAAAAACAAGTTAGAAAGTGTGTAGAAATGATAATGTACGTATATTTTTTTTATAATTTAACCTCTGAACTATTTTTCTTCAATCACAGTATTTTCAATATATATATAGGCCTATAGGCTATATAGAGTTAGCCTATTAGCAGAGTATTAGCAGAGCTTGTGGTCTCAAACCAGGGAGTTTAACATTCTTCATCATGGGCAAAATTGCATTATTGACAATGAAAAAGTTTCCTTGTCATATAATTGGTACATTTACTATCAATATAGCATTACAAATAGTTTTCCAGATTGCATTTTGGTAAAAATCGAATTGTCATGCGAATATTGGATAGCGACTGAGACAACCTGGTTCAATTTGGGTCACGAGGCAAAACCAGTTGAGTGCACTATATAGGCCAGTGGTCAGTGTTGCCAACTCTTCAGTAAGGAAAGTAGCTATTGGCTGTCCTAAAAGTCGGTAGAAGTCGCTAAATGACGTCATCACCATAATTGGCCATGTGCATGTAATTGTGATGGACCCTGTAGTAGAGAGGAATAACGTAGTGGGAGAGACAAAAAGGGAGTAAAAAACACCCTACATTTACATCCTGCCCTGAATGTAAACCAGGGCGGGATCAGCCAGCGGCGGCTTCCCGCATGCGCGATTCATTTGCAGTCTGGACGCGGAGGGGTGAACATCTCCTGCTCTGACTGCAGCTGGGAGGGACTGCTGCGCAAGGACTGGGCCGGCTGTGAGTGCTTTGGGACGGGGTGGGGCCTGTGAGTGCTTTGGGACGGGGTGGGGCCTGTGAGTTTTGGGACGGGGGTGGGGCCCACGGCAGCACCCGCTGCTCGCTGAGAATAGTAAAAACGATACGTGCTTTCACGTCAGAGTCTGCAAAAGTCTCTAATAACACCAGAAAAAGTTGCTAGATTTGTCGCTAGTCACTTTTTTGAAAATGTGTGGCTAGAGGGGTCTGAAAACTCGCTAAATATAGCGACAAAGTCGCTAAGTTGGCAACACTGCCAGTGGTCACCAATCAGACTGATCTTCAAGGCATTCCTAGTCGATCACCAAACATTTCTGTAGAAAAGCCAAAGATAAAGGCATAAAGGCTTGCACTCATTTTTTTCATGTTACGCTATTGGCGGCAGGTGCACTTGATTCAGATGCAGAAAGAAAAAAACATCAGTCCACTAATATAAGACTAGTAGGCGCAGTGCACTACTTCTGTGAAAATTTTTTCACTAAATGTATTTGTATTTGAGTATTTACCAACATTTGTAACTTGAGTCAGACAATTACCTGTACAAAACACTTAATCTGATAATACTTGTAGAATATAAAAATATTTGCTTGCTATACAGTACCAGTCAAAGGTTTGGACACACTTATTCATTCAAGGGTTTTTCTTTATTTTTAATATTTTCTACATTGTAGAATAATAGGGAAGACATCAACACTATGAAATAACACATATGGAATCTTGTAGTAACCAAAAAAGTGTTTTTGAGATTCTTCAAATAGCCACCCTTTGCCTTGATGACAGCTTTGCACACTCTTGGCATTCTCTCAACCAGCTTCACCTGGAATGTTTTTCCAACAGTCTTGAATGATTTCCCACATATGCTGAGCACTTGTTGGCTGCTTTTCCTTCACTCTGCCGTCCGACTCATCCCAAACCATCTCAATTGGGTTGAGGTTGGGGGATTGTGGAGGCCAGGTCATCTGATGCAGCACCCATCACTCTCCTTCTTGGTCAAATAGCCCTTACACAGCCTGGAGGGGTGTTGGGTCATTGTCCTGTTGAAAAACAAATGATAGTCCCACTAAGCCCAAACCAGATGGGATGGCGTAACACTGCAGAATGCTGTGGTAGCCATGCTGGTTAAGTGTGCCTTGAATTCAAAATAAATCACAGACAGTGTCACCAGCAAAGCACCCCAACACCATAACACCTCCTCCTCCATGCTTTACGGTGGGAACTACACATGCGGAGATCATCCATTCACCCACACTGCGTCTCACAAAGACACGGCGGTTGGAACCAAAAATCTCAAATTTGGACTCCAGACCAAAGGACAAATATCCACCGGTCTAATGTCCATTGCTTGTGTTTCTTGGCCCAAGCAGGTCTCTTCTTTTTATTGGTGTCCTTTAGTAGTGGTTTCTTTGCAGCAATTCGACCATGAAGACCTGATTCACACAGTCCCCTCTGAACAGTTGATGTTGAGATGTGTCTGTGACTTGAACTCTGTGAAGCATTTATTTGGGCTGCAATTTCTGAGGGTGGTAACTCTAATGAACTTATCCTCTGCAGCAGAGGTAACTCTGGGTCTTCCATTCCTGTGGTGGTCCTCATGAGAGCCAGTTTCATCATAGCGCTTGATGGTTTTTGCGACTGCACTTTAAGAAACTTTCAAAGTTCTTGAAATGTCCTGTATTGACTGACCTTCATGTCTTAAAGTAATGATGGACTGTCGTTTCTCTTTGCTTATTTAAGCTGTTCTTGCCATAATATAGACTTGGTCTTTTACCAAATAGGGCTATCTTCTGTGTACCACCCCTACCTTGTCACAACACAACTGATTGGCTCAAACGCATTAAGAAGGAAAGAAATTCCACAAATTAACTTTTAAGAAGGCACACCTGTTAATTGAAATGTATTCCATGTGACTACCTCATGAAGCAGGTTGAGAGAATGCCAAGAGTGTGCAAAGCTGTCATCAAGGCAAAGGGTGGCTATTTGAAGAATCTCATATATAAAATATATTTTGATTTGTTTAACACTTTTTTGGTTACTACATGATTCCATATGTGTTATTTCATAGTTCTGATGTCTTCACTATTATTCTACAATGTACAAAATAGCACAAATAAAGAAAAACCCTTGAATGAGTAGGTGTGTCCAAACTTTTGACTGGTACTGTATGTTTTCCAGTTTCTTGAAATACTTTGCAAATGCAACTTATTTCTATTCATTACTTTTACATGTTAGTAGATTCTCTTATCCAGAGCAACTTACATTAGTGAGTACATACATTTTCCCCGTGGGAATCGAACCCACAACCCTAGCGTTGCAAGCATCATGCTCTACCAACTGAGCCACATCATCACAAACCGCTTGAAATCAAATTGTATTTGTCACATACACGTGTTTAGTAGATGTTATTGCGGGTGTAGCGAAATGCTTGTGCTTCTAGCTCCGACAGTGCAGTAATATCTAACAAGTAATATCTAACAATTTCACAACATATACCCAATACACACAAATCTAGTAAGGAATGGAATTAAGAATATTTACATGGACGAGCAATGACAGAGCGGCATTGACTAAAATACAGTAGAATATTATAGATTACAGTATGTACATATGAGATGAGTAATGCAAGATATGTAAACATTTCTTAAAGTGGCCAGTGATTTCAATAGGCAGCAGCAGCCTCTAATGTGCTAGTGATGGCTATTAAACAGTCTGATGGCCTTGAGATAGTTTTTGAGTTTTTCAGTCTCTCGGTCCCAGCTTTGATGCTCCTGTACTGACCTCGCCTTCTGGATGATAGTGGGGTTTGTATTATTAGAAGCTCGTTGTGTCTATTTTAATATCGAGGAGTAGGCCTATTTCACATTCGCTGGTCATAGGAACAACATGAATTTGTGCCGGAGGCAGATGCAGTGCGACTCGAATTTCGCCATCAGGTGACCGGTCAGTCTCACCGGAGGAAAGGAAGGACAGAGCAGCGACCGCTAGAGGCGGACCCTCTGCTGCTCTCTCCCTCCCTCCGCTGAGACTAATAAATACCATGTTCAGAACAACTGGGAACTCGGATATCTCCGACTTCAGTGTGTTCATGAAAACTGGGAACTCGGAAAAAAACGGCACCCCTCCGCTGAGACTAATAAATACCATGTTCAGAACAACTGGGAACTCGGATATCTCCGACTTCAGTGTGTTCATGAAAACTGGGAACTCGGAAAAAAACGGCACCCGACTGGGGAAAATCGTTTTGCACGGTCATCCAACGCGGAAACTCAGGCATATTTCGAGAGCTCCGACACTCCGACCTGAAGTTCACTGACGTCATGATTCGACAAAAAAAAATCTGAGTTCCCGTTTGTCTTGAAAGCACCAACACCATCATAATATGACGTTATGCACTATCAGTCCAGTAAAATAAAAAAGCTAATTATTAGCAAATTATTTCAATTTATGCTCAGCTGTGCCTCGCAAGTGCTACACCAACTGATCTATTTTGTTATCAAAGCTCATTCCTACAGAATTGTTTTTATTAGGTTAATGTTACATTTTTTAATTCATGTTTGAAAATATTCTGAGCGGTAGATCTCGGCTTGACTGCGAAAGTGATCTTGACTCAGAAAAGGTTGGTGACCACTGATACAGGCCTATATATTTAATTTTTATTTTATTTTATTTTTTTAAACATTGCCTACCAACATTATTGTACATTTTGTTTTCTAAAGCGAAATGGGTGTCTCTGTAACAGGTCTAGCGGAATTAACTTGTGGAATGTGTTGTGTTCAACCATTAACGGACAATGGCTCCCAGAATGCTTTGAGAAGGAAGAAAACTGGGGCGTATTCATTACACCGATTGTGTTGCAAAACGTTTCTTATACGGAAGCGAACGGAACGAAACGGGGAGGGATTTACCTGAATTTGTTCAATAGAAACTCTCGTTTTAGTTGCAAAACTGTTTGGACTAATGATTACACCCCTGGCTCCTTGATCCAACGCTGGACGGGAATTTTCATTGCTTCATTTTTGTTGTTTGATCACTTGTCGCATAGGAAGCATTACCTTCTACAGTGAAACGTATGTAGCCAATACAATTGTATCACTTTCCTCTGGAACTACGTAGCAGCAGATACAAAGTCAAACTTTTTTTGAACCACGGCTCGCATTGGGCTCGATTTCGATCGAGGATGGGGTAAGGATTGATCGAGCGGTTTGATGGCGTATTTTGTCGATTATCTTTCACAGGGAAAGGAAATTGTTATTGTTGATGTACTCCGGTCAGGTTACATAGCCTACAGTATGTGAAACTGGCAGATTACATTGTTGCTCGGTCAACTAGGTGCTATAAAAACGTTATAAAATTGGAAGCCTATGTTGCCTATAATTATAACTTTCATTAACTTTCCGAAAATCCACGACATGTGTTTTGCTAACTGTAATGAAATACATTATAGACATATACGTTGTACAAAAATATTTCTAACTTTAATGCAACATTCAAACTTCTGAATATGGCTGTCTCTCCAAGACATCAAAGCTTAGATGTAAACATACACCTACCTCTCTAAACATTCCCCTCCACTACTGAACATAACACCTGCCATTCACACTCCTGACTATTTCCTGTTACTAGGTGAAGAGGTTCTACACCTGTTCAGTCACTGTGCTGGAATCCTATTGAAACCTAAAACCTCTGCCTCTGTGTTGAATACAGTACAGGACATGACATTAGAAAGACAGATCCTTGTGGATTGTGCCTCTCCTATAATTATTCAGGTCAATGTGTTTTCTCCAAGAACACAGTAGCATTCCATACATTCTCTCTTTTTTTCATGGATAATGTCCTGTCTCATGATCATCATGGACCTTGCTAGAAGACCTGACACTTCTCAGATGGCACTTGAACATGTGACATTGTATAGCAGTGTGTGTGTGGAAAACCAGTCATTAGGGAGGCTGTATTTAGTATTTTCCAGTCTGTCCCCTGCAGAACCCCTGATGGGAGCAGGTCACATGATTATAATTAGGCCTAGCTAACTGTGCTGAGACTCACACACACACACACACACACACACACACACACACACACACACTCAAGCACACCCCTCACATCATTCTTACCCAGCCTAAGGATTTAGACTCTCGCCATGAGGATTCGCCGCCACAGTCCACACACGCAGAGAGAGAGAGAGAGAAAGTGACCGAGGGAGAGAGAGAGACCGAGAGAGTGACAGTGAGAGAGAGACTGTGTGTGAGAGAGAGGGAGAGAGAGACATGCAGAAGTACAAACATATACTTAGTGTATAAGGCAAAACCCCAAACAATGCATGCAGAGCAGAATTAGGACTATAGCCACTAGTTATCAAAATCCAGAAAAGAGCTGTTAAATACCCACACTTTCCACCACAAAGCCCTCAACTACAGAGAGATAAACCTAGAGAAGCGTCCGCTCAGCCAGCTGGTTCTGGGACTCTGTTCACAAACACAAACAGACCCCACAGAACCCCAGGACAGAAACACATGAGACCCAAACAAATTATGAGAAAGCACAAAGATCACTCTTTGACACACTGGAAGGAATCAACCAAAAACAGAGCAAATTGGAATGCTATCTGGACCTAAACAGAGAGTACACAGTTGCAGAATACCTGACCACCTGACTGACCCCAAAATTAAGAAAATCCTTGACTATGTACAGCAGTGGAGGCTCCTCAGAGGAGGAAGGGGAGGATCATCCTCCTCAGTTAATTTCAGAAAAATTAAATTCTGAAACATTACAAATGTTATCCTTTTTAGATAAAACTATACTAAGTATATTCACATCACCAAATAATTGACTAAAACACACTGCAATAAAGGTCTACAGTAGACTCGACAGTACTCTGTAGGGTAGCACCATGGTGTAGCCGGAGGACAGCTAGTTTCTGTCCTCCTCTGGGTACATTGACTTCAATACAAAACCTAGGAGGCTCGTGGTTCTCACCCCCTTCCATAGACGTACACAGTAATTATGACAATTTACGGAGGACGTCCTCCAACCTATCAGAGCTCTTGCAGCATGAACTGACATGTTGTCCACCCAATCAAAGGATCAGAGAATGAATCTAGAACTGAAAGCATAAGCTACAGCTAGCTAGCACTGCAGTGCATAACATGTGGTGAGTAGTTGACTCAAAGAGAGGGAAAGACCATAGTTGGAACAGTTTTGAAGAGAGAGATTACAGATTATCTTTCACTTTCTTAGCTAGCGAATGCAGCTAGCTAGTTTAGCCTCCTCAAACAGAGAGGAATGCTATGTTAGCTAGCTGGCTATGGCTATCCAACACTGGAACTCTTCCAAGTCAAGGTAAGCTTTTGGTTTTATTAATTTATTGTCACCGGGGCCCGCCGGTGTAACTGCTAAACTGCTTGCTAACTGTACACTGTACTGCTTGATTGTAGCGGGTTTACTAATGTGTTAGTTCTAGTAGCTATGTTGACTATGATGTTAGCTAATATGGTGACAACGATGTAGGCTGTGTGTAGCGGTTGGCGGTTATGATATGAAAGTTTGGCTTGGAAACGTTTTTTCGCCTTGTCACAGACAGCTGATGTATTGTGCACTGAAGTCCACAAGTGAAGGGAAAAGGTGAGAGGAGGAGAGCGCGTAGATGCGAGAAGTAATTATCCAACGATCAAAGGGATTATTATATTTGTATGTGGCTGCTATGAAAGTGAGCTGTGTTTGCGTGTGGTCAGGGGTGTATTCATTCCGCCGATTCTGTTGAAAAAACGTTTCTTATACGGAAGCAAACGGAACGAAACGGGGATAAATGGGGACCTGAATTTGTCCAATAGAAACTCTAATTTGCAACTGTTGGACTAATGATTACACCGTAGTTCAGCTAGATGAAGGCAAGATTGTGCAAGGCGGTACTGGTACCTTTATTACTAAACATTTTCTCGACATGTGCACCTGCGTTGTAAACGTTCATTCATAGGCTAGGTTTAGCAACCTCATGACGGGTATAGGGACAATTTGAGTATCATGTAGTAGCCTAAACTTGTCAATGTTACATTGAGCTGGGTGAATGGAATATGAATGACAGTCATCCAATATGCTGTACAGTAATAGAAATAAGGCCGTGCTCATGACATTTTTTTATCATCTTAAACGGCACCGACCGCCACTGATGTACAGACTCAGTGAGCATAGCCTTGCTATTGAGAGAGGCCGCCATAGGCAGACCTGGCTCTCGAGAGAAGACGGGCTATGTGCCCACTGGCCACAACATGAGGTGGAAACTGAGCTCCTCAGTTTCCTAACCTCCTGCCAAATGTATGACCATATTAGAGACACATATTTCCCACAGAACCCACAAAGAACTTGAAAACAAATCAAACATTGATAAACTCCCATATCTGTTAAGCGAAATACAGCAGTTTGCAATCACAGCAGCAAGATTTGTGGCCCTGTTGCCATGAGAAAAGGGCAACCAGTGGAGCTCAAACAACATTGTAAATACAACCTATATTTATCTGTTTATTTATTTCCCCTTTCATACTTCAACTATTTGCACATAGCCAATAATATAACATTTGAAATATCTATATTCTTTTAAAACTTTTGTAAGGGTAATGTTTACTGATTGTTTATTTCCCTTTTGTTTGTCTATTCCATTTGCTTTGGCAACGTAAACATATGTTTCCCCTGCCAATAAAGCCTTTTGAATTGAGAGTGAGTGAGAGAGAGAGAGACAGTGAGAGAGAGAGAGCGAACAAGAGAAAGGAAGAGCAGGGAGATGGAGATATACTGTAGCTAGCTCCTGTTAATCAGTAAACAGTGTGTCAAGGCCCCTGCCATGTGGTCATGAAGGGAGAATGCTGAACATTTACTAACTAGTTACGGTGTACTGAGGCTTTCATCAATTGGTCTGGACCAGGCCAACACAGTGTGTATTTACCGACGGTGTTAAATCAGGTTTTCTGGACATAACAAAAGGTGTCCCACAGGGATCCATTATTGGTCCGTTTCTTTTCACTATTTACATTAACAATATTGGTCTATCTGTACAAAAAAAAAAAAATGTCACCTGTATGCAGATGAAACTGTGGTGTTTGCTATTGCCTCCGCAGCTGACCAGGCTCTGTCAGAGCTTCAGTTTGCCTTTAGTGCCCAGCAGAAAGCCTTTGTTGAACTGAAATGGGTACTTAACACACGTAAAACCAAGTATATGTTATTTTTCAAATTAGGTAAAAATGTATCTGATGATTTATGCATATATGTACTTTGGGTGGTGCCCACGTTGACCGTGTCCCACTTATAAATATCTGTATTGATGAAAAGCTATCTTTCAAAAACCATGTTGATGAGGTTGTTAAGAAATAAATAATTAAAATGGGCTTCTATAGGAACAGGTCCTGTCTTTCGTTAAATAGCAGAAAACAAATCATTCGGTCAACATTCATGCTGGTTATTGACTATGGTGATATAGTCTATATGAATGCAGCTGCCACTGTATTGAAGTCATTGGAGGCAGTTTATTATAACGCATTGCGCTTTATTACGGGTTCAGTACACATCATTGCATTTTGTATCAGAAAGTAGGCTGGCCCTCTTTGAAGTCTCGTAGATCGATGCATTGCGCTCTTCTTGTCTATAAAGCCCTCTTAAATAAACTTCTGCCATACCTTACTTACATTTTACATTTTAGTCATTTAGCAGACGCTCTTGTCCAGAGCGACTTACAGTTAGTGAGTGCATACATTTTCATACTGGCCCCCCGTGGGAAACGAACCCACAACCCTGGCGTTGCAAGCGCCACGCTCTACCAACTGAGCTACAGGGGACTACTTCATTGACACCCTTCAGATATATAAGTTACCAGACCCGGACTCAGGGATGGCTAACACTAGAGATCCCTTCAATCTCCACCTAGTTAGGTCAATCTGCTTTTAGTTGTTTTGCGCTTCTCATGTAGAACAAAACTCCTTAAAGGTGAATGTTTCATGTGATTTGTGTTTTGTTTTTCATGTATTGTGTAATTGATGTTTATTGATGTGTTCATGCAGGGCTCATCTGCAAACAAAATACCTTGGTCTCAGCACGACTCCTTGCTTAAATAAAGGTTCAATTAGCAAAAATAATAATGACCGTCACTTTAGTCACCACATCACTGCAGGCTCTGGCATGTCAGGTTGATAATAAAATAGAGTGATGAGGACTGACTTAGTGTTTTGTTTTGTACTGACTTCGCCCACTGAGATACTTGGCTGACTTGCTCGTCTAGTTCTTGTTCTGACTAACACATGTATTTCATGCTCCACACCCCTTCCCTGTCCCTCCCCTCCTACGCTGTCCTCCCAGGCCCTGTTCCCTACAGAGTGCACTACTTTAAATGGGCCCTGGTCAAAAGGTAGTGTACCATATAGGCAGTAGGGTTGCACTTTGGGACACAACCTCAGTGATCTGTTATGGGCAGAGCATGGTGTTGTTTCTTAGCCTCGCGAGCCACCCTGATCTCGTGAGCTTACATGAATGGTTCGCTGCACAGATAGCACAGCGGTAATCCGTCTGCTATTTACAAGGCTAGTAGTTTCCTGATGTGCTGTACTGTAGGAAGTATCTGTGTCTGCCTGGGTACTTAACAGGTGAGCCAGAGGCTATAGGGACAGAGAAGGCTATGGGAACTCTGTCTTTAGGACCCTGCTGTGTGTACTAAAGACACACACACACACACACACACACACACACACACACACACACACACACACACACACGCAGCCAGTGGGTTACTTTTCTCTTACGGTACAGTAGCGCACACTAGAGTAGAGTACAGTATAAAGTATAAAGTACTGTACTGAACACATTTAATTTACTGTACTGAACTCTACTCTACTGTACTGAACACATTTAATTTACTGTACTGAACTCTACTGTGCTGTACTGTGATGTCCAAACTTGTGAAACATAGACATCTATGATTGGTTCAGATTTGGTCTGGTCTTGTTTGGGGGCAGAGTTCATTAGAAAAATAGCCAGTGTGTAGAATAATTCCCAAATATGCAAAATAAGGATATTGCATATTTCTACCTTTTTGTGTACCTTTTCAGGACACATCACCATGAAGAGAATAATATTAATATCCATAATTATGCATTTTTGTGTAGTACAGATCAGGGACCCATGATGTAATTCCGTTACCATAATCCCGTTACCGGATGTAAATCCACTTCACCTAACAATAAAACATTTTATAACTCAAGGTATCATGTCATAGCTGACACCCCCATTCTTTCTGCAGACATCTTTGAATCTTAATTCACAGCAGATATTTAACAGAGTTTTTGGAAAACGTGGTCGCAAAAGGAACTAAATAGGATCTGTCTTTCTAATGTCATTTTACATGTGACATAACCCTTTCTACATCCTTTTTAAGCATGACATTTGCTTATGAAACATCTATGTAGGCCTTAAAATGTGTTTTTGAAGGCTTCATTAAGTTACATTTACGTTATGCAATTTAGTGCACAGGGACAGTGGCTCATTTACATGTTTTAGTGATACAGCATATGATATCTCAATTATGCTAAGCCTATGTCTCCCAGTCCCACGGAGTCGTGGCTGAATGACAACAATGACAACATTCAGCTAGCAGGCTATACGCTACATCGGCAGGACAGAACGGCAGACTCGGGTAAGACGAGGGGTGGCGGTCTCTGTATTTTTGTAAACAACAGCTGGTGCACAAAATCAAATACTAAGTCTCAAGGTTTTGCTCGCCTGAGGTAGAGTATCTTATGATAAGCTGTAGACCACACTATTTACCAAGAGAGTTTTCATCTATACTTTTCATAGCTGTCTATTTACCACCACAAACCAATGCTGGCATTAAGATTGCACTGAATGAGTTGTACAAGGCCATTAATCAACAGGAAAACGCTCATCCAGATGCAGCGCTCCTAGTGGCCGGGGACTTTAATGCAGGGAAACTTAAATCCGTTCTACCTCATTTCTACCAGCATGTTAAATGTGCAACCAGAGGGGAAAAAACTCTAGACCACCTTTACTCCACACACAGAGACGCATACAAAGCTCTCCCTCGCCCTCCATTTGGCAAATCTGACCATAACTCTATCCTCCTGATTCCTGCTTATAAGCAAAAACTGAAGCAGGAAGCACCAGTGACTCGGCTAATAAAAAAGTGGTCAGATGACGCAGATGCTAAGCTACAGGACTGTTTTGCTAGCACAGACTGGAACATGTTCAGGGATTCTTCAGACAGCATTGAGGAGTACACCACATCAGTCACTGGCTTCATCAATAAGTGCATCGATGATGTCGTCCCCACAGTGACCGTACGTACATACCCCAACCAGAAGCCATGGATTACAGGAAACATCCGCACTGAGCTAAAGGGTAGAGCTGCCGCTTTCAAGGAACGGGACTCTAACCCGGACGCTTATAAGAAATCCCGCTATGACCTCCGACGAACCATCAAACAGGCAAAGAGTCAATACAGGTCTAAGATTGAATCATACTACACTGGCTCTGACGCTCGTCGGATGTGGCAGGGCTTGAAAACTATTACAGACTACAAAGGGAAGCACAGCCGCGAGCTGCCCAGTGACACAAGCCTACCAGACGAGCTAAACCACTTCTATGCTCGCTTCGAGGCAAGCAACACTGAAGCATGCATGAGAGCACCAGCTGTTCCGGACGGACTATGTGATCACGCTCTCCGTAGCCGATGTGAGTAAGACTTTTAAGCAGGTCAACATTCACAAGGCCGCAGGGCCAGACGGATTACCAGGACGTGTACTCCGAGCATGTGCTGACCAACTGGCAAGTGTCTTCACTGACATTTTCAACATGTCCCTGACTGAGTCTGTAATACCAACATGTTTCAAGCAGACCACCATAGTCCCCGTGCCCAAGAACTCTAAGATAACCTGCCTAAATGACTACCGACCCGTGGCACTGACGTCTGTAGCCATGAAGTGCTTTGAAAGACTGGTCATGGCTCACATCAACAGCATAATCCCAGAAACCCTAGACCCACTCCAATTTGCATACCGCCCCAACAGATCCACAGATGATGCAATCTCTATCGCACTCCACACTGCCCTTTCCCACCTGGACAAGAGGAACACCTACGTGAGAATGCTATTCATTGACTACAGCTCAGCATTCAACACCATAGTGCCCTCAAAGCTCATCACTAAGCTAAGGATCCTGGGACTAAACACCTCCCTCTGCAACTGGATCCTGGACTTCCTGACGGGCCGCCCCCAGGTGGTAAGGGTAGGTAACAACACATCTGCCACACTGATCCTCAACACGGGGGCCCCTCAGGGGTGCGTGCTCAGTCCCCTCCTGTACTCTCTGTTCACCCATGACTGCATGGCCAGGCACGACTCCAACACCATCATTAAGTTTGCCGACGACACAACAGTGGTAGGCCTGATCACCGACAACGATGAGACAGCCTATAGGGAGGAGGTCAGAGATCTGGCCGTGTGGTGCCAGGACAACAACCTCTCCCTCAACGTGACCAAGACAAAGGAGATGATTGTGGACTACAGGAAAAAAAAGAGGACTGAGCACGCCCCCACTCTCATCGACGGGGCTGTAGTGGAACAGGTTGAGAGCTTCAAGTTCCTTGGTGTCCACATCACCAACAAACTATCATGGTCCAAACACACCAAGACAGTCGTGAAGAGGGCACGACAAAGCCTATTCCCCCTCAGGAGACTAAAAAGATTTGGCATGGGTCCTCAGATCCTCAAAAAATTCTACAGCTGCACCATCGAGAGCATCCTGACTGGTTGCATCACCGCCTGGTATGGCAACTGCTTGGCCTCTGACCGCAAGGCACTACAGAGGGTAGTGCGTACGGCCCAGTACATCACTGGGGCAAAGCTCCCTGCCATCCAGGACCTCTATACCAGGCGGTGTCAGAGGAAGGCCCTCAAAATTGTCAAAGACTCCAGTCACCCTAGTCATAGACTGTTCTCTCTGCTACCGCACGGCAAGCGGTACCGGAGTGCCAAGTCTAGGTCCAAAAGACTTCTCAACAGCTTCTACCCCCAAGCCATAAGACTCCTGAACAGCTAATCATGGCTACCCGGACTATTTGCACTGCCCCCCCACCCCATCCCTTTTACGCTGCTGCTACTCTGTTAAGTATTTATGCATAGTCACTTTAACTCTACCCACATGTACATATTACCTCAACTAGCCGGTGCCCCCGCACATTGACTATGCAACGGTACCCCCCTGTATATATAGCCTCCCTACTGTCACTTTATTCTATTGTATATATAGCCTCCCTACCGTCACTTTATTTTTTACTTCTGCTCTTTTTTTCTCAACACTTTTTTGTTGTTGTTTTATTCTTACTTTTTTGTTTAAAATAAATGCACTGTTGGTTAAGGGCTGTAAGTAAGCATTTCACTGTAATGTCTGCACCTGTTGTATTCGGCGCATGTGACCAATAAAATTTGATTTGATTTGATTTGATTTAAAATGTGTTTTTGAAGGCTTCATTAAGTTACATTTACGTTATGCAATTTAGTGCACAGGGACAGTGCACAATATCCCTAAGGTATGCTATGGAGCGAAGTTAGTAGAAGTAGTTTTCCCATGTCCTGCTCTGTCTTGTGTGAATGCTCTCTCTTTCCTGTCATGTGTCTCGTCTATATGCCTGTGGTGCTGTCAGTCTGTCAAACCAGTTTACTCCTATTTACCTTTACTTTTCACACCACTGGTGTTTTTGTTTCTGTTTTGTAACATAAAAACGTCTTTGTCAGGATTCATCACCATCTGATCCTCTCTTCCTGTCAGGGGTGGTTTTTATACAGCCTTTTGATCGTTCCAAGAAATCAACAGTAGCAACAAGTTTCTCCCAACCAAGGTGAGTTGATCTCTCTGTATCCTGATGAACTGCCCTTTCTGAATATTCTGTATAATGTAAAGAAGTCTAAAAATGTCAAATTTACAGCAGGCCACAACAAAACTAAACTGTCTTTACATGAAACCAGACTGCCAGGACAGTGGTATTGTGACCTGGACATGTTTCTTCTCATTAGCTTTACAAGTTAGCATTTAAATTCTCTCTCTCTCTCTCTCTCTCTCTCTCTCTCTCTCTCTCTCTCTCTCTCTCTCTCTCTCTCTCTCTCTCTCTCTCTCTCTCTCCTCTCTCTCTCTCTCTCTCTCTCTCTCCTCTCTCTCTCTCTCTGTCTGTCGGTCTGTCTGTCTGTCTGTCTGGTCTGTCTGTTGTCTGTCTGTCTGTCTGTCTGTCTGTCTGTCTGTCTGTCTGTCTGGTCTGTCTCTCTGTCTCTCTGTCTCTCTGTCTCTCTGTCTCTCTGTCTCTCTCTGTTTCTCTCTTCTTTCTTTCTCTCTCTTTAACTTCCAGATAGCACATGGATGACCTGGATGCTGCCAGAGGACTCTCTCCCTGGCCCACTCCTCCTCATGAGGACTCTGTGTCCCTGTCCACGTCCTCCACAGACACCATCAACTTAGAAGGTACGTCACCTGGTTGCTTGCTGTATAATAGGGGGGGTTTCTGAGCTAAAGCCTAGAGCTTATGCAAGACTCCAGGTCTCAAATCACTTGAGTGTGGTTCACCAAACCACCTTCATTCCATTTTGGCCGTTGCCCATTTCATTGTTGATGCCCAACAGATGACCAAGTGTTATTAAGGCTGTGTGTGTGTGTTATTGTTATGTCTGGTAGAGATGCCCATAACTCTGTGTATTATTGTGTGTGTGTGTGTATAGATGGCCACTACTCTGCCCTGCGAGCGGAGCTGGCGGCTGATGCTCAGGACTTGGAGGGAGAGTCCTGGAGTGTTGCTGTGGACCAGCAGTATGTAAACAGCCTCCACCAAGATGCTGTAAAGAGGCAAGATGTAATCTACGGTAAGAAAATAGCTCAATAGTAAGAACATACAGTACTGGAGCTGGATAGCAGGGTGGAGGATGTTATCTGCAAAAGGCCTGTGTGGAGGGGGATGAGACTGAGGATGATGATGATAATGGGCGCCTTCGACATTGTAACCGACTTAAACGAATAGTTGAGACTGACTGATCTACAAATCATCTTGCATCACAAGTAACTACTCAATAATATTTCTAGATCAGTCAGTCAGTCACAAGATGCATCACGGCTTTGATGCTCTCATGGTGAAGATGATGTTGATGATAATTATATATTACAATCCTAATGATGTTGATGATGACTATATATAACAGTAGTGATGATGACTATATATAACAGTAGTGATGATGACTATATATAACAGTAGTGATGATGACTATATATAACAGTAGTGATGATGACTATATATAACAGTAGTGATGATGACTATATATAACAGTAGTGATGATGACTATATATAACAGTAGTGATGATGACTATATATAACAGTAGTGATGATGTGAGGACACTGTCCCCCCCAGAGTTGATCCAGACAGAGGTTCATCATGTGCGGACCCTGAAACTGCTGCTGAGTGTTTACCAGTATGAGCTGAGACAGAGCCTACAAATGGAGGAGACTAGGCTAGAGAGGATGTTCCCTCAGGTATCTCCGTCTCCGTCTATAGTCTCTGTGTTTGATCTCCTGTTTAAAACCAATAGATGTGTGTAATCGCTCTTTCACTCTTCCATCAGCTGGACAACCTGCTGCACGTCCACCAACGCTTCCTGTGGTGTCTCAGGGACTGCCGGGACAGACACAACCACCACACTGTCACACAGCTGGGAGATATACTCATCAACCAGGTAGCATGTCTCTGTCTCTCTGTCTCTCTGTCTCTGTCTCTCTCTCTGTCTCTCTCTTTGTCTCTCTCTCTGTCTCTGTCTCTGTCTCTCTCTCTGTCTCTCTCTCTGTCTCTCTCTCTGTCTCTCTCGCTCTGTCTCTGTCTCTCTCTCTGTCTCTCTCTCTGTCTCTCTCTCTCTGTCTCTCTGTCTCTGTCTCTCTGTCTCTCTCTGTCTCTGTCTCTGTCTCTGTCTCTCTGTCTCTCTCTTTGTCTCTCTCTCTGTCTCTGTCTCTCTCTCTCAGTCTCTGTCTCTCTCTCTCTCTCTCTCTCTGTCTGTCTCTGTCTCTGTCTCGCTCTCTCTCTCTGTCTGTCTCTGTCTCTCTATCTCTCTGTCTCTTGTCTGTGTGCTGAGCTAGCTAACCACTCAGGAGGCCTGTGGTATGGCAGGTATGACATGGTGGGGGTGTGGCCCTGTCCTCACCAGCATAAATGGTTCCTTTTGATTAAACGTTCTAAGGAAATCATGACTCTCTGTACTTTCCCTTTGTCATACCTGATCAGTATGTTGTTGTTTACCTCATCAGAATGTTGTTTCCCTGATGATAATGTTGTTTTGTAGTTTTCAGGTGAGATGGGGGAGAGGATGAAGGAGAGTTATGGAGTGTTCTGTAGTCACCACACAGACGCTGTCAGCTTCTACAAGGAACAGCTACAGAACAACAAGAAGTTCCAGAACTTAATGACGAAAATCGGTCGGTTGTCCGTCGTTCGGCGGTTAGGAGTCCCAGAATGCATCCTGTTGGTGACTCAGCGGATCACAAAGTACCCTGTCCTGGTGGAACGCATTCTACTGAACACTGTTGGTAACTAACTGTCTCAACAAGCATTATACTACTCAAATCATACAGTTAGACTGTATCACTGAAGGTCACTAGGTGCACTTGATTCGCTTGCCTGGCATGCTAGGTGGGTAGAATCTGTTGGGCATTTGACCCAGAGTCTGCAGTGTGACTTGATTGATGGATTTATTTGACAGTTTCAAAAATACAATTCCAGCCACAATTAAATTCCAGCCAAGTGGATACATTGCATTTAAAGGCCCAATGCAGCTGTTTTTATCTCAATATCAAATCATTTCTGGGTAACAATGAAGTACCTTACTGTAATAGTTTTTATTTGTTTATTTGTTTTTTGTTGGGGGGGGGGGGGTTACAGGTACATTATCCATTTAAATGTTTAAGTTGATAAAACATCAACCTGTAGGCTGCCACTCAAAAGAAGAAGAACATAAACAGGAAGAAATACACAGAGTTTAGTTTAAGTAATAATACATTCAGTATAAACAGGAAGAAATACACAGAGTTTAAGTAATAATACATTCAGTATAAACAGGAAGAAATACACAGAGTTTAAGTAATAATACATTCAGTATAAACAGGAAGAAATACACAGAGTATAAGTAATAATACATTCAGTATAAACAGGAAGAAATACACAGAGTTAAGTAATAATACATTCAGTATAAACAGGAAAATATAACCAAAAAGAAGTGAGCCTCCAAACACCCCACCCCCAAATCCCAAATCCCCCACCCCCAAACCCCCCACCCCCACCCAGCCAACATGTCTCCATCCAACCTCCCATCCCATTTCTGACCTAAGTTGTAAATATAGGAAAAAGGAGTTGCCTGGTAATGTGTATGTTTCTTTCAAATCTTGGGATGTTCTCAAACTATTACTGTTCGTGATATCGGCAAGCGTACAGATTCCACATTTGGACCATTGGGGGTATGCAAAAGGCCTCCCTCAAGATCGCAAGGCATTATTGTGAAATATAGAGTATGGGCATGCCATTTTGATTCCCAGTTACACAGTTTTGAAATTATGCGGCCAAAAAAAATTGTGTGAGCAATAATAGTACCAAAGCGTAGTTGACATTGTTTAAGGGATATATCAGTGAAGACCACGTCTTCCAGGGTAATAGGAGACACCATATTTCTCTCTCTACTCAGCCAGGGGGCAGAAGAATCATGTCTAAACAAATTTAGGATGGGGCGAAATGCTAGTGCTTGGAAATACAATTTAAAGTTTGGTATGGATAGTCCTCCTACGTCTTTCCCTCTATGTACAGTTGGGAGAAGAAGTATTTGATACACTGCTGATTTTGCAGGTTTTCCTACTTACAAAGCATGTAGAGGTCTGTAATTTTTATCATAGGTACACTTCAACTGTGAGAGACGGAATCTAAAACAAAAATCCAGAAAATCACATTGTATGATTTTTAAGTAATTAATTTGCATTTTATTGCATGACATACGTATTTGATACATCAGAAAAGCAGAACTTAATATTTGGTACAGAAACCTTTGTTTGCAATTACAGAGATAATACGTTTCCTGTAGGTCTTGACCAGGTTTGCACACACTGCAGCAGGGATTTTGGCCCACTCCTCCATACAGACATTCTCCAGATCCTTTAGGTTTCGGGGCTGTCGCTGGGCAATACGGACTTTCAGCTCCCTCCAAAGATTTTCTATTGGGTTCAGGTCTGGAGACTGGCTAGGCCACTCCAGGACCTTGAGATGCTTCTTACGGAGCCACTCCTTAGTTGCCCTGGCTGTGTGTTTCGGGTCGTTGTCATGCTGGAAGACCCAGCCACGACCCATCTTCAATGCTCTTACTGAGGGAAGGAGGTTGTTGGCCAAGATCTCGCGATACATGGTCCCATCCATCCTCCCCTAAATACGGTGCAGTCGTCCTGTCCCCTTAGCAGAAAAGCATCCCCAAAGAATGATGTTTCCACCACCATGCTTCACGGTTGGGATGGTGTTCTTGGGGTTGTACTCATCCTTCTTCTTCCTCCAAACACGGTGAGTGGAGTTTAGACCAAAAAGCTCTATTTTTGTCTCATCAGACCACATGACCTTCTCCCATTCCTCCTCTGGATCATCCAGATGGTCATTGGCAAACTTCAGACGGGCCTGGACATGCGCTGGCTTGAGCACGGGGACCTTGCGTGCGCTGCAGGATTTTAATCCATGATGGCGTAGTGTGTTACTAATGGTTTTCTTTGAGACTGTGGTCCCAGCTCTCTTCAGGTCATTGACCAGGTCCTGCCGTGTAGTTCTGGGCTGATCCCTCATCTTCCTCATGATCATTGATGCCCCACAAGGTGAGATCTTGCATGGAGCCCCAGACCGAGGGTGATTGACCGTCATCTTGAACTTCTTCCATTTTCTAATAATTGCGCCAACAGTTGTTGCCTTCTCACCAAGCTGCTTGCCTATTGTCCTGTAGCCCATCACAGCCTTGTGCAGGTCTACATTTTTATCCCTGATGTCCTTACACAGCTCTCTGGTCTTGGGCATTGTTGAGAGGTTGGAGTCTGTTTGTTTGATTGAGTGTGTGGACAGGTGTCTTTTATACAGGTAACGAGTTCAAACAGGTGCAGTTAATACAGGTAATGAGTGGAGAACAGGAGGGCTTCTTAAAGAAAAACTAACAGGTCTGTGAGAGCCGGAATTCTTACTGGTTGGTAGATGATCAAATACTTATGTCATGCAATAAAATGCAAATTAATTACTTAAAAATCATACAATGTGATTTTCCGGATTTTTGTTTTAGATTACGTCTCTCACAGTTGAAGTGTACCTATGATAAAAATTACAGACCTCTACATGCTTTGTAAGTAGGAAAACCTGCAAAATCGGCAGTGTATCAAATACTTGTTCTCCCCACTGTAAGTTTGTTAATTTGATCTGGGATCGTTTACCTTGCCACATACATTTTGAAATCGCATTATGAATTTTATCCCCATAGCCAGAAGGGAGAGCCATGGGAAGCATTTAACTACAGAAATTCAGCCGTTGCAATATATGAATTTTGACAGTAGGTATTCTGCCGGTTAAGCACCTGAGATATCTGATGAGGTCGGATTGATTTGAGCATTCTGTTCAAGTTTCTGGCACTGGTTTTATCTAAGGAAGGAAGTATATCTACTCCCAAGTTTTTAAAATGGGAAACGATTGGGATTCCGTAAGTAGAGATGGAGTCCTCCATCGGGTTCTTGAGCGGCACTAGGGCTGATTTGGTTAGATTAATTTATAACTTGAGATGAAGCTGAATTTAACTATGATCTTCAATGTGTTTGGGAGCGATTGAGATAGTAAAATATTGTCTGTGTAATGAGATGAAGTGATCACTAGATTTGAGGGAAATTGGTGTTATTTTCTTTGATTGGTGAATTGCTTGGGTCAGGGGTTCCATGGATAATAAAAATAGCAATGGTGAAATTGGATCACCTTGTCTGCTGCTTCTAGTGATTCTGAACGGAGCAGTGCAGATATTGCCTGTTATAACTATGGCTGAGGGATTGACATATAGCATTTCAATCATATTAATGAAATTGGAACCAATTCCCATATGTTCCAAGACAGACCAGAGATATGTCCATTCTATATCAAAAGCTTTTTTTGCATCGAGAGATCATACAGTCCAAGGAGCCGTTGTTTCTGATAAAGCATTTAAGAGATGTAATAGTCGACGGAGGTTATCTGAGGAAAAACGTTTTTTAACAAACCCGCTTTGGTTCCATGTGGAGTCTCGAGACGGGACGACAACATTTTGGAAAACAGTTTAATAAATGTTTATCAAAGATAGTGAGAACACTGAGTAGCATCCTTACCTTTTTTTTATAAAAGCGAAATTAGTGCTGTATTCACATCTCTCCCAAATGAACCTTTTGTGAACGGCTGTGTTAATAATTTCAAGCAATAGTTGACCTAATTTAATCCAACATTTTTAATAGACCTCAGGAGGAATACTGACCCATCCAGGTGATTTGCATTTATTAATGCTATCCAATGCCCTTTTGAGTTCATTGAGAGAGATTTGGGCTCCCAGCGAAGTGGCTTGTTCTTTTTTCTTTTTTTTTTCGTGGTATCCAATTGGTAGTTACAGTCTTGTCCCGTCGCTGCAATTCCCGTACGGACACAGGAGAGGCGAAGGTCAAGAGTCGTGTGTCCTCCGAAACACAACCCAACCGAGCCGCACTGCTTCTTGACACAGTGCCCGCTTAACCCGCAAGCCAGCCGCACCAATGTGCTGGAGGAAACACCGTACACCTGGCGACCGAGTCAGCGTGCACTGCGCCCGGCCTGCCACAGGAGTCGCTAGTGCGCGATGGGACAAGAACATCCCTGCCAGCCAAACCCTCCCCTACCCTGGATGTCGCTGGGCCAATTGTGCGCCGCCCCAATTGTGCGCCGCCCCATGGGTGTCCCGGTCGCGGCCGGCTGCGACAGAGCCGGGACTCGAACCAGGATCTCTAGTGGCACAGCAAGCACTGTGATGCAGTGCCTTGCGCCACTCGGGAGGCCGAGGTGGCTTCTTCTGTTGAGAGAAGAGGAGTTCTTAATTATTTTAGAAAGGTCTGGCTTGGTGTGGATTTACAATCAGAGGTGTACAGTTCTTTATAGAAGCTGGAGAAACTTTGATTAATTTTGGTTTTGATAGTAATTCCTCTGTTTCAGATTCAACAGTTGCTATATCAGCTAATTGATCATTACTCCTTAGGCCAGTAAACGACTAGGATGATTACCATGAAGGTAATGGTTGAGTTTAACTCAATGGATGGAAAATTCTGTTCTGTTTTCTCAATAAATTAAGTTCTATCTTGACTTTGGAAAGATTTATAGCTACCTGGTCTGAAAAAAGTATTTGTTGAGAATGCGCTAACGCAGTTAACATTTTCAATTCTGATATCTTCTTTAATTGTGATTTATTCAACCCAGATGCAAATACGGTTGCATTATTTTTTTTAAACATTTGGTGGCGTCCCATAGAATCCGGGATTCATCGACTGAATTTTTATTGATCATTATGAATTCATTTAGTTCAATTTCAAATTGATCACAGAATGTAGGACTTTGTAGTAATGCCATCTTGTGGCTCTTTTAGTAGTTTCTCAGATTTGAAGTTGGCAGTAGTCAGCGTGGTGGTCAGACAAGCTCATATGTCAAATTTCAATTTTCTTGATTAAAGAAAATAGAGGTACAGATAATAGAATGTTTTATGCTTGTTTGAGTAGAAAGTGAACTTACTGTAATAGTTTTCCATTAAAGAAGTTCCACAATTTATTTCCATTGTGGTCCTCTGACTTCTCTCTCTGTGTGTCCTCCTCTCCTCCCACCAGCCGACAGTGAGGAGCACAGCGCCCTGGCCCAGGCCCTGGTTCTGATCAGAGAGACCATCTCTGCTGTGGACTCCCAGGTCCATGACTATGAGAGGGCCTCCAGGCTGAGAGACATAGGCAGCAGGTTAGAGCCTCGTTCCCAGGGCCGGTGGAAGGACGGCAGGGTGTTCACGAGAGACGATCTGGCTGAGGGCTCCAGAACCCTGCTCCATGAGGGGACCGTCAGCTGTCGGGCGGCCAACGGACGGCTCAAAGGTGGTGACCTCTCTAATCAGTCCGTCTGGGATCTGGAAATGTTTTCTCTGTGTGATATTTGCAGTGGAAAAGCTAGGTTTTACTGCAGCTTTTCTGAAAAAATTTTCTGAACAATTGTTCTAGTAATCAGTGATTCTCATTCTGGACACCCAAGACCTCATGTGACCTACCAGGCCCTGTTATAGCCTATATCTAGAACTCATAATTCCTTCTGGTCAGGTCACACAGTAATGGGAAAACTCCTGATCAGTCATATGTATCTATTAGTAATGCTGTGAGGACGATGTATTTGTTGTTTGACTGTTTGTCTGTTTCTATCCCCCATGTCTTCAGACATCCATGCTGTCCTGTTGTCAGATGTCCTGCTGCTCTTACAAAAGGAAAAGGACCAGAAACTCATATTTGTTAATGTGGTGAGGGAATTTTCTCAATATAAAATACTCGACTCATTTTAATCCCAACGTGCTAGTTTTAAAGTATGTCCTCCTTCAAGGAGAGAAGGCCATAGTTTGCCCGTCTCTGGTACATAAAATGTTGATAACCTCTGATCCTCTGATTGTCCTCCTCCTCATTTCCGATAAGACGCATGAGTGGCACAGAATCGAGAAGAGAAGCTGAGCACCAGACGAACGAGACACGCAAGCCGTGAGAGCAATGAGATAAGAGAAGCAATGCGCTGCGCGACGAGCAGAGCATCCAGGAGACACCGACGAGACTCGCTGCAGATCGAAGCCGAGTACGAACACCCCTCCTGAGCGCGGACGCCAAGAGCGCCGCTAGTATGTCACGAGCAGGCGCACGGAAGAGATACGACCCGACCTAATGCCACTGACCTGCTTCCCAGAACGTCGATAAGCAAGAGGAGAAGCAAGAGAAGGACGCCGCAAGAAAGAGGAATGGACCGTAGAAGCGGACGCAGACACAATCGATAGAAGAACGGGCAGGACCGCACTCGCAGTGTACCATGTACCTCATAAAGCGTCACGAAAAGCGAAGGAACTAAGAGCTAGTCCCAGGAGAGCCGGAAGAACAGAACGAGACCGCAGAAGCGATGGAGAGAAGCAGCCTCCCTCCTCCTCATCCTCCTCTCCTTCTCCTCCTCTTCTCCTCCTCTCCTTCTCCTCCTCTCCTTGTCCTCTCCTCTCTTTCTCCTCCTCCTCTCCTTCTCTCCTTCCTCCCTCCTCCTCCTCTCCTTCTCCTCCTCGTCCTCTCCTCCTCCTCCTCCTCGTCTCCTCCTCCTCGTCCTCTCTTCTCCTCTCCTTCTCCTCCTCGTCCTCTCCTCTCTTTCTCTTCCTCCTCTCCTTCATCAGGACAACAAGCCATCGGTGATCTCCCTCCAGATGCTGATCGTCAGGGAGATGGCCCATGAGGACAAGGCTATGTTCCTGATCAGTGCTTCGTCCAGCAAGCCGGAGATGTACGAGATACACACCTCCTCCAGAGAGGACTGCAACGCCTGGATGAGCCTTATACGAGATGCTGTCGACAGGTAGGAGTGACATAGGGTAGGAATGACATAGGGTAGGAATTACATAGGGTAGGAATGACATAGGGTAGGAATTACATAGGGTAGGAATGACATAGGGAGGGGTTAGGGCAAGGACAGAGAGGACAATATAGACCAAATTTGAGAGAACAATCTCATACTTTTCCTCTCTCCTCTCTCACTTACCTCTTTACTTTCTACACTTTCAACTGATTTGGGATCAGCGTATGGGTCAGCTCACTTACCTCTCCACCTCCAGTTATTTTACTTTCTACACTTTCAACTGATTTGGGATCAGCGTATGGGTCAGTTCCTAGGGCTTATAGTAACCCCAGTGTGTTTGACTCTCTTTGTGTACCAGTTGTCCAGCAATGGAGGAGCAGCTGAACAGTGAGCAGGAGGAGGCCAGGCTAGCCAGACTCCGAGACTTCCGAGGTAAGAGACTCTACCTCTACCAGCTCTACCCGACAGCTGTCCAAATGCCCTCAACTCCCATTGTCAGGCCTTACGGAATGTGTTTCCAGAGCGTCTCGTGTGTGTGTTATTCTGACCATAGAATCTGTGTGTTTTCAGATCGTCTGTATGTCTCCCGGTGTTACTCTGACCATAGAATCTGTGTGTTTTCAGATCGTCTGTATGTCTCCCGGTGTTACTCTGACCATAGAATCTGTGTGTTTTCAGATCGTCTGTATGTCTCCCGGTGTTACTCTGACCATAGAATCTGTGTGTTTTCAGATCGTCTGTATGTCTCCCGGTGTTATTCTGACCATAGAATCTGTGTGTTTTCAGATCGTCTGTATGTCTCCCGGTGTTACTCTGACCATAGAATATGTGTGTGTGTTTCCAGAGCGTCTGTATATGAAGGATGCCCAGATCGTGCAGAGCCTGACAGAGAAGCTGCAGATGTTTGCTGACATGGCGGAGGCTGTAACAGGGCTAGAGAATGTAGCTGCCCACTCCCGTCTGCTGCTCCGCACTGACGCCTCAGACATTCAGCAGGGGGAGACACTGCTCAAGGGGGCCGTCACTGAGGGTAGGAATGAAGCACGAATCTAATCCTAGACTTTTCACTCAGGCCCCCCCTCCCAGCATTGGGGAACATCTTGCGCCCCCCCCCACCCCCCACTTCTATTTCTATGGGTACAAGCTCTGTTGATGACACACACTGTTCACACCCCTCTTGTTGGTGGAGAGAGAATTTAGCAGGTTTAAAGCTTATTTCCTGCAATTCTACACATTTGGTCATGGGGGGTAGAGAACATTTTGCCGTTTTAATGCTAATTTCCTTGCAATTCTATACATTTAGCCATGTCTAATGTGTATTCATGTGATATTTACGTGACTCAAACATGACAACAAAATCGGTGGGCTAAAACACCTATCTAAAAAAACGTTAGCTGACATGGGCTAGTTGATCTGGACATTTCTGACACATTATAAATAGCTCTCTAAGGTATGCCCCTAGGGGGCACGCCCCACAGTTTGGGAACCACTGCCCTAAGCAATTGTGGAGATCTGAGAGGGTTTGATACATAGTTTGATTGGTTAAAGCAATATTGTAGTAGCTCTGATTGGTTAAAGCAATATTGTAGTAGCTCTGATTGGTTAAAGCAATATTGTAGTAGCTCTGATTGGTTAAAGCAATATTGTATACCTGATTGGTTAAGCATCTGTAGAGCCTATTGGGTTAAAGCCAATAATTGTAGTAAGCTCCTGATTGGTTAAAAGCAATATTGTAGTAGCTCTGATTGGTTAAAGCAATATTCTAGTAGCTCTGATTGGTTAAAGCAATATTGTAGTAGCTCTGATTGGTTAAAGCAATATTGTAGTAGCTCTGATTGGTTAAAGCAATATTGTAGTAGCTCTGATTGGTTAAAGCAATATTGTAGTAGCTCTGATTGGTTAAAGCAATATTGTAGTAGCTCTGATTGGTTAAAGCAATATTGTAGTAGCTCTGATTGGTTAAAGCAATATTGTAGTAGCTCTGATTGGTTAAAGCAATATTGTAGTAGCTCCACCATCCCCTCTGATAGTCTAGATGGAATGTTTGCCCCTGGCCTTGGTGCTCCTGGCAGGTCTGATAGGATCTGATAATACTTAACTTAACCGTCGTCTTTAGTAAATCTGTTATGAATGTTCATTGACCCACCATGAGAATCCAATGTCAGCTTGTCTGTCAGATAATCAGCTTTTAGTTTCTTCTTCTTCTTCTTCTTCTTCTCTCAGTGGAGAATCTTCAGAACCTGCTCCTGTCCGGTGTGACTGTGAGAGATCCCCACCCCACTCCAGAGGACAGTCTGAGACCAGGGGGGTTCAGTTTGAGGCCAGAAGTGCTACGGCTTGGTCAAGGGGGGCTAGGCCTTGGGCGGCTGGGGAACCTGGTGGTGCTTAGGAGAGCTGAGACCTTCGGAGGTTACGACTGCAACCCTCCCACCCCCATCAAGTGTAAGTCTACCAGTCAGTCGGTCTACCTGTCCGTCAGTCTGTCTACCAGTAAGTCTACCCAGTCTACCCAGTCAGTCTACCGTTCAGTCAGTCTACCGTTCAGTCAGTCTACCAGTCAGTCTGTCTACCCGTCAGTCTACCAGTCAGTCTACCGTTCAGTCAGTCTACCAGTCAGTCTACCGTTCAGTCAGTCTACCAGTCAGTCTACCGTTCAGTCAGTCTACCAGTCAGTCTACCCGTTCAGTCAGTCTACCAGTTCAGTCTATATACCGTTCAGTAGCAGTCATCTACCAGTCAGTCTACCAGTCAGTCTACCGTTCAGTCAGTCTAGTCAGTCCCGTCTAACCCGTTCAGTCAGTCTACTCAGTCAGTCTACCGTCAGTCAGTCTCAGTCACCAGTCAGTCTACCAGTCAGTCTACCAGCCAGTCTACCGTTCAGTCAGTCTACCGTTCAGTCAGTCTACCGTTCAGTCAGTCAGTCTACCAGTCAGTCTACCAGTCAGTCTACCAGTCAGTCTACCGTTCAGTCAGTCTACCAGTCAGTCTACCCGTTCAGTCAGTCTACCAGTCAGTCTACCGTTCAGTCAGTCTACCAGTCAGTCTACCAGTCAGTCTACCCGTTCAGTCAGTCTACCGTTCAGTCAGTCTACCAGTCAGTCTACCCGTTCAGTCAGTCTACCAGCCAGTCTACCGTTCAGTCAGTCTACCCAGTCAGTCTACCAGTCAGTCTGTCTACCAGTCAGTCTACCCGTTCAGTCAGTCTACCAGTCAGTCTACCGTTCAGTCAGTCTACCAGTCAGTCTACCCGTTCAGTCAGTCTACCAACCAGTCTACCGTTCAGTCAGTCTACCAGTCAGTCTACCCGTTCAGTCAGTCTACCAGTCAGTCTACCCGTTCAGTCAGTCTACCGTTCAGTCAGTCTACCGTTCAGTCAGTCTACCACTCATACAGATGGACTATTATACCACTGTCCATATCTGGTCATGTCATTCCTCATATCTCACAAATCCAGTGTTTTCTTTTGAACACAGTTTAACATTATGTTTTCCAGATGGTAGTATACCGGCAGGAGAACGGCCAGGCAGTGTGGAGGGACGACATCAGCGTTCGAACTCTGACCCCCAGCTACAGGACCTCGACCAATCAGAGAGCCTGGAACTGTCGGTGAGTGACTGGCTGTCCCATTCTCTACCCCCATCTCCTCGCATGTGTGCACTCGTTCCCTCCTGCAAGTGTGCCCTTGTTCTCCCCTCAGAGAGGAAGGGAGGGCTAGTTTAGTTAGTCTGATTCATGGTGTTGTGATTACAAGCTGATGAGGCGTCTGCATCATACTGTAGTTCTCCATGCCCAAATCCATCCTTCCCTGAAGCCCAGTTAAGTGTTGCTAGATTACTCTGAATCTGAACAATGTTTTTGATTGTCTCAACTTTATTTCTCTCTCTCCCCCAGTTATTTTACAGAGTGCTGATGCTCTCACATCGGCTGTACGGTCTGCAGGTAGGACATACACTGAGTATACAAAACATTCCATGACAGAGACTGACCAGGTGAATCCAGGTGAAAGCTATGATCCCTTATTGATGTCACTTGTTTAAATCCACTTCAATCAGTGTTAAATAAGGATTTTTAAGCCTTGAGACATGGATTGTGTATGTGTGCCATTCAGAGGGTGAATGGGCAAGACAAAAGATTTAAGTGTCTTTGAACAGGGTAGTAGGTGCCAGGCGCACCGGTTTGTGTCAAGAACTGCATCGCTGCTGGGTTTTTCACGCTCAACAGTTTCCAGTGTGTATCAAGAATGGTCCACCACCCAAAGGACATCCAGCCAACTTGACCCAACTGTGGGAAGCATTGGAGTCAACATGGGCCAGCATCCCCGTGGAACGCTTTCGACACCCTTGTAGAGTCCATGCCCCGACGAATTGAGGCTGTTCTGAGGGCAAACTCCCTGGTCTGAAGTTTGTACCCTGTCCATCACTGGTGTTAAGTTTGTTCCGTGCCCCTCGTTGGTGTTAAAGGAAAGATTCACCCACTTCGTATTTGTGCATCTCTGAGCTATGTTCTATCGATTCCCAGGGTAATTTCATGTTTTAGTGTTGTCCCACTGGCTATCATAAGGTGAATGCACCAATTTGTAAGTCGCGTCTGCTAAACGATGTAAATGTATCTGAGCTATTCACATTCAAGCAGGCAGAAATACAGTCAGTATGATGAGTTTTGCATCATATGCCCTCTGCCTCCTGGTGTTAAGTTTGTCCACTGTCCCTCTCCGTAGGCCATCGTCTCCCAGCAGGACAGCCACATTGAGCTCCAGCGTGCCTCTATTTTGGAGCGTGAGCGTCCGGGTCGCCCCCGAGGCAACATGCTCCTGGACCAGGAGAAACAACGTAACCTGGAGAAACAGAGAGAAGAGATGGCCGACTTCCACAAGCTGCAGACACAGCACCGCCAAAACCAGGTACAATACTGTTTATTATGTTAGGGAATCTGAGGTAGGGAATCTGAGGTGGGGAATCTGAGGTGGGGAATCTGAGGTGGGGAATCTGAGGTGGGGAATCTGAGGTGGGGAATCTGAGGTGGGGAATCTGAGGTAGGGAAATTCAAATTCAACTCTGGACCTCCAAGCCAGATCCACTGCTGTTTTCATTGTTCCCCTCTAATCAGAGACTGATTTAGACCTGGGACACCAGGTGGGTGCAATTAATTATCTGGTAGAACAGAAAACCAGCAGGCTCCAGGTCTCGTAAGATAAAGAGTTGAGTACCCCTGATGTAGGGGATCTATCTGTCTCTGTCTCATCCCTCTGATATCTCATCTCTATCTCTCCAGCTCATCTTTCATTCATCTCTATCCCCAGGCTCGCTGGGAGAAGGAGCGGGAGCGTCACCGGCTGCAGGCGGAGGTCCTAGAGGCGGAGCTAAGACAGAGAGAGGAGGAGTGTAGGAGACTGGAGGAGAAACTAGAGGAGGAGAGAGAGGAGCTGGAGAGACAGAGAGAGACGTACCAACAGGTTGCTGCTTCGTTTCGTTACAATATAATAATATAAGGGACGGGATACCTGGACAAAATCTGACCTCTCTGAAATGAAAATGGATAGCCCTCCCTTCAGTAAAATATATTTTTACCCTCCCTGAATGCTTGAAAAAAAACAAGTGACTCTCCCCTATACCCAAAATAATAGTTAAGACATAAAATGGATAGCAGAGAATATGCCTACCATTTACCCTCCACTCCTAGGACAGACCACAGCCTTAGATATGCAGTTTTACAAACTGTTATTTGTTTTGTAAGCGTTCCATGGCAAAGTAGCCAAAAGGTTGTGGATTCACAGACCACCGCGGACAAGGGTATGGGTGTAAAAATATATACATTATAAAAAAAGAACTGAATGAATCTATCATCTTATTTGCAGGCCAAGAAAAAAAAAAAGCCTTTTATAAACGCATTTCATGCAATTCTACGTCATTTTACATGACTGGAGAAGAGCAGAATCTATTTTAATACCACAACAGAGCATGACAACGAATGAGCGCATGCAGCAGCACCGGAGACATTTCGATTTCTATACAGGCTATTGTTAAAAAAAGAGGATAGTCTAACAGTGCTAAAGTTGTCTATCAACTGTATAAAAAGGTTTTTATAGTGTAACAGAACCAGTTACAACTGAAGTATCTGATCATCAATTAATTAGAAGAAAAAAAAAATAAGCAATTTGTTGTTTAACACAGCAGCCTCATATCATCAGGTAACTTTATTTCATTTGGGAAACTATCATTTTCTAATTTATTCTATTTTATTCTATGGTACTGTTGTTACAAAATAGATGTGTGTTGACTGTGATTAGGGCGTGGGAATATAAGAGCATCTGCTAGGCTAAATTAACAAACGGGGCATGCATCGCTCACCGCATGATCCTCAAACCAAAGACTGGCCAAACTTCTGTTTCTAAAAGTGAATTCAAAAAGGCACTGTAGAATGACTGTATAGCCAGCTATAGCCTAGCTGTATAGCGTAATAAGGCATTTTTTCGTTTCATTGTTATTTAATTCCAAGTATTAAAAAAAAACATGTTGTTTCATCATATAAAGACTAAATGTTGAAGTGTTGATGTTGTTGAAATGCTGAGCCCTCCTGCCAGCCTGTAGCGCATCACAAATGCTTCACAATTGATTTCTTAAATGGCAGGCTATAGCCTTGAAATAATAATAATAATATAGCCTAAATAATTAATTAGTTTTCCTCCTGAGGCTACCTGGCTTCCTCCTGACTGATTTAGAGTTAGTATGTTGTTTTAATAGCGTGTTGAAATGTTGAACGTCGATTGATAGTGACAGAATCACACATTTACTTCCCAAGCAAAGTACATGTTCTTGTCTCCTCGGCTGTAGAAGGTTGTAGCGCAGCCTCTGAATATCATAGAGACAAACCAAAGATGTCCCGTATGCATCGGAGTCACGTCTTTCCCCCGGCACTCTACAGCTTGTTTCTAGCATGAAGCATTATGGACTAAAGCGTCGTTATAGATTACTTTATATAAATCGGGTCCATTTAAAAAATAAATATTAAGCGAACAATGGGTAGGCCTATGCTTTTATAGCCATTTTCTTTAATGAAAGCCACAAATCAAATCAAATTTTATTTGTCGCATGCGCCGAATACAACAGGTGGTTTTAACTTTAACACACCAAGCCCTTCACTGATTATATTTAAGGAGTGAACGGTGACTGAAGGAATTAGTTGAGAAAATCTATGGATAGTAGACTATAATTTCGTCCGTCAAACAGGTAGGACTACCTCTTATTTCCTGAATGGGAAGACATAGGCTCCAACACAACAGCCCTCTTGTTGTTAGATGCCTATAAAGTCAAATTAAAATGAAGACTGTTTAAATCACAGGTGTCACAATCATTCGAATGAGGGCAGAGTGTCTGCGGGTTTTTGCTACTCCCTTGTCCTTGATTGCTGAATTAGTTAGGAACTATCCAAACCTGGTTGTCTCTGGCTTAATTGTGAAAGGAAAAACCAAAAACCTGCAGAAACTATGTCCTCCATGGAATGAGTTTGACACCCCTGGTTTAAATGAATTGGGCCTTCTCGAATTAGCCTTCCTTCAGCACCCATGCGCTGTCCATCTCCGCGGCTTCCGCTTCATAGTAATGTAAGTTATGTCAATTACTCAAATATGGCTTATTGTGTGGTCAATAACTCGAATAAATAGCTTCATTATGGGCAACAAAACATATTGTTTTTATTGAAATCAATTCTAGCAGTAGCAAGCTTACCTCCAGTCCTCCACCTCATCTTCACGCTCTCCCTCTCAAACTGAACAGGACATCAGTAGGCCCAGTCCCGCACGCACAGATACTGCATTTGCTGGACAATTTTATTTTTCTTCCGGAAGATACCTTTGACTCGCCACCTGAAGTGCCACCGTACACAGCACAGTCGTTGGTTAGGCAGCACAAAAGGCTGTACATCAACGAGAGCAGGGCAGGCCGGGGCTCATGATTGGGAATGCCTATCCATTGCAGTGTGTAATGCAGTGTAGACTAGTTTTATATACACCATCCCAGCAGCGCAAAAACTCGGGAAGGAAGTACATGTTCTTAGAAATATAACTTTTCCCTGTGCTTCTCCGAGCACGCTCTTCTTATAGCCTTAGTATATGCTATGGATTATTTGATTGAGACCACATTAGGCAGACTTGATATTGTGCCCAGCAGACAATCACGGATGAGGGGCAGCATCAGGCACACATCGAGATACTATAATAAGCAACTAATTCTCAAACCCTGAACAATAGGACATTTAATCGATTACAAATTACATGACCCTCCCCTGGACTAAAATAAAAAATACTAAACCCTCCCCCTGACTGAAATTGAAAAAGCATGACCCTCCCCCATTTTTCTCCGGGTAACAATTGTATAAATTTCTACCGCTCCCTAACAATTGTGGTCTGGATAAGAGCATCTGCTAAATAATTTAAATGTAAAAAATGTATATATAAAAAAAGTGGTATGAGCTAAAAACTAAATAAAACAAAGCTTAACAAATTAATAATAATTGATTTGACTTATATAGCGCTTTACATAGTTAGGAGGAATCTCACCAATGTGTAGCACCCACTTGGGTGATGCACGGCAACCAATTTGCGCCAGATAATTAGGTGGCCATGATGGTATGAGGGCCAGATTGGGAATTTAGCCAGGACACCAGGGTTAACACTCCTACTCTTACGATAAGTGCCATGGGATCTTTTGTGACCACAAAGAGTCAGGACAACCATTTAACATACCATCCAAAAGACAGCACCCTACACAGGACAATGTCCCCTTCACTGGCCTGGGATTCGATCTTAAGACCAGAGGGAAGAGCGTCCTCTAGTGGCCCTCCAACACCACTTCCAGCAGCATCTGGTCTCCCATCCAGGGACCCTGCTTAGCTTCAGAGGCAAGCCAGCAGTGGGATGCAGGGTGGTATTCTGCTGACAGTGGCAGGTAGCCTAACGGTTAGAGCGGTGGACCAGTAACCAAAAGGTCGCTGGTTCGAATACCCGAGTCGACAAGGTGAAAAATCTGTTGGTGCCCTTGAGCAAGGCACTTAACCTTAATTTGCTCCAGGGGTGCCGTACTACTATGGCTGATCCTGTAAAACAACACATTTCACTGCACCTATCCGTCGTATGTGACAAAAACATGTATTTAAATGAATTTGTTTTTCGTGTAACGTACCAACAGGATCTGGAGAGGCTGAGGGAGTCAACGAGGACGGTGGAAAAACAGAAAGAACACCTCAATACACAGATGAAGTTGAAGCAGAACAAGACCATCACCAACCCTGGGAGTTTTAACTTCAAAACCCAGCAGGTGGGGATGTGGTTGTTAAGAACTGAGCACCAATAGTGAGAGGAGCTGTTGTTTATGTATTTATAGATGTTGAGGTATTTATAGATGTTGAGGTATTTATAGATGTTGATGTATTTATAGATGTTGAGGTATTTATAGATGTTGATGTATTTATAGATGTTGAGGTATTTATAGATGTTGAGGTATTTATAGATGTTGAGGTATTTATAGATGTTGAGGTATTTATAGATGTTGATGTATTTATAGATGTTGATGTATTTATAGATGTTGAGGTATTTATAGATGTTGAGGTATTTATAGATGTTGAGGTATTTATAGATGTTGAGGTATTTATAGATGTTGAGGTATTTATAGATGTTGAGGTATTTATAGATGTGAGGTATTTATAGATGTTGATGTATTTATAGAGGTTGATGTATGGGATGTTTACATCATCCACTCATTCTCTTCTTCTCCCCTCCTCTCCCAGTCCTTCCGAAGGGACCCCCTCCTCTCCCAGTCCTTCCGAGGGGACCCCCTCCTCTCCCAGTCCTTCCGAGGGGACCTGATGGGTGGTTTGACGACAGGAAGAGAGGTGATCCAGACACCCAAGGTCCACGTCCGCCCCAGCCTCTCTGTAGCCACCAACTTTTTCCTGGAGCAGCCCCCAGAGGTGAGCCACATAGGACGTAACAGGAGAGTGGCAGGACAGTATACAGTGCATTCGGAAAGTATTCAGACCCCTTGACATTTTGTTACATTACAGTCTTATTCTAAAATCGATTAAATTGTTTTTTTCCCTCATAAATCTGCATACAATACCCCATAATGACAAAGCAAAAACAGGCTTTTAGATTTTTTTGCAAATGTATACAAAATAAAAAACGTATTCAGACCCTTTACTCAGTACTTTGTTGAAGCACCTTTGGCAGCGATTACAGCCTTGAGTCTTCTTGGGTATGACGCTACAAACTTGGCACACCTGTATTTGGGGAGTTCACCCATTCTTCTCTGCAGATCCTCTCAAGCTCTGTCAGGTTGGATGGGGAATGTCGCTGCACAGCTATTTTTAGGTCTCTCCAGAGATGTTCGATAGGGTTAAAGTCCGGGCTCTGGCTGGGCCACTGTAGGACATTCAGAGACTTGTCCCGAAGCCACTCTTGCATTGTCTTGGCTGTGTGCTTAGGGTCGTTGTCCTGTTGGAAGGTGAACCTTCACCCCAGTCTGAGGTCCTGAGCGGTCTGGAGCAGGTTTTCATCAAGGATCTCTCTGTACTTTGCTCTGTTCATCTTTCCCTCGATCCTGACTAGTCTCCCAGTCCTTGCCGCTGAAAAACATCCCCACAGCATGATGATGCTGCCACCACCATGCTTCACCATAGGGATGGTGCCAGGTTTCCTCCAGACGTGACGCTTGGCATTCAGGCCAAAGAGTTCAATCTTGGTTTCATCAGACCAGAGAATCTTGTTTCTCATGGTCTGAGAGTCTTTTAGGTGCCTTTTGGCAAACTCCAAGTGGTCTGTCATGTGCTTTTTACTGAGGAGTGGCTTCCGTCTGGCCACTCTACCATAAAGGCCTGATTGGTAGGGGAGGGTAGGGGAGGGAATGGCCGGCAGGGATGTACAGTGGGGGAAAAAAGTATTTAGTCAGCCACCAATTGTGCAAGTTCTCCCACTTAAAAAGATGCGAGAGGCCTGTAATTTTCATCATAGGTACACGTCAACTATGACAGACAAATTGAGATTTTTTTTCTCCAGAAAATCACATTGTAGGATTTTTTATGAATTTATTTGCAAATTATGGTGGAAAATAAGTATTTGGTCACCTACAAACAAGCAAGATTTCTGGCTCTCGCAGACCTGTAACTTCTTCTTTAAGAGGCTCCTCTGTCCTCCACTCGTTACCTGTATTAATGGCACCTGTTTTAACTTGTTATCAGTATAAAAGACACCTGTCCACAACCTCAAACAGTCACACTCCAAACTCCACTATGGCCAAGACCAAAGAGCTGTCAAAGGACACCAGAAACAAAATTGTAGACCTGCACCAGGCTGGGAAGACTGAATCTGCAATAGGTAAGCAAATTGGTTTGAAGAAATCAACTGTGGGAGCAATTATTAGGAAATGGAAGACATACAAGACCACTGATAATCTCCCTCGATCTGGGGCTCCACGCAAGATCTCACCCCGTGGGGTCAAAATGATCACAAGAACGGTGAGCAAAAATCCCAGAACCACACGGGGGGACCTAGTGAATGACCTGCAGAGAGCTGGGACCAAAGTAACAAAGCCTACCATCAGTAACACACTACGCCGCCAGGGACTCAAATCCTGCAGTGCCAGACGTGTCCCCCTGCTTAAGCCAGTACATGTCCAGGCCCGTCTGAAGTTTGCTAGAGTGCATTTGGATGATCCAAAAGAGGATTGGGAGAATGTCATATGGTCAGATGAAACCAAAATAGAACTTTTTGGTAAAAACTCAACTAGTCGTGTTTGGAGGACAAAGAATGCTGAGTTGCCTCCAAAGAACACCATACCTACTGTGAAGCATGGGGGTGGAAACATCATGCTTTGGGGCTGTTTTTCTGCAAAGGGACCAGGACGACTGATCCGTGTAAAGGAAAGAATGAATGGGGCCATGTATCGTGAGATTTTGAGTGAAAACTTCCTTCCATCAGCAAGGGCATTGAAGATGAAACGTGGCTGGGTCTTTCAGCATGACAATGATCCCAAACACACCGCCCGGGCAACGAAGGAGTGGCTTCGTAAGAAGCATTTCAAGGTCCTGGAGTGGCCTAACCAGTCTCCAGATCTCAACCCCATAGAAAATCTTTGGAGGGAGTTGAAAGTCCGTGTTGCCCAGCGACAGCCCCAAAACATCACTGCTCTAGAGGAGATCTGCATGGAGGAATGGGCCAAAATACCAGCAACAGTGTGTGAAAACCTTGTGAAGACTTACAGAAAACGTTTGACCTGTGTCATTGCCAACAAAGGGTATATAACAAAGTATTGAGAAACTTTTGTTATTGACCAAATACTTATTTTCCACCATAATTTGCAAATAAATTCATTAAAAATCCTACAATGTGATTTTCTGGAGAAAAAAAATCTCATTTTGTCTGTCATAGTTGACGTGTACCTATGATGAAAATTACAGGCCTCTCATCTTTTTAAGTGGGAAAACTTGCACAATTGGTGGCTGACTAAATACTTTTTTTCCCCACTGTAGCTCAGTTGGTAGAGCATGGCGTTTGCAACGCCAGGGTTGTGGGTTCGATTCCCACGGGGGGGGCCAGTATGAAAAATAAAATAAAAATAATGTATGCACTCACTAACTGTAAGTCGCTCTGGATAAGAGCGTCTGCTAAATGACTAAAATGTAAAAATGTATTGATATTGTGTGTTTTGTTTTCACATATGAATCCCAGTTAGAGGATTCCTGGAATCAAAGTGACCAGTATTTTTCAACCCACAGAACTACGTGAATATGTGTGCTCACTTCCCAGCATTTTTCTATTGCATTTGTTGTTCTATAGTGTATTGATATTGTGTGTTTTGTATGCTGAATTTCCATGTAAATGGACAATAAAGGTCCCATTCAGTACACTCGGTGCAACACTCTTGCCAGTTAGATCTCCATAGCTGTCTGTTCAAATCAAATCAAATCAAATTTTATTGGTCACATGCGCCGAATACAACAGGTGCAGACATCACAGTGAAATGCTTACTTACCTGCCCTTAACCAACAGTGCATTTATTTTTTTTAAAATAAAACAACAACAAAAAAAGTGTTGAGAGAAAAAAGAGCAAAAGTAAAATAAAGTGACAGTAGGGAGGCTATATATACAGTAAAATAAAGTGACAGTAGGGAGGCTATATATACAGGGGGGTACCGTTGCAGAGTCAATGTGCGGGGGCACCGGCTAGTTGAGGTAGTTGAGGTAATATGTACATGTGGGTAGAGTTAAAGTGACTATGCATAAATAATTAACAGAGTAGCAGCAGCGTAAAAAGGATGGGGTGGGGGGGCAGTGCAAATAGTCCGGGTAGCCATGATTAGCTGTTCAGGAGTCTTATGGCTTGGGGGTAGAAGCTGTTGAGAAGTCTTTTGGACCTAGACTTGGCACTCCGGTACCGCTTGCCGTGCGGTAGCAGAGAGAACAGTCTATGACTAGGGTGGCTGGAGTCTTTGACAATTTTGAGGGCCTTCCTCTGACACCGCCTGGTATAGAGGTCCTGGATGGCAGGAAGCTTGGCCCCAGTGATGTACTGGGCCGTACGCACTACCCTCTGTAGTGCCTTGCGGTCGGAGGCCAAGCAGTTGCCATACCAGGCGGTGATGCAACCAGTCAGGATGCTCTCGATGGTGCAGCTGTAGAATTTTTTGAGGATCTGAGGACCCATGCCAAATCTTTTCAGTCTCCTGAGGGGGAATAGGCTTTGTCGTGCCCTCTTCACGACTGTCTTGGTGTGTTTGGACCATGATAGTTCGTTGGTGATGTGGACACCAAGGAACTTGAAGCTCTCAACCTGTTCCACTACAGCCCCGTCGATGAGAATGGGGGCGTGCTCAGTCCTCTTTTTTTTCCTGTAGTCCACAATCATCTCCTTTGTCTTGGTCACGTTGAGGGAGAGGTTGTTGTCCTGGCACCACACGGCCAGGTCTCTGACCTCCTCCCTATAGGCTGTCTCATCGTTGTCGGTGATCAGGCCTACCACTGTTGTGTCGTCGGCAAACTTAATGATGGTGTTGGAGTCGTGCCTGGCCATGCAGTCATGGGTGAACAGAGAGTACAGGAGGGGACTGAGCACGCACCCCTGAGGGGCCCCCGTGTTGAGGATCAGTGTGGCAGATGTGTTGTTACCTACCCTTACCACCTGGGGGCGGCCCGTCAGGAAGTCCAGGATCCAGTTGCAGAGGGAGGTGTTTAGTCCCAGGATCCTTAGCTTAGTGATGAGCTTAGAGGGCACTATGGTGTTGAATGCTGAGCTGTAGTCAATGAATAGCATTCTCACGTAGGTGTTCCTCTTGTCCAGGTGGGAAAGGGCAGTGTGGAGTGCAATAGAGATTGCATCATCTGTGGATCTGTTGGGGCGGTATGCAAATTGGAGTGGGTCTAGGGTTTCTGGGATAATGCTGTTGATGTGAGCCATGACCAGCCTTTCAAAGCACTTCATGGCTACAGACGTCAGTGCTACGGGTCGGTAGTCATTTAGGCAGGTTATCTTAGAGTCCTTGGGTCCTGTTGTAACTCGTTTTCCAGTAGTTAATTCACAGTAGTTATATTCATAACTTTACTTTATCGTATCTTAGGTGCCCCCTCGCAGGGAGAGCATCAGCCCCGGGCCCCCTAAACCGGAGTTCCCAATCCACCTGATCAGCACGACCAACCAGGTGGTTCACAAACCAGGGGCGGTGCAGCAGCAGATACCCACCAAGCTGGCTGCCCTCGGCAACAAGGGCAAGGAGAAGAGCAGTAAGAAGAGGCCCCACCACCAGCGCACCCACAGCGCAGGTCAGAACACGCACAGAGCAGGTCAGAACACGCACAGAGCAGGTCAGAACACCCACAGAGCAGGTCAGAACACGCACAGAGCAGGTCAGAACACGCACAGAGCAGGTCAGAACACGCACAGCGCAGGTCAGAACACGCACAGAGCAGGTCAGAACACGCACAGAGCAGGTCAGAACACGCACAGAGCAGGTCAGAACACGCACAGAGCAGGTCAGAACACGCACAGATGAGGTCAGAACACGCACAGAGCAGGTCAGAACACCCACAGAGCAGGTCGGAACACGCACAGAGCAGGTCGGAACACGCACAGAGCAGGTCGGAACACGCACAGAGCAGGTCGGAACACGCACAGAGCAGGTCGGAACACGCACAGAGCAGGTCGGAACACGCACAGAGCAGGTCGGAACACGCACAGAGCAGGTCGGAACACGCACAGAGCAGGTCGGAACACGCACAGAGCAGGTCAGAACACGCACAGAGCAGGTCGGAACACAGCTCAGTAGAACTGTTCATGTCTTTACACTCCTATAATCTCAAATGCAAATTCATCGAAAACATTGGAGAAACCTTCCATTTATTAGTCATCTACTGAGGCACTTGTTGTGAAGTCCTACTCTTTCCTTTTGACCTCAACTGTGCTAGGGGAATCATGACATTTACCCCATATTGATATTTTCTATGATCTGTTAAAGCAGTGGGTGTATATCTCCACCACAGGAGGTTGGTGGCACCTATATTTGGGAGGACGGGCTCGTGGTAATGGCTGGAGCAGAATCACTGGAATGGTATCAAACACATGGTTTCTATGCATTTGATGCCATTCCATTTGCTCTGTTCCAGCCGTTATTATGAGCCATCCTCCCCTCAGCAGCCTCCACTGATCTCCATAGTTCTGATGCAGTGTTGTCTTTCCTCCTGCAGCGTCCATAGAAATGTCTCAGGTGGTGCCGATCAGAGTGACAGGAAATGAGAGCCGGAGTCTGAGAGGGAAGAAGACTGTGAGCCCTCACAGAAACTACCAATCAGGTAAGAGCCCTCACAGAAACAACCAATCAGGTAAGAGCCCTCACAGAAACTACCAATCAGGTAAGAGCCCTCACAGAAACAACCAATCAGGTAAGAGCCCTCACAGAAATAACCAATCAGGTAAGACGAGAACCTCGGGAGTTCCAGATACACATTGTCTGATTTTTACAATGACTGGAGAACTGTTTTAACGTCTCAGGAACTAATTTAACGATTAAGTTAACCGTACGTTGTTATGCCTCCTCAGATTGTTTCTTCAGTCCTCCAGAGCCCCTGTCCAATGCTAAGCCCACCCAGACCCTGTTGTCCAGCAGCAGCATGAGGAATACCCAGAGCCAAGCCCCTCCACCCGAACCTCCACCTCCCCCTCCACCCTTCCCCAAAGACATAACAAGCAAACCAACCAAGGAACATGTCATCTACCTGTAAGGACACAGGGTGAAGACCAAAACCCTAACTAATAGGCCCTATGCCCGGGCTCTGAAACTGGCAGCCCATGTGCCAAATCCGGCCCACGAGTGATTATATTTGGCCCGCCAAAGCTCTGTTCACAGTAATGATGTGATTATTTTATTTTTTTACTGATTGGGCTTTTCTAATTTCTGGTACTTCTTGAGTTCCTGTTGAATTTCCAAAGACATTTCTATTGTTCTGATGAGTGCTTCTGTATCTAAACACTCTCTGCACTCAAGTCTTCTTTACTTTTTAAATCCTTTTTAAAGATGATTTAAATTCATGTTTGGCGGTTGTTAGGAAGCTGTTTATTATTGGAAGATGTTATTATTATTATTAACTTGTTTACAGATCTGAGGGGCCAAGCACGTTGTTATCTCAGAGTGCATAAGAAACTATTTTAATCTGAATTGACCTGCTCCTCATATTGTATTTCTTCATGTTATAGAATGTATGGAAGTAAATGTACATTTAGCTGTGAGGGGTAAAACCATTATGGCCAGATTACCAGATGCAGATTAATCTTAGTCCAGGACTAAAAAGGATTCTCATTTGAGATTCTCCCAGTTTTTTAAATCCAAGACTAGGCTTAATCTATGTCTGGGAAATGGGCCCTTATGGTATGGGGATTATGGTGTATTTTAACACTGTGAATAATAATGACTACTGTACTAAATGATGCCAATTCTACTGTGGTTTAGCGAGAGTTTTCCTGTCAATAGGTTATGTTCTGGGAACCAAGGAACTTTTTTGAACAATGTTGTTTACTATCGGGAGGATGTTTGGAAGGATTTGTGAAGTATGTTGCACAGTTTCCAGTGGGAATAGAATTAGAACACATATTTTATAGATGTATGATGTCAATCTATGGTCTGTACATTCTGCTGTGACGTCGATGTCCTGGTGAACTGTTGTTGTGGTTCCCACCCCACAGCTCGATGGAATCAAAAGAATGCTGATGCCTGTAGCCAAGTCGGGGTTCAATCCAATAGTTTATTTTAAAAGCTGCATTGGCGTAATCAGATTGAATCCCCGGCCTCAATGTCACCTCCGAATGACTCACTTCCTCCCGTCCCATGTCCAGTCTAAAACAGCAGCCTGAAATAGCAGTGAAGCAGAGCAGATTGGTCCTGTCGTCCCACACCAGGATAGAATAGTAGCCTGGCCTGTTAGAGTTTGTCGTCTATGTTCTGCCTCCAGTTTACCACCTCAGTGGGAGAATCTCAATTGTATTTCCTTGATTCCTTACTTCCTCTCTCCTCGCCTCCTCAAAATCCTTGGATGAGGTCAGAGGTCCCTCCCCTCTGACCTTCTCATCCAATGGGTTTTGAGAAGGAGGCAAGGATAGAGGACGCGCGGTATCAAATAAATTCGTTTGAGATTCTCCCAAGGATCATCAGTGCTAACATGCAGGACCAGGCAACTAGCCAGGCAACCAGGAAGTGACAGGGCATTGAGTCGCCACCGGCTCCCGGAGTGACACTAACCAGTCAGACAGACTCTCCATTCAGAACATGGACTTATGATTCACACAGCGCTGCAGAGCCTCCCTCGGCTCTCATCTGCAAGGCAGGCACACATTCGCTGGAGAAATGCAACAGGCACACTTTGGGGAGAAGGCCAGAGAGTCTGACTGCTGTGAGAGTGTTATTTGAGACAGGGCCAGAATGAAAAGGGTCATTCATATTCAGCTGCAGTACAGCTCTAGCTACTGCCAGGTCTTATACTACCAACTGAACATTATATTAGCAACAGAAGAAGAATGGTGACTATAATTCTGAGGTTGCCAATGACAACACCATGTAGAGGATGAAAGGCTTTGTTTTATTATGGCGTATTCCTCCTCAGATGTTTAAAACCGCCTAGTGACATCTCATGTCATTGCTGCAAAATAGTGTGCAGATGAATCTGACAGGGCACTCACCCTAACCAACCAGCTTCTTCAGTCAAGACTCTTGACCTCTTAACTCTGACCCCTAACCTTTGACCTCTAGCAGACTGTTAAAATAGTGGTGTTCCTCTGCTCAGACGTTGCTGACGCATGCCAGATCTTACAACGCCTTGATAGGTATTTCACGTATCAGCTAACCACATGTCATAGCAATCTGGTGCCCAATGGCACAGTCGATGATGTGGCACACAACCATTGGTTGATGCATGCAACGTCTTAGCAGGGGAACACCACCTCTATTTCCAGTACTGCCAGGTCCTTCCTGTGTTTATGGACTCATATGGCTGTGATGAAATGAACTACAACAACAAAAACCAAACATCTACTTTGATTAGCTACTGAATATACAGTGGGGTCCGGGATTATTGGATCCCTTGATAAAGATGACAAAAAAGACTGTATAAAATAAATAATACAAATACTGGACTATGTTGTATGCTCAAAAAACTATACTGAACCAAAATATAAACGCAACATGCAATAATTTCAGAGATTTTACAGTTACAGTTCATATAAGGAAATCTGTCTATTGAAATAAATTAATTAGGCCCTAATCACATGATTTCACATTGGCCCACCCACTTGACTGGGCAGGGGCGCAGCCAGTAGGACCCCCCCACTGGGTAGCCAGGCCCAGCCAATCAGAATTAGTTTTTCCCCACAAAAGGGCTTTATTACAGACAGAAATACTCCTGTTTCATCAGCTGTCCGGGTGGCTGGTCTCAGACGATTCCGCAGGTGAAGAAGCCAGATGTGGAGGTCTTGGGCTGACGTGGTCTGCGGTTGTGAGGCCGGTTGGACGTACTGCCAAATTCTCGAAAATGACGGAGGTGGCTTATGGTAGAGAAATTAACATTAAATTCTCTGGCAACAGCTCTGGTGGACATTCCTACAGTCAGCATGCCAATTGCACGCTCCCTCAAAACTTTAGACATTTGTAGCATTGTGTCAAAACTGCACATTTTTCGTGATTACCGATCAATTATACATTTATAATTAGTAGGTTTTGTTATGTTTTAACAAATCTTATTTTTTTTGTACTTGTATTTTTTTTTGTGGTGTGGTTTTCATATAAGATATATACACACATATGCACACCGTTTATTTTATGCAAATATTTTTTTTGTGGCCTTTTACACAGGTGCACGTTGTGCTCGGGACAATGATCATGCTGTTTAATCAGCTTCTTGATATGCCACACCTGTCAGGTGGATGGATTATCTTGGCAAAGGAGAAATGCTCACTTAACAGGGATGTAAACAAATTTGTGCACAACATTTTTGAGAAATAAGCTTTTTGTGCGTATGGAACATTTCCGGGATCTTTTATTTCAGCTCATGAAACACGGGACCAACACTTTACGTTGTTATATTTTTTTGTTCAGTATAGGTGCCGGTACTGTTTATATTTAGGTGCAGGAATGCCACAATACTTTTGACCTAATATTCTATTAGAGGTGCAGGAACTGAAACCTTACAAACATCTGAGGTGCCGGTGCTCAGTTCTGGAGAGCGCCTGCCCAAGTCCAGCACTGGTTGGGTCCCAAATGGGCCCTGGTCAAAAGTACTGCACTGTATAGGAAAGGCCCAAAAATATTTAGCAAATGTATCGAATAAAAAAAATAAAAAATCACTGGAGATTTCAGACAATTGATTATATTATCATGAGACAGGGTACCCCCCCCCCCCAAAAACATACAAATCATCACTTATCATAGTTTAATTAAGAAACATAATAAACTGTAACATGAATACAGTACTCTGTCTTCATAAAGCACTATGCACAGAGACAGAGACATTCCAATTGTAACCATGGATACCAGTAAGGCCAAAACCCATTTTTTTTTAGACAATATGAATAGTATAACCTGATCGGTCGCTCGGCATTAGGTCTCCTTATAATCCATGTGTTTACATGGTAGTTACATACCAGTAAGTAATTAGTGTAATTCATTTTTAACCTAGCTGCCTACAATGTAATTACACCTATCTACTACTGTATGTAGCTGCCACATAAATACATGGGTTTTACACCTAATGGAAAATGGGACCACAAAATCTACTAGAGAAACGATGGGGACAACATTAGTATTATATAAAGACAGTGTGTAAGCTACTATATAAACCACACACTTATCGTTGACAGCCTGGTCTAAACCAAACCCACCCACAGCATGCAAAAACAATAAAGGTCAAAAGGTCAAATTTAAACCAATCAAAACAAACTATTGGGGACGGTTTCCCAGACACAGATTAAGATTTATCCAGGATTTATAACAATTTACATGGAGATACTCCATTAAGCTTGCTTTTCAGTTGACTGGGAAACCGCCCCTTGATGCCCTAAATCAATAACCTTAATTATCCTATACCTTTTGGTAGTTGAGAATCCATGATAGCACCACATGATAAAGGGTATGCACTGTAGACACTCTCAAGTCATCTTTCATAAACAGAGGGACAGGCCCTAGTGTGGTTCTTCTTCTTCATGGTACTTAATAAAGAAGAAAAAGAAGGAACAAGCTGACCGACAGAGCTTCTGATTGGTAGGACTGCGACACATCGACCTAGTAGTGTAGATTATTGAAAGCTATTCTGCGTAGGACTGGTGGGTTGAACCCTGAACTGAAGAATGGAGGACAGGAGAGTTGAGGCAGAACATCTATTTCATGTGACGGGATGAGAAAACTTCATGAGAGGGGCCGGGGGGGGGGGGTGTTAAAGTCAGCGTAGGTTGCAGTCGAGGCTGTATATGTTGTGCTCTTTGACTTAGTCTATAGCTCATCATCCAGGACACCCAGCCAGTGCTGATCCTGCTGACCCAAGGTGTTTCACACAACTACCACTGTAGGTTGAGTACCCTCCCTCCCTCCAGCCCCTTTCTTACCCTTTTCACACCAAGTGCACTGAAATGTTTATAATTGATGTCTGTTACGAACGTATAGATTTCCATTGAGATCCTAATGTTTAAAAAAATAACAAAAATGAAATAAGAAATTGGCATCATAGAAGTCCTTTACTCTGATTTGCTGGCCTCTTTTTCTGGAAGGGGAGAGACCTGACGTGGCGGAGAAGGAGGGTCCTCACTCTGATTGGTTGCTTCAGGACCTTGTGGCTCAGGATTGGTGAGGGGCTCCTCTGTGAGTGGTCCTGGGGTTTGCATACAGTTGATTGGTTGCAGAACTATGGGAGGCTGAGAGGGACAAACAGAGTGGAGACATCAGACCACTGTGGAGCAGGTCTGGGAGACAACAATATACTATTGACAACAGGAAAGACAGCAATAGACACAGAGATAAGATTGTTTATGCAGGATGCCAACAAAATATACAGCCATTCCTCTGTCAACAAGTGGATTCTAGATCAATGGACTAAATAAAGCCTTGAATGTTTTTCTATTATGAGGTTGTTGTCCTTCACTAGAATCAACACTGACTGGAGGCGTGTGTTAGCCAGCCTGGTAAACCGTTAGCAGAGGTATGGCTGTACATTGAGCTAGAAAACACCTCAGATAAAACTGGTGCCCTGGGTTGACTATACAGCACAAATATATTTGGGACCAGGCTACCTCAGACACACAGAGGGGGAAAACATTCTCAGGAAGGAGAGATCCTTCGGAGCGCCTCGTTTCACACTACATTCAAACCCAGTAGCTTCTAGAAGCGCGTTCATAATTCGCAGTTCAGAGAAAAGGGGTGAGAGACAGTTCAGTACACTCCCCTTGTCACCACCAGATACTATTCATGTTGTCAATGTATCATGAGTCTACCTACCAATGGTGTTTAATGACCCCAAACCCAATTACCCCCAACAAGTATCTATTCTAACACCACAGGACAATCTATTGTTAAGAAAATATGACAGTTGTTTAAGAGCAGAGGAATACAATGATAGAATAAAGGCAGACCCTGATCCCAGAGAATCCACAGTAAAACGACAGTATAGGACGGGAGGGCAGAGCAGAGCAGGGGAGGGGAGGGGGACAGCAAACAGAAACGGCAAGTTGGAACAAAGAAGCAGATTATATCTAGTTTGTTTTCAGGGTTAAGGTACTCAACTTTAAATTCTAGGTTTACTTTGTGGTACATAACACTAGAAATGTTTCTTTCCGTAGAAGAAGGCACTCATATCAAACTGGTAATCACCACAAATCCACTTCCTGTCCAGAATAATGGCAGCTCTTTGCGCCACAGCGCCACTGCCAGGCTGGAGAGGAGGGTGCAAGGCACCAGGTATAGCAGGGCTGGCTGACCCATCTGCATCAGGGCCAGAGCTACAAAGGTGATGAGCAGCCCGATACCATAACCTTCAGGGGGGAGGAGGGAGAGGAGAGATGGAGGAGGGAGAGGAGAGAGGGGAAGAGAGAGGAGAGGGGGAGGAGGGAGAGAGGGGAGAGAGAGTTGGCGACGAGGGGGAGAGATGGGTGGGAGAGCAGGGGGAAGAGAGGGGGGGAGAGGGAGGAGGTGATGAGGGGAGAGAGAGGAGGGAGAGAGGGACGAGAGCCTTCCGTCTCCTCTTTTGATCTCTCGTTCTCTCGTTTGTCTCTCGTCGTCGGTTTTTCATCCTTTCGTTCATATTTCTCTGTTTCTTAGTCTTCCTCTTTCTTTTTCGGTCTCGACGTTCTTTCGGTTGTCTCTTTCGCTCCGCTTCGTCTTTTTCGGTGCTCTTTGTTTGGTTGCTGGTTGCTTTGCTCCTTTTTTGTTTTCGCTTCTTTTGTTTGATTATCTCTTCTCGTTTTTTCGTTGCGTTTCTCTTTGTTTCGGTGCTCGGTCTGCGTTTCTTTGCTCGTTTCGCGTTTTGAGTTCTGTGGTACGTGCAGCGTTCTTTACTGCTTGTTTGGAACAAATACTATTAAGACTCTACACACAAATGAGATTTTTGACTATCAAAAAGACAATGCAAATCGAAATGTGTTGGTCTTACCGATAGTGCAGGCCAGGAAATAGAACCGTGAGGACTGCATGAGGATGTCAAATCTGTGACAGTATGCTACCAGCAGACCTGAGAGAGAGAGAGAGAGAGTCATGTCAGCTCAACCGGGACGAGTGCAGATATCTCGCCACAGAAAGATACGATAACAGGAGTTAGATATTGTACGATAAAGGACCAGGTGAAGAAAGACTCCTGATGAGAATTGGATTAGACACTATGGGAGGTACCTGGTACTAAGACAGGATACAGTAGTAGAATACAGTACAGCAGAAGAGTACAGTAGTAGAGTATAGCAGTAGAGTACAGTAGTAGAGTACAGTAGGAAAGTACAGTACAGTAATATGATACAGTAGTAGAATACAATACAGTAGTAGAGTACAGTAGTAAAATAGAGTAGTAGAGTACAATTGTAAAATACAGTGCAGTAGTAGTGTACAGTAGAGTAGTAGAATACAGTGTAGTAGATTACAGTAGTAGAGTACAGTAGTAGTGTACAGTAGTATAAAATACAGTAGTAGAATACAGTAGTAGAGTACAGTAGTAGTGTACAGTAGTAAAATACAGTAGTAGAATACAGTAGTAGAGTACAGTAGTAGAGTACAGTAGTAGTGTACAGTAGTAAAATACAGTAGTAGAGTACAATGTAGTCCTCTGTAGCTCAGCTGGTAGAGCACGGCGCTTGTAACGCCAAGGTAGTGGGTTCGATCCCCGGGACCACCCATACACAAAAATGTATGCACGCATGACTGTAAGTCGCTTTGGATAAAAGCGTCTGCTAAATGGCATATTATTTTTATTATTATTATATTATTATATTATATTATATTATATATTATATACAATAGTAAAATAGAGTACAGTAGTAAGATACAGTAGTAGAATACAGTACAGTAGTAAATCAAATCAAATTGTATTGGTCACATGCGCCGAATACAACAGGTGCAGACATTACAGTGAAATGCTTACTTACAGCCCTTAACCAACAGTGCATTTATTTTTAAAAATAAAACAACAAAAAAGTGTAGTAGAGTACAGTACAGTAGTAGCTAACAGTAGAGTAGTAGAATACAGTGCAGTAGATTACAGTAGTAGTGTACAGTAGTAAAATAACAGTAGTAGAGTACAATAGTAAAATACAGTACAGTAGTAGAATACAGTACAGTAGAAGAGTACAGTAGTAGAGTACAGTAGTAAAATACAGTACAGTAGTAAGATACAGTAGTAAAATACAGTAGTAGAGTACAATAGTAAAATACAGTACAGTAGTAGAATACAGTAGAGTAGTAAAGTGCAGTAGTAGGGTACAGTAGTAGATTACAGTAGTAGCTAACAGTACAGTAGTAGAGTATAGTACAGTAGTAGATAACAGAGTAGTAGAATACAATGCAGTAGTAGACTACAGTGCAGTAGTGTACAGTAGTAGAGTACAGTAGTAGAGTACAGTAGTAAGATACAGTAGTAAATACAGTAGTAGCGTACAGTAGTAGAGTACAGTAGTAGGGTACAGTAGTAAGATACAGCAGTAAAATACAGTAGAGTATAGTACAGTAGTATTATACAGTAGTAGAATAAGGTACAGTAGTATAGTATAGAACAGTAGTAGAGCACAGTAGTAAAATACAGTGCAGTAGTAGGGTACAGTAGTAGAGTACAGTAATAGGATACAGTACAGTGGTAGAATACAGTAGTACGTTGATTTTTTAAAAACATTTACGTCATTTAGCAGACGCTCTTATCCAGAGCGACTTACAAATTGGTGCATTCACCTTATGATAGCCAGTGGGACAACCACATTTGTTTCTTCTTTATTTTTTATGGGGGGTGGGGGAGGGGGGAAGAAGGATTACTTTTATACTATTCCAGGTATTCCTTAAAGAGGTAGGGTTTCAAGTGTCTCCAGAAAGTGGTCAGTGACTCCGCTGTCCTGGCGTCGTGAGGGAGCTTGTTCCAACATTGGGGTGCCAGAGCAGCGAATAGCTTTGACTGGGCTGAGCGGGAACTGTGCTTCTGTAGAGGTAGGGGAGCTAGCAGGCCAGAGGTGGATGAACGTAGTGCCCTCGTTTGGGTGTAGGGTCTGATCAGAGCCTGAAGGTAAGGAGGTGCCGTTCCCCTCACAGCTCCGTAGGCAAGCACCATGGTCTTGTAGTAGATGCGAGCCTCAACTGGAAGCCAGTGGAGTGTGCGGAGGAGCGGGGTGACATGAGAGAACTTGGGAAGGTTGAACAGCAGACGGGCTGCAGCATTCTGGAAAAGTTGTAGGAGTACAGTACAGTAGTAGGGTACAGTAGTAGAATACAGTACAGTAGTACATATAGTAGTAGAGTATAGTACAGTAGTAGAGTACAGTAGTAAAATACAGTAGTAAAATACAGTACAGTAGCAGGGTATAGTACTGTAGAAGAGTACAGTAGTAGACAGTACAGTAGTAGAGTACAGTAGTAGAATACAGTAGTAGAATACAGTACAGTAGTAGAATACAGTAGTAGAATACAGTACAGTAGTAGAATACAGTAGTAGAATACAGTAGTAGAATACAGTACAGTAGTAGAATACAGTAGTAGAATACAGTACAGTAGTAGAATACAGTAGTAGAATACAGTACAGTAGTAGAATACAGTAGTAGAATACAGTACAGTAGTAGAATACAGTAGTAAAATACAATGCAGTAGTAGAGTACAGTAGTAGAATACAGTACAGTAGTAGAATACAGTAGTAGAATACAGTAGTAGAATACAGTACAGTAGTAGAATACAGTAGTAGAATACAGTACAGTAGTAGAGTACAGTAGTAGAATACAGTACAGTAGTAGAATACAGTAGTAGAATACAGTATAGTAGTAGAATACAGTAGTAGAATACAGTACAGTAGTAGAATACAGTACAGTAGTAGAATACAGTAGTAGAATACAGTACAGTAGTAGAATACAGTAGTAGAATACAGTACAGTAGTAGAATACAGTAGTAGAATACAGTACAGTAGTAGAATACAGTAGTAAAATACAATGCAGTAGTAGAGTACAGTAGTAGAATACAGTACAGTAGTAGAATACAGTAGTAGAATACAGTAGTAGAATACAGTACAGTAGTATAATACAGTAGTAGAATACAGTACAGTAGTAGAATACAGTAGTAGAATACAGTACAGTAGTAGAATACAGTAGTAGAATACAGTACAGTAGTAGAATACAGTAGTAGAATACAGTACAGTAGTGTTACCTGGTACTAAGATGTCGCCAAATCCAAGCAGAGAAAAGGGCCTGTCACACAGAGCCAGAGGGGAAGAGTTGAGCCGGGGCACTTTGAGCACCATAGGAAGCTGGAAGGAGGCCAGCAAGGACAGAGAGCATCCTCTATTAGTTACATTATTACATCCTTCAATTGCTACATCAGTTCATGTGAAAGAACAGCTGTTATTTGAGAGCAAATCAGCAACAGAACATATCAAATCAATCGATGCCAAATGTACCTTTTCATGTGTGGAGGAATCAGAGGGCCCAGCCGCCACCTCCACCATAATACTATGACCACTCTGAGGAGACAAACACAGGACACATGGTAGTGGCTTAATGCAGGGTTTCCCAAACTTGGTCCTGGGGCCCCCCCTGGGTGCACGTTTTGGTTTTTGTCCTAGCACTACATAGCTGATTCAAATAATCAAAGCATGATGATGAGTTGGTTATTTGAATCAGCTGTGTAGTGCTAGGGCAAAAACCAAAACGTGCAACCAGGGGGGGCCCCAGGACCGAGTTTGGGAAACCCTGGTTTAATATATAGTCCATTTATCTAGCCAGTTAGTTCCTGCTTCATGTATAGCACCTACAGTGACTTCAGAAAGTATTCACACCCCTTTGTTATGGCAAGCCTAAATAAGTTCAGGAGTAAAAATGTACTTAACAAGTCACATAATAAGTTGCATGGACTCACTCTGTGTGAAATAATAGTGTTTAACATGCTTTTTGAATGACTACCTCATCTCTTTACCCCACACATACAATTATCTGTAAGGTCCCTCAGTTGAGCAGTGAATTTCAAACACAGATTCAACCACAAAGACCAGGGAGGTTTTCCAATGCCTCACAAAGGGCACCTATTGGTAGATGGGTAAAAAAAAAAAAAGCAGACATTGAATATCCCTTAGAGCATGGTGAAGTTATTAATTATCTATACACCCAGTCACTACAAAGATGCAGGCGTCCTTCCCAACTCAGTCGTCGGAGAGGAAGGAAACCGCTCAGGGATTTCACCATGAGGCCAATGGTGACCTTAAAACAGTTATAGAGTTGAATGGCTGTGATAGGAGAAAACTGAGGATGGATCAACAACATTGTAGTTACTCCACAATACTAACCTAAATGACAGAGTGAAAAGAAGGAAGCATGTACAGAATACAAATATTCCAAAACTAGCATCCTGTTTGCAACAAGGCACTAAAGTAAAACTGTAAAAAATGTGGCAAAGAAATGTTAATGTCCTGAATACAAAGCATTATGTTTCGGGAATATCCAACAGAACACATCACTGAGTAACACTCTTCATATTTTCAAGCATGGTGGTGGCTGCATCATGTTATGGGTATGCTCGTCATCGACAAGGACTAGTTTTTTTAGGATAACAAGAAACGGAATAGAGCCAAGCACAGGCAAAATCCTAGAAGAAAACCTGCCTTCCAACTGACACTGGAGACAAATTCACTTTTCAGCAGGACAATAACCTAAAACACAAGGCCAAATCTACACTGGAGTTGCTTACCAAGACGACATTGAATGTTCCTGAGTGGCCTAGTTACAGTTTTTACTTAAATCGTCTTGAAAATCTATGGCAAGACTTGAAAATGGCTGTCTAGCAATGATCAACAACCAATTTGACAGAGCTTGAAGAATTTAAAAAAGAATAATCAAATAAAATATTATTTGTCACATGCGCCGAATACAACAGGTGTAGACCTTACAGTGAAATGCTTACTTACAAGCCCTTAACCAACAATGCAGTTTTAAGAAAGAATACCTACAAAATAAAATAAGAAATAAAAGTAACTAATAATTAAAAAATAACAGTAGGGAGGCTATATACAGGGGGTACCGGTACAGAGTCAATGTGCGGGGGCAGCGGTTAGTCGAGGTAATTGAGGTAATATGTACATGTAGGTAGAGTTAATAATGTGCAATATTGTACAATCCAGGTGTGCAAAGCTCTTAAGAGACTTAACCAGAAAGACTCACAGCTGTAGTCACTGACAAAGGTGATTCTTACATGTATTGAGCCAGAGGGTTGAATACTTATGTAATCAATTGTGATGTCACGAGAGGCTGTGTCCTGGAGGGACGTTACATCCCCCTGAGGTGGCTGCAAACCCAGACAGCTATGGCTCCATCTGCTGGTATGGTCGGGAACTCCACCCCTCTATGGCCAATCTTCCCACGCAGCTGAAACAAATCAGGAGCTGATGAGCTGAAGGTTTTGGGAAGGGAAGAGACACACTGAGGGAGTGTGTGGGGGGTGAAGAAACACAGTCTCCAACCTGGGCTCTCTGGAGGACAAGAGTGCTGCACGTCCACTTCCAGGAGGAATATAAGGATTTGGAGATACTTACCTTTGGGAAATACTCACCTTTGGATATATGCACCTGTGGAAATACGTGAGAGACATTTGGAAGGACTTTTTGCTGGGTTGGCCACTAGCTGCAACATGGACTACAGTAAGGCTGGGGAAAAGTTATCTGAGCGAGTGAGAATTATGATTTTGGATGTGGAAGAGACATCCCTGAACTGTTAACCCTCAAAGAGCCACAAGAGAACAGAATTTTGTTATATTTTCGTTAATTTCCCAAGACCTATAATAAAATCCTTGTTTTGTTTGAACCTTGTCTCCTTGCACTACTTGAGCAACCCCGCTGAAAGCTGTGTAGCCTCTCGTGACGTCACAGATGGTGGAGAACACGGGCATACTCAAGCATTAATAGTGCATGGCAGAGGAGGATACCGAAGGTTTGATCACCCAGTTTTCCAAGTTGGCCGTAGGCTCCCCGCCGACTGAAATGGAGGACATATTGAAAGCCCTTGTTGCTGGCCAGCAAGCCCAGATGCAAGCAAACGTGGCTCTCTTGGAGGAGCAAAAGAAAGCCAACCTTCTGAAGGCAGAGGAATTGCAGTTGCAGAGACAGAGGGTTGTCCAAAATACCCGCCCAATAAAGGCAAGTGACTTTATATCTAAGATGGGAGCTACCGATGACATTGAGGCATACCTGCATGCATTTGAGGCCACGGCCACTAGGGAAGCCTGGCCCAAGCAACAGTGGGTTGGTCTGTTAGCCCCCTTTCTAACCGGGGAATCGCTGAATGCTGTCCGGGACCTGGGCCCTGACCAGGTTACTGACTATGATGCCCTGAAGGCTGAGATCCTCAGCAGATATGGACTCACAAAGTTTGGTATGGCCCAGCGCTTTCACAGCTGGACCTTCCAACCAGACCAACCTCCTCGGGCGCAGATGCATGAACTTGTCCGAATCGCAAGGAAATGGCTGGATCCGCAGAGGAATACAGCAGCGGCGGTGGTGGAGGCCGTTGTGGTGGATCGTTACCTACGCGCCCTGCCTTATGAGGCAAAACGGTTCATCAGTCAACAGGCCTTGACCACGGCTGATCTGACCGTGGAAGCTGTGGAAAAGTACCAGGCCACAGCGGAGATGCTGAATGCTTCCCGAAAAGACCCCAGGAGTGCGGCCCCACCACAAATGGGAAGAACCCGTCCAAAGGACCCCAAGGTCTCGAACCCAGCCACGTCAGGACTTATCCCGGCTCCAGGGGGAGCCAGAAACCAGGCGGGTCCAAGAAGAGTACACCAGGAGGGGGAAACTCGACAGTGTTACCGGTGTGGGGAGATGGGACATATCTCCTGGCAGTGTGGGAAACCAGCCGATGAACCTATGCCCACTGCGGAGTCCTCCAGCTCAGCACCCACACACCGTTTTGCCTCGCTCTTGGGAGTCGTAGATGGCGGCCCAGATCGACCCCCCACCTGCCCGGTAACTGTGAATCACCATGATGTGGAGGCCTTACTGGATTCTGGTAGCCGGGCCACCCTGGTGCGTAAGGATTTGGTGGGCCCAACGTGTCTGACCCCGGGGAAAGTCCTCCCAGTTTCCTGTGTCCATGGGGACACCAGAGAATACCCCATTACTGAACTTACAATGACCAGCACACGGGGAACCATACACACGACGGCGGGGGTGGTTGATTCCCTCCCCGTCCCTGTCCTAATTGGACGAGACTGCCCAGCCTTTTACCCACTCTGGAGAGAGTCTCAGGAGAGGATAACCCGAGTACCTCGGAAACGGAGAGGCAAGACTCATCCTGGGAAGGCTCCGGTGCAATCCTCCGAGTTACTCACTCCCGCCCGGGCTCTGATAGGGATGGCAGGTGCCCAGACCGACACCGAGACTGGTCCGGATACGGGAGAAGAGAACGCAGCCCAGGAAAGTGCTCCGTTCTCCAGTGAAGAAGACGTCCCAGGCACCCAAGAGCTTCCCCCTCTCACAGGCCAGTATGGTACGGCTCAATTACAAGATCCTACTCTTGCAAATGCCTTAAGAAATGTGCAGGTATTAGAAGGTGTAGTGTTAGGTGATAAGACAAACCCTACTTACCCCCATTTCGCAGTAAACCGGGGGTTAGTATATCAGATAGTCAAGAAAAATGATGAAGTGCATGAACAGCTCCTCGTGCCACAGCCCTATCGGGCCACAGTACTCAACCTAGCCCACACACACCCGCTAGGGGCCCACTTGGGGGTAGAGAAGACTAAGGAAAGAATCATGCAACGTTTCTTTTGGCCAGGAGTACACAAAGAGATAGAGAACTACTGCCGTAGTTGCCCTGAGTGTCAGCAGGTTGCGCCAAAGCCCACATATAGAAACCCGCTCATTCCCTTGCCCATTATCGAAACTCCTTTTGAGAGGATTGGATTAGACATAGTCGGGCCCTTACCGAAAAGTTCCAGGGGACATCAATACATTCTGGTCATTCTGGACTATGCATCCCGGTACCCGGAGGCCATTCCGCTGAGGAAGGCTACATCCAGACAAATCGCCAAGGAGCTGTTCCGTCTCTCAACTAGTCTGGGAATCCCAAAAGAGATATTGACGGACCAAGGGACTCCATTCATGTCCAGGGTGATGAAAGAACTCTGTGCTTTACTGAAAATCAAACAGCTGAGAACCTCGGTCTACCACCCCCAGACAGATGGCCTAGTCGAACGTTTTAACAAAACACTAAAATCCATGCTGCGGAAAGCGGTAGGGGAAGATGGGCGCAACTGGGATCAGCTGTTACCATACATATTATTTGCGGTGAGAGAGGTACCTCAGTCTTCTACTGGTTTTTCACCCTTTGAGCTCTTGCTTTCCTACAGACCCAGAGGACTGCTCGACATCGCCAAGGAGGCCTGGGAGGAGCAGCCATGCCAACAGCGGACACTGATCGACCATGTCGGGGCTATGAGGGAGAGAATGAAGGCCATCTATCCCATGATGCGGGAACACCTGGAGGCCAGTCAGCGGCAACAGCAAGCCTCCTACAACAGATCTGCTCAACCCAGGGAGTTTAAGCCGGGGGACAGAGTGCTGGTCCTGGTGCCAACCGTTGAGTGTAAATTCCTGGCAACCTGGCAAGGACCATATGAGGTCATTGAACGCATGGGAGAAGTAAACTACAAGGTGAGGCAACCAGATAAAAGAAAAACTGAGCAGATTTATCATGTTAACCTTTTAAAGAAGTGGCACGCCAGAGAGGCGATGTTCAGCTGTCTACCCCCCACAGAGACCAAGGAACCGGCGCGAGAAGAGGTTCAGCTGGGTCCAAATCTGTCCCCACATCAACGACAGATGGCCCTGGAACTCGTGGAGCAGAACCAGGATGTCTTCTCCTCCCTTCCCGGTCACACAGAGGTGGTCCAACATGAGATCCGCACCATGCCTGGCCGAACGGTAAACCAGCGCCCGTACCGCGTGCCAGAGGCTCGTAAAGTGGTTATACAGAAGGAGGTAAGGAAGATGCGGGAGTTGGGAGTAATCGAAGAGTCCCACAGTGCCTGGGCAAGTCCCATCGTACTGGTTCCCAAGCCAGACGGTTCAGTACGATTTTGTAATGACTATCGAAAGTTGAATGAAGTGTCTGAATTTGATGCATACCCAATGCCTCGTGTCGATGATTTAATAGACTCCTTGGGGCATGCTCGTTTCCTAACCACTCTTGATCTCACAAAAGGCTACTGGCAGGTGCCCCTGACCCCGGCGTCCAAGGAGAAGACAGCCTTTGCCACCCCGGAGGGGCTCTAACCAGTATACCCGACTTCCGTTTGGTCTCCACGGGGCACCTGCCACGTTCCAACGCCTGATGGATCGAGTCCTTGCGCCCCACAAGAGGTACGCAGCGGCTTATTTGGATGATGTTGTTATACAAAGTCCGGATTGGGCCAGCCACATACCCCGGGTACAAGCGGTGCTGGATTCGCTCAGGGAAGCAGGGCTCACGGCAAACCCGAAGAAGTGCAAGCTGGCCTTCAGTGAGACAAACTACCTGGGGTACACCATTGGGCGGGGGTTGGTCAAACCACAGGAAGCCAAACTGCGGGCCATACAGGACTGGCCGCAGCCCATCACCAAGAAGCAAGTAAGGTAATTTTTGGGCCTCGCTGGCTACTATAGACGCTTTATTGCAGATTTTGCTACCATAGCTGCACCGTTGACGGAGCTGACGACCAAACGCCACTCACGAATGGTGAAGTGGAACCCTGCGGCGGAGGCGGCTTTCCTCAACCTGAAGCGAGCACTCTGCTCCAGTCCGATCCTGGTGGCACCAGACTTCAAGAAGGAATTCATTATCCAAGCGGATGCTTCGGAGGTGGGTCTGGGTGCTGTCCTCACCCAGGCACATGACGGTGAAGAACATCCCATTCTCTACCTAAGCAGAAAGTTACTTCCAAGAGAGAAGAACTATTCAACGGTGGAGAAAGAATGTCTGGCTGTAGTCTGGGCCCTGGAGTCCCTTCGGTTCTATCTCCTGGGCCGACGTTTCAGGGTGGTATCTGATCACGCCCCTCTGCAGTGGATGGCCAAGAACAAGGAATCAAACAGTAGAGTAACCAGATGGTTTTTGAGCTTGCAACCGTTTAACTTTTCTGTTGTCCACAGGGCTGGCAAGCACCACGGCAATGCGGACGCCCTCTCCCGGCGTGATGCCTTCTTCGCTGCCTTTACCCCGACGAGGACGTCGGTCCCGAGGAGGGGGATGTGTGATGTCACGAGAGGCTGTGTCCTGGAGGGACGTTACATCCCCCTGAGGTGGCTGCAAACCCAGACAGCTATGGCTCCATCTGCTGGTATGGTCGGGAACTCCACCCCTCTATGGCCAATCTTCCCACGCAGCTGAAACAAATCAGGAGCTGATGAGCTGAAGGTTTTGGGAAGGGAAGAGACACACTGAGGGAGTGTGTGGGGGGTGAAGAAACACAGTCTCCAACCTGGGCTCTCTGGAGGACAAGAGTGCTGCACGTCCACTTCCAGGAGGAATATAAGGATTTGGAGATACTTACCTTTGGGAAATACTCACCTTTGGATATATGCACCTGTGGAAATACGTGAGAGACATTTGGAAGGACTTTTTGCTGGGTTGGCCACTAGCTGCAACATGGACTACAGTAAGGCTGGGGAAAAGTTATCTGAGCGAGTGAGAATTATGATTTTGGATGTGGAAGAGACATCCCTGAACTGTTAACCCTCAAAGAGCCACAAGAGAACAGAATTTTGTTATATTTTCGTTAATTTCCCAAGACCTATAATAAAATCCTTGTTTTGTTTGAACCTTGTCTCCTTGCACTACTTGAGCAACCCCGCTGAAAGCTGTGTAGCCTCTCGTGACGTCACACAATATAAACTCAGCAAAAAAAGAAACGTCCTCTCACTGTCAACTGCAATTATTTTCAGCAAACTTAACGTGTAAATATTTGTATGAACATAACAAGATTCAACAACTGAGACATAAACTGAACAAGTTCCACAGACATGTGACTAACAGAAATGAAATAATGTGTCCCTGAACAAAAGGGGGGGGGGGGGGGGTCAAAAGTAACAGTCAGTATCTGGTGTGGCCACCAGCTGCATTAAGTACTGCAGTGCATCTCCTCCTCATGGACTGCACCAGATTTGCCAGTTCTTGCTGTGAGATGTTACCCCACTCTTCCACCAAGGCACCTGCAAGTTCCCAGACATTTCTGGGGGGAATGGCCCTAGCCCTCACCCTCCGATCCAACAGGTCCCAGATGTGCTCAATGGGAGATCCGGGCTCTTCGCTGGCCATGGCAGAACACTGACATTCCTGTCTTGAAGGAAATCACGCACAGAACGAGCAGTTTGGCTGGTGAAGTCATGTCAGGATAAGCCTGCAGGAAGGGTAACACATGAGGGAGGAGGATGTCTTCCCTGTAACGCACAGCGTTGAGATTGCCTGCAATGACAACAAGCTCAGTCCGATGATGCTGTGACACACCGCCCCAGACCATGACGGACCCTCCACCTCCAAATCGATCCCGTTCCAGAGTACAGGCCTCGGTGTAACGCTCATTCCTTTGACGATAAACGCGAATCCGACCATCACCCCTGGTGACACAAAACAAGTGACTCGTAAGTGAAGAGCATTTTTTGCCAGTCCTGTCAGGTCCAGCGACGGTGGGTTTGTGCCCATAGGCGACGTTGTTGCCGGTGATGTCTAGCCTACAAGCCCTCAGTCCAGCCTCTCTCAGCCTATTGTGGACAGTCTGAGCACTGATGGAGGGATTGTGCATTCCTGGTGTAACTCGGGCAGTTGTTGTTGCCATCCTGTACCTGTCCCGCAGGTGTGATGTTTGGATGAACCGATCCTGTGCAGGTGTTGTTACACGTGGTCTGCCACTGCGAGGATGATCAGCTGTCCGTCCGGTCTCCCTGTAGCGCTGTCTTAGGCGTCTCACAGTACGGACATTGCAATTTATTGCCTTGGCCACATCTGCAGTCCTCATGCCTCCTTGCAGCATGCCTAAGGCACATTCACAAAGATGTTAGTGTCCTAGGTTTTCATAACTGTGACCTTAATTGCCTACCGTCTGTAAGCTGTTAGTGTCTTAACGACCGTTCCACAGGTGCATGTTCATTAATTGTTTATGGTTCATTGAACAAGCATGGGAAACATTGTTTAAACCCTTTACAATGAAGATCTGTGAAGTTATTTGGAATTTTACGAATTATCTTTGAAAGACAGGGTCCTGAAAAAGGGACGTTTCTTTTTTTGTTGAGTTTATATATATATATATATATATATATATATATATCCCACCTTGTAACAACAAAATGTGGAAAAATTTCAAGGGGTGTGAATACTTTCTGAATGCACTGTATAGCACCGCCTGTATAGCACCGCCTAAGTCAGATATTTTTCCACTAATTGGTCTTTTGACCAATCAGATCAGCTTTTTGCCAATAATTGGTAAAAATATCAGAAACTTGTCCTGTAACAAAAGGCACTTTAGAATTAAAATGTATAAATATTTCCTATTTAAATGAGGGGCTCCACTGTGACGTACCTTGGTAAAGAGAGGAGTAATGAATACAAAGAAAACATCGTAGACAAACAGGGTCACCAGCAGCATGGTGCAGGCCTGGAGCAGAAGACATGGAAGAAGAAGAATATATTAATACGACCTTTCCTGCCTATGGATGTTGTTCAATGGGGTTAGATACACAGGTCACTGCTTGTCATAGGGTCGGGGAAAAACTCCTGGTCATTAACACACATGCATGATCATCAGTACAACTCCTGGCCCTAGTTAGTTACTAATGTGGTCAGTACCACTTTTAAAATGGCCGCCAGTCCATCCATGACAGGCCCATTGACTTGAATGGGATATTCCCATTCTAGTGATTCTACTTCTATGGTCAGTACATTATAATCATCATTTGGTTGGTGCTTATATTTGTCCTGTTTCACACATGAACAAGTGTGTATTCATATTTGTGTGAATTGGAAATGTGTTCCTTTTTTTGCATATCCCAACTCCCCCTGAGACACCCACTGAGAGTGGGGTCACAGCCAGGAACTGCCATTATCAACGGCGATCCTGGAGCGATTAGGGATAAGTGCCTTGCTCAAGGGCACAGACAGATTTGTACTACCTTGTCACCTCTGGGATTCGAACTAGCGACATTTCGGTTGCTGGCCCACCGCTTGGCTACCTGCCGCCCTGTAATGCTATGCTGGTGTATCCCCAGAATACCATATAGAATCATATAGACTACAGAATTATAGAATCTCTATACTGGTGTACGAACCTTAAACGTGGGCAGTCTGATAGTCTTGAGCATGTAGAGACAGAAGGCTATGCCCAGGGCATCCTGTAACACCCACGCCCACCTAGGAGAGGACACAGCAGATGGCAGGAATAACAGTTAGCCTGCCACACACACAGGGATAAACACACTCACACCTCAACACAACACAAACAAATGCCTCAAGAAGACTATGTTAGCCCATGGAGCTGAAACCTGAAGCCTAGGCATTCATTAGCTCTAGGTGCTTAAGGCTAAGTCTTCAGGTCTCAGGCAACATTACTCCTCCCTCTAGCGTAGCTAACCAGTAAGACGGTTGGAAGAGTCCAGGAATCAGGAAGGAATAAGCAGGAAATCCGGGAATTCTCTAACTGGAATTTCTGGAAAACCTGGGAATTTTGGAGAAGTTACTTTCCGAAGATTTTTGAATTTTGTCACCCTAGTTAGTACTCACTGATCTTGGTTGCGGAACACGCCCCAGGTGACGCTGACTCCGATGCAGAAGGCTGACAACAGCAGCATGCGGACCTGAGGCCTCTTGTGGCAGTAAGGCAGGTTGTTCTCTGGGATCCTACACATAAACACACACACAGGAAGAAGTTGAAAAAGTAAAAAAAATAAAGAAATAGATGGAGAGTTATTGGTTGATGGTGGACTACTTCCTGGTGATTATGAACAGATCTTACTTCCTGGTGATTATGAACAGGTCTTTGTTAGGTTGATGGTGGACTACTTCCTGGTGATTATGAACAGATCTTACTTCCTGGTGATTATGAACAGATCTTACTTCCTGGTGATTATGAACAGATCTTTGTTAGGTTGATGGTAAGTCTCTCACCTGCACTTCCCGAAGGGGAGTCTCCTAACGAAGGGCCAGAGACAGCTGTACAGGCCAACAGACGAGGCCAGGCAGAATATCCCAATGATCATATACACTACACAGACAGAGGATAGAATATAACAATGATCATATACACTACACAGACAGAGGATAGAATATAACAATGATCATATACACTACACAGACAGAGGATAGAATATAACAATGATCATATACACTACACAGACAGAGGATAGAATATAACAATGATCATATACACTACACAGACAGAGGATAGAATATAACAATGATCATATACACTACACAGACAGAGGATAGAATATAACAATGATCATATACACTACACAGACAGAGGATAGAATATAACAATGATCATATACACTACACAGACAGAGGATAGAATATAACAATGATCATAGACACTAAACAGACACTACACAGACAGAGATAAGTGAATGTAAACCAGAGAGAAAGGCAGAGACAGGTTAAGGTGGGGAGACAGGTGTATACCCAGGTGGTCGTAGACTAGATTAAGAGACAGGTAGAGATGGGTACAGGTGTATACCCAGGTGGTCGTAGACTAGATTAAGAGACAGGTAAAGAGACAGGTAGAGATGGGTACAGGTGTATACCCAGGAGGTCATAAACTAGATAAGAGACAGGTAGAGATGGGTACAGGTGTATACCCAGGAGGTCGTAGACTAGATTAAGAGACAGGTAGAGATGGGTACAGGTGTATACCCAGGAGGTCGTAGACTAGATAAGAGACAGGTAGAGATGGGTACAGGTGTATACCCAGGTGGTCGTAGACTAGATTAAGAGACAGGTAGAGATGGGTACAGGTGTATACCCAGGTGGTCGTAGACTAGATTAAGAGACAGGTAGAGATGGGTACAGGTGTATACCCAGGAGGTCGTAGATTAAGAGACAGGTAGAGATGGGTACAGGTGTATACCCAGGAGGTCGTAGACTAGATTAAGAGACAGGTAGAGATGGGTACAGGTGTATACCCAGGAGGTCGTAGATTAAGAGACAGGTAGAGATGGGTACAGGTGTATACCCAGGTGGTCGTAGACTAGATAAGAGACAGGTAGAGATGGGTACAGGTGTATACCCAGGAGGTCGTAGACTAGATAAGAGACAGGTAGAGATGGGTACAGGTGTATACCCAGGAGGTCATAGACTAGATAAGAGACAGGTAGAGATGGGTACAGGTGTATACCCAGGAGGTCGTAGACTAGATTAAGAGACAGGTAGGGATGGGTACAGGTGTATACCCAGGTGGTCGTAGACTAGATTAAGAGACAGGTAGAGATGGGTACAGGTGTATACCCAGGTGGTCGTAGACTAGATTAAGAGACAGGTAGAGATGGGTACAGGTGTATACCCAGGTGGTCGTAGACTAGATTAAGAGACAGGTAGAGATGGGTACAGGTGTATACCCAGGTGGTCGTAGACTAGATTAAGAGACAGGTAGAGATGGGTACAGGTGTATACCCAGGTGGTCGTAGACTAGATTAAGAGACAGGTAGAGATGGGTACAGGTGTATACCCAGGTGGTCGTAGACTAGATTAAGAGACAGGTAGAGATGGGTACAGGTGTATACCCAGGTGGTCGTAGACTAGATTAAGAGACAGGTAGAGATGGGTACAGGTGTATACCCAGGTGGTCGTAGACTAGATTAAGAGACAGGTAGAGATGGGTACAGGTGTATACCCAGGTGGTCGTAGACTAGATTAAGAGACAGGTAGAGATGGGTACAGGTGTATACCCAGGAGGTCGTAGACTAGATAAGAGACAGGTAGAGATGGGTACAGGTTTATACCCAGGTACGTACCTAGGTGGTCGTAGAAGAAGTAGAGCAGTACCAGCATCGAGCAGCACATGACCACGAACACAGAGATCATGATGGGCGTCACATCCACCGTCTCCTCGTCCTGCTTCTCCGCGCTGTCGTCACGCTTGTGCTTCAGGTAGCGCCTGCAGACAGAGGGACACCACAGGGACACGTGAGGGAGGAGGGACACAGGAGGGAGGAGGGACGCCCCTGGGGACTATCGTCAGTAACAGACCCTGAAAATCTGTCGCCATGGACACCTAGCAACTGAGGTATAAAGGAAGGTTGTAGCGCAAAAACTGCTCTTCTTGAGTGACAGGAGGTGGGGCTTGGTGTGTGTGGAAGAGAGAGGGAGAGTGAGTGAAGAATCAAATGGAGTAAACTATAAAAACAGACATTATTACACACAGCGGAGAAGCGTTATACAAGGTAAATTAAAAACCAAAACTGGTCCGTGCATCAAACCGGTCCACCCCGTTTTACCCTCCCCCTGTCAGTAACAGACCCCTCTCCATCCTGAAGCAACTTGTCTTCACCCTTCATCCTACAGCTAAAGCTCCCCCACGAAGAAGTTGACCCAGTCCCTAAGCACTGATTTAAAATTAGCTCTAATATCCTCCTCAAATCCTGGGGGAAGCTTTATTTGTCACATGCGCCGAATACAACAGGTGTAGTCCTTACAGTGAAATGCTTACTTAAAAGCCGTTAACCAACAATGCAGTTTTAAGAAAGAATACCAACAACAACAAAAAAATCACAAAAAAATACTATATAAAATAATACGAAATAAAAGTAACAAATAATTATAGAGCAGCAGTATAAAGAACAGTAACGAGGCTATATACAGGTGGGTACCGGTACCGAGTCAATGTGAAATAACAGTAGAGAGGCTATATAGAGGGGATACCGGTACCGGTACCGAGTCAATGTGCAGGGGCACAGGTTAGTCGAGGTAATATGTACATGTAGGTAGAGTTATTAAATTGACTATGCGTAGATAATAAACAGAGAGTAGCAGCAGCGTAAAAGAGGGGGGGGGGGGGGGCATTGCAAATAGTCTGGGTGGTCATTTGATTAGATGTTCAGGAGTCTTATGGCTTGGGGGTAGAAGCTGTTAAGAAACCGCTTGCCGTGCAGTAGCAGAGAGAACAGTCTATGACTAGGCTGGCTGGAGTCTTTCACAATTTTTAGGACCTTCCTCTGCCACCGCCTCGTATAGAGGTCCTGGATGGCAGGAAGCTTGGCCCCAGTGATGTACTGGGCAGTACGCACTACCCTCTGTAGTGCCTTTCGGTCGGAGGCCGAGCAGTTGCCATACCAGGCAGTGATGCAATCAGTCAGGATGCTCTCGATGGTGCAGCTGTAGAACCTTTTGAGGAGTTGAGGACCCATGCCAAATATTTTCAGTCTCCTGAGGGGGAATAGGTTTTGTCGTGTCCTCTTCACGACTGTCTTGGTGTGCTTGGACCATGTTAGTTTGTTGGTGATGTGGACACCAAGGAACTTGAAGCTCTCAACCTGCTCCACTACAGCCCCGTCGATGAGAATGGGGACGTGCTCGGTCCTCTTCTTTTTCCTGTAGTCCACGATCATCTCCTTTGTCTTGATCACGTTGAGGGAGAGGTTGTTATCCTGGCACCACACGGCCAGGTCTCTGACCTCCTCCCTATAGGCTGTCTAGTCGTTGTCGGTGATCAGGCCTACCACTGTTGTGTCATCTGCAAACTTAATGATGGTGTTGGAGTCGTGCCTGGCCATGCAGTCATGAGTGAACAGGGAGTACAGGAGGGGACTGAGCACGCACCCCTGAGGGGCCCCCGTGCTGAGGATCAGCGTGGCGGAGGTGTTGTTACCTACCCTAACCACCTGGGGGCGGCCCGTCAGGAAGTCCAGGATCCAGTTTAGTCCCAGGGTCCTTAGCTTAGTGATGAGCTTTGAGGGCACTATGGTGTTGAATGCTGAGCAAATTGGAGTGGGTCTAGGGTTTCTGGGATAATGGTGTTGATGTGCGCCATGACCAGCCTTTCAAAGCACTTCATGGCTACAGATGTTAGTGCTACGGGTCGGTAATCATTTAGGCAGGTTACCTTAGTGTTCTTGGGTACAGGGACTATGGTGATCTGCTTGAAACATGTTGGTATTACAGACTCTGACAGGGAGAGGTTGAAATGTCAGTGAAGACACTTGCCAGTTGGTCAGTGCATGCTCGGAGTACACGTCCTGGTAATCCGTCTGGCCCTGTGGCCTTGTGAATGTTGACCTGTTTAAAGGTCTTACTCACGTCGGCTACGGAGAGCGTGATCACACAGTCGTCCGGAACAGCTGATGCTCTCATGCATGTTTCAGTGTTACTTGCCTCGAAGCGAGCATAGAAGTAATTTAGCTCGTCTGGTAGGCTTGTGTCACTGGGCAGCTCGCGGCTGTGCTTCCCTTTGTAGTCTGTAATAGTTTGCAAGCCCTGCCACATCCGACGAGTGTCGGAGCCGGTGTAGTATGATTACATCTTAATCCTGTATTGATGCTTTGCCTGTTTGATGGTTCGTCGGAGGGCATTGCGGGATTTCTTATAAGCTTCCAGGTTAGAGTCCCACTCCTTGAAAGCGGCACCTCTACCCTTTAGCTCAGTGCGGATGTTGCCTGTAATCCATGGCTTCTGGTTGGGGTATGTACGTACAGTCACTGTGGGGACGACGTCATCGATGCACTTATTGATGAAGCCATTGACTGATGTGGTGTACTCCTCAATGCCATCGGAAGAATCCCGGAACATGTTCCAGTCTGTGCTAGCAAAACAGTCCTGTAGTTTAGCATCTGCTTCATCTGACCACTTTTTTATTGACCGAGTCACTGGTGCTTCCTGCTTTAGTTTTGGCTTGTAAGCAGGAATCAGGAATTTAGAATTATGGTCAGATTTGCCAAATGGAGGGCGAGGGAGAGCTTTGTAGCGTCTCTGTGTGTGGAGTAAATGTGGTCTAGAGTTTTTTCCCCCTCTGGTTGCACATTTAACAGGCTGGTAGAAATGAGGTAAAACGGATTTAAGTTTCCCTGCATTAAAGTCCCCGGCCACTAGGAGCGCCACCTCTGGATGAGCGTTTTCCTGTTTGTTTATGAAGGGTAAAGACAAGTTGCTTCAGGATGGAGAGGGGTCTGTTACTGACAGGGGGAGGGTAAAACGGGGTGGACCGGTTTGATGCACGGACCAGTTTTGGTTTTTAATTTACCTTGTATAACGCTTCACCGCTGTGTGTAATAATGTCTGTTTTTATAGTTTACTCCATTTGATTCTTCACTCACTCTCCCTCTCTCTTCCACACACACCAAGCCCCACCTCCTGTCACTCAAGAAGAGCAGTTTTTGCGCTACAACCTTCCTTTATACCTCAGTTGCTAGGTGTCCATGGCGACAGATTTTCATGCGAATATTCAAAAATCCGCATTAAAAAATATATGCATATTTTCCCACCAGTGGTGTGTTTCCACCAAACGGACTTCTTGTGGATAAAAATCAGTGCGTGACGACGTAGTGCAGTTGTTCCCAAACTGTAGGGCGCGAGGTGTCGGCAGGTGGGGCGCGAGGTGTCGGCAGGTGGGGCGCTAGGGGTCGGCAGGCGGGGCGCTAGGGGTCGGCAGGCGGGGCGCTAGGGGTCGGCAGGTGGGGCGCGAGGGGTCGGCAGGCGGTGCGCGAGGGGTCGGCAGGCGGTGCGCGAGGGGTCGGCAGGCGGTGCGCGAGGGGTCGGCAGGCGGTGCGCGAGGGGTCGGCAGGCGGTGCGCGAGGGGTCGGCAGGCGGTGCGCGAGGGGTCGGCAGGCGGTGCGCGAGGGGTCGGCAGGCTGATGATGCACTACCCAACTTACTCTTGAAAGTTGTAATAGTAGAACGCACAAAGTGCAATTTCGAAATTGTGTAGTGCATCATCGGTTTTCCTCATCGTGTTAGTCATTGCATACCTTAGAGATATTTATAACTTGTCAGAAATGTCCACATCAACTAGACCATGTCAGCTAACGTTTTGTAGCCCATAGATTTTGTTGTAATGTTTGAGTCACTCAAATATCACATGAATACACATTAGACATGACAAAATGTATAGAATTGGAAGAAATAAGCTTTAAACCTGCTAAATTCTCTATATACAGAGGGGTGTGAACAGTTTGTGTCATGAACAGTGCTTGTGCCCATACCTCAACTAGCCGGTGCCCCCGCACATTGACTCTGCACCGGTACCCCCCTGTATATACAGCCTCCCTACTGTTATTTTATTTTACTTCTGCTCTTTTTTTTCCTCAACACTTTTTTTGTTGTTGTTTTATTTTTACTTTTTTTGTTAAAAATAAATGCACTGTTGGTTAAGGGCTTGTAAGTACGCATTTCACTGTAATGTCTGCACCTGTCGTATTCGGCGCATGTGACCAATAAAATTTGATTTGATTTGAAATAGATGTGGCGCACAATACTGGAAGGGGGGCCTGAGTTAAAAAGTTTGGGAACCCCTGACCCCTGGTGCACACAAAATGTACTTTTTCGCTTAACTTTTCATGTACCGAATAAAAATCGAAAGTTCAATGTGTTTACATCGTATTTTCCACTCTACCGATAGTTTTGTGACAAAAACAGTTGCGTTAAATGGCAAATGTGCCTACTCTGGTCTTGGCACGTGCGCTCTAGCCCCAAGCCAAACGCTCACAGATACAGTGCGGGTAGGCTAGTCTACCCGATGAGACTATTATGGATAGGAGCAAGAATATTTGTATTTGTCAAACGGCAGTCAAGCATCGATCATCATGTCACTCAGACCCTTTATATTTAATGGAAAGGAGCATCAAGATCACTGTGTCCTTTCACCACCCTGTGAAGTTCATCAGAAGTTATTTCATCTGTAGACTAATAAAACTGCCTGGTTTCCTGACTCGTAGAGGGAGGACCACACACCATATCATCGCGTGACTAAGTTTTACTTCGATATTATGGTTATTATATCAATATTTGCGCATCAAGGCGTTTCCACCGCCATTTCTCACATCATTAATTTTACAGACACAAAAAGATTGCACCACGTTGAACGAACAAATTATCTGTCGGTATGACTTTACTAGCATAAAAACTGTGGAAGGAAACGTGGTTATTGGCTATCAAAAGTCACAACAACCACTCGCAGTGACAGTCTGCATGTTGGTGACAACGATGCAGCTTTCCACTTTGCTTCTTAATATAAATCCACAAGCGTTCTATAATTACACTATTCGTTTGTGTATCTTACTGTCTGCAAACAGCTGGTTTATCTTTTCTTAGCAACTCTACCTACATGTACAGTGAGGGGAAAAAAGTATTTGATCCCCTGCTGATTTTGTACATTTGCCCACTGACAAAGAAATGATCAGTCTATAATTTTAATGGTAGGTTTATTTGAACAGTGAGAGACAGAATAACAACAAAAAAATCCAGAAAAACGCATGTCAAAAATGTTATTAATTTATTTGCATTTTAAATGAGGGAAATAAGTATTTGACCCCCTCTCAATCAGAAAGATTTCTGGCTCCCAGGTGTCTTTTATACAGGTAACGAGCTGAGATTAGGAGCACACTCTTAAAGGGAGTGCTCCTAATCTCAGCTTGTTACCTGTATAAAAGACACCGGTCCACAGAAGCAATCAATCAATCAGATTCCAAACTCTCCACCATGGCCAAGACCAAAGAGCTCTCCAAGGATGTCAGGGACAAGATTGTAGACCTACACAAGGCTGGAATGGGATACAAGACCATTGCCAAGCAGCTTGGTGAGAAGGTGACAACAGTTGGTGCGATTATTCGCAAATGGAAGAAACACAAAATAACTGTCAATCTCCCTCGGCCTGGGGCTCCATGCAAGATCTCACCTCGTGGAGTTGCAATGATCATGAGAACGGTGAGGAATCAGTCCAGAACTACACGGGAGGATCTTGTCAATGATCTCAAGGCAGCTGGTACCATAGTCACCAAGAAAACAATTGGTAACACACTACGCCGTGAAGGACTGAAATCCTGCAGCGCCCGCAAGGTCCCCCTGCTCAAGAAAGCACATATACATGCCCGTCTGAAGTTTGCCAATGAACATCTGAATGATTCAGAGGAGAACTGGGTGAAAGTGTTGTGGTCAGATGAGTCCAAAATCGAGCTCTTTGGCATCAACTCAACTCGCCGTGTTTGGAGGAGGAGGAATGCTGCATATGACCCCAAGAACACCATCCCCACCGTCAAACATGGAGGTGGAAACATTATGCTTTGGGGGTGTTTTTCTGCTAAGGGGACAGGACAACTTCACCGCATCAAAGGGACGATGGACAGGGCCATGTACCGTCAAATCTTGGGTGAGAACCTCCTTCCCTCAGCCAGGGCATTGAAAATGGGTCGTGGATGGGTATTCCAGCATGACAATGACTCAAAACACACGGCCAAGGCAACAAAGGAGTGGCTCAAGAAGAAGCACATTAAGGTCCTGGAGTTGCCTAGCCAGTCTCCAGACCTTAATCCCATAGAAAATCTGTGGAGGGAGCTGAAGGTTCGAGTTGCCAAACGTCAGCCTCGAAACGTTAATGACTTGGAGAAGATCTGCAAAGAGGAGTGGGACAAAATCCCTCCTGAGATGTGTGCAAACCTGGTGGCCAACTACAAGAAACGTCTGACCTCTGTGATTGCCAACAAGGGTTTTGCCACCAAGTACTAAGTCGTGTTTTGCAGAGGGGTCAAATACTTATTTCCCTCATTAAAATGCAAATCAATTTATAACATTTTTGATATGCGTTTTTCTGGATTTGTTTGTTGTTATTCTGTCTCTCACTGTTCAAATAAACCTACCATTAAAATTATAGACTGATCATTTCTTTGTCAGTGGGCAAACGTACAAAATCAGCAGGGGATCAAATACTTTTTTCCCTCACTGTACATATTACCTCAATTACCTCGAATAACCGGTGCCCCCGCACATTGACTCGGTACCGGTACCCCCTGTATATAGCCTCGCTATTGTTATTTTTTACTGCTGCTCTTTCATAATTTGTTACTTTAATTATTATTTTATATTGCATTGTTTTGTGTGATTTTTTTTGGTATTCTTTCTTAAAACTGCATTGTTGGTTAAGGGCTTGTAAGTAAGCATTTCTGTTGTATTCGGCGCATGTGACAAATAAAATGTAATTTAATTTTAAATAAATTGTGTTAGCTAATGCTAATCGCTAGTTAGCTGGCTAGTTAAATGTACTTATTCAGAGCAAACGTAGCTAGCTAGCTAGCTAGCTAATAAATATACTTATTCAGAGCAAACGTAGCTAGCTAGCTAGCTAATAAATATACTTATTCAGAGCAAACGTAGCTAGCTAGCTAATACAGCCTGATACCAGTGCTGGAGAAGGTCTAGATAAGCATGTTGTTTGTGCAACGGTACGGTATATTCTAAATCAAAGCTACAGTAAGAGAACACATTTAATGTAACATGAATTAGGGTCCACTGGGAAACATTGACCAACACTTTGGTTCCCACCCTGCCACAAGAAACCCTCCCTGGCTTTTTCATTCGTTGTCATGTCAAACGCTGTATTCAAAGTACCCACTATATTCCAACTTTTTGGTTGAAGTTTCATTGAAAAGTATAAAACTATCAGAATGGACAAAGCCCCATTAAAAACACTTAAAATGTATGTGTTGCCACCCTAGGGTCATGCGCTACTCATAAAGCATATTTAGAACTTGTATTATTCAAAAACCTCAAATACCATAAAAAAATATTGTGATATGATATTTTGGCCATATCGCCCAGCCCCCGCCGAACTGACCTCTGCTCAGTATCTAGACTAGAGGCAACTTCACTCTACCTCTCTCTCCACCCTGCCCACAGCACTCTCTCACTCACTCTCTTTTCCCCAGAGATGATAACCCTTGATAATTTAACCACGGTCTAAATTAAGCCACTACTATGTGGCCTAGCAAGCCTCGCCCTCTCACACTAGCTTTCCTTGTAGTCTCCGACCACGCTGCTATCCACAGCTGTCTGTTGGAGTGGCCTAAGGGTGGTCTAGCAGTCTAAGCCGTTGCCTCCGGATCACATATACCACTGCAGCGTGGATTCAAATCTGGCCACATGCCATTTCAGCAAACTCTCTCCATCTTTCGTGTCTACCTCTGTCCTACCAACAAAACAAAAAAGTGAGGTGTCCTTTTGTGAGGGACTACTTTTTACTGTCTGTCAGACTTACTTCTTGATGTCCTTGCTACTACCACCACCACCATCACCACTACTACCACCACCACCACCACTACCACCACCACTACCACCACCACCACCCACTGACCACATCACTATTACTACTACCACCATCACCACTACCACTATCTCTACTACTACCACCACCACCACATCACCACTATACTACCACTACACCAAATCACCAACAGAACTACACACACACCCACACACAGACGAGCACCACAAGACAAGACCACCAACACACTAACCTACCAACCCAACCACCACACCACACTACCAACAAACCACAACAACGACCACACCACTACATACCACCACCACCACATACAGAACATACACCAACACACGCTACACCACAAACACACACACTCACCACACAACACCATCACCACCACACTGCCACCACCACACACATACCACCAAATACTCACATACAACACTACCACCACGCACACTACAGACACTACACCACCAACACACATAGACCAACACAACAACTACTACACACCAACACTACACACACCAAGCAACACAAACAACATAGTACACACCACCGAAACACATACCACCACAACCACACGACTGACCACCAAATACAACTACGAACATCACATACTACACACCAACACCAATACACACAACCACCACACCACATCACCATACTACCACCACACTACACTACTACCACCACCACACTCACCACCCAACACTACCCCACACACATCACATACTACCACCACCACCACTACCGCCCACACCACCACACACATACTCACCCCCCACCTACCTCACCCACCCACCAGCTACCTAGCCCCACCAGACCTCCTACCACCACCATCACTACACCACCCCATCACCAATACCACCACCCTACCACCTACTACTACCACATACTACTACACCACCACCACCACCATCACCACCACTACTACCTACCACCACCACCACTATCACTACTACCCCACACACTCACTACGACTACCACTATACGTACACCATCACCATACTACCACTACCACCACCACACACACTACCACCACACCTACCACCACACCTACCACCACCACCACCACACACCAACACCACCATCACACCACCACCACCATCACTACTACCACCATACTCACCCATACAACCACCACCACCACAACCATCTACACCACTACCACATCACACCCACCCCACCATACTACTACCACCATCCTCACCACTACCACTCTACCATACACCACCACCACCCACCATCCACTACCACCACCATCATCACTACTACTACCCCCACCACCAGACTTACTTGTTGATGTCCTTGCTGCCGGCCCAGTATCCTCCGATGGCCACTGTCCCCACAGCCATGAGGAAGATGATGGCCATGTTGTAGTCCAGGACGGGCTCCTTGGGCGCGTACATGGCCACCTCTCTGCCCTGCCCAAACGTCTGCAGGGGACAGGAAACACAGCATTTGGGTAAATTGACAAATTAATTGATTTGTTGATCTTTGTTAGTCACGTTACAAACATCAAGTTTGTTTGAACAGGGTCGCGTTCAGGACGGGTGGCAGATAGAAATGTAATGAATAGAGCAGCTGACATGATTCATTTAGCCTCAATGCTTACTCTACATGTCAGAGAGGCATGTTTGTTCTTTATGATATATCTCTATCTAAACACATGGGGGCGCGTTCCGGATAGAAGAGCTGACATGAATCCTTAGTCATAATCAATCCTTACTCTACACGTCAGAGGCATCTCTGTTTTGTATGATATAGTTATATCTGAATGTTCCACAGCGTATCATGTGTCCTACTGAACAGTGTTCAAGAGTTGCCAAATTCCAGTAACTTTTCCCAAACTCTCAGGTAGTCCAGAAATCCTCTTGGAGGATTCTGGAATTCCTGCTTATTCATACTTTTTTTCCCGATAATCTTCCAACAGGGATTTCAGAAAAGGCTGGGAATTTTGGGATAGTTACCGGAATTTTTATAACCCTAGATGTTGGTCTCTCCTCTGCTCTCACCTTAATGATGTCCAGCATGTCAGTGTAGCTGAGCAGCGCCACAGGGATGTCAATCTCCTCATACTGACTCTTGTTTCCTGCCGGTGGGGTCTGTGATAGGAAAAACAGAAATAAAAAAATCGGCAAATACTGACTGTACAGAAAGTATTTAGAAAATATATATTCAATCTATTATTTACACTAAAGCTGTAGGATCTGAATTTGATCACCCTGTTGCAGGATAACTTTCCTACAGTGCAGGAAATGTAAAACCTGTAGTGCATTTGAGGTTAAAAATGCTTCTGTTTGTAATTTCCACTTAGAAATGTCAGACTTGATATTCACTTATAAAACATTTATCAACCGCTACAAAAATGCCCATTAATTATAATCCACATTTCCTGTTGCTGCAGTATTATTTTCCTGCTGTAGCAAACTGGCTCAAATTAAGATCCTACACACGATGACCTACACTGAGTATATCAAACAGTAGGAACACCTTCCTAATATTGAGTTTGCCCTCAGTCCCAGTGGAGGCTGCTGAGGGGAGGACGGCTCATAATAATGGCTGGAACGGAGCGAATGGAATCAAACACATGGAAACCATGTCTTTGATACTATTTCACTTATTCCGCTCCAGCCATTGCCACGAGCCCGTCCTCCCCAATTAAGGTGCCACCAACCTCCTGTGCCCAGAACAGCCTCAATTCGTTGAGGCATCGACTCTACAAGGTGTCGAAAGCGTTCCACAAGGATGCTGGCCCACGTTGACTCCAATGCTTCCCACTGTTGTCTCAAGTTGGCTGGATGTCCTTTGGGTGGTGGACCATTCTTGATACACACGGGAAACTGTTAAGCGCGAAAAACCCAGCAATGTTGCAGTTCTTGACACAAACCGGTGCGCCTGGCACCTACTACCATACCCTGTTCAAAGACACTTAAATATTTTGTCTTGCCCATTCACCCTCTGAATGGCACACATACACAATCCATGTCTCAAGGCTTAAAAATCCTTATTTTAACCCGTCTCCTCCCCTTCATCTACACTGATTGAAGTGGATTTAACAAGTAACATCAATAAGGGATCATAGCTTTCACCTGGATTCACCTGGTCAGTCTATGTCATGGAAAGGGCGGCGCACAATTGGCCCAGCGTCGTCCAGGGTAGGGGAGGGAATGGCCGGCAGGGATGTAGCTCAGTTGATAGAGCATGGCGTTTGCAACGCCAGGGTTGTGGGTTCGATTCCCACGGGGGGCCAGTATAAAAAAAATATGTGTTCACTAACTGTAAATCGCTCTGGATAAGAGCGTCTGCTAAATGACTAAAATGTAAATGTGAAAGAGCAGGTGTTCTTAATGTTTTGTCCACTCAGTGTCTATAACCTGTTTACGACAGGTTATAGACACTGAGTGGACAAAACATTAAGAACACCTGCTCCTGTTTACGACAGGTTATGTGTTCCAAAGCTCCTATTCTGATTATTTCCTTCCAAGCCTTTTTTCTTTTTATTTATTTATTTATTTATTTTACCTTTATTAACTAGGCAAGTTAGTTAAGAACAAACTCTTATTTACAATGACAGCCTACACCAGCCAAACGCTGGGCCAATTGTGCGCCGCCCTATGGGACTCCCAATCACGGCCGGTTGTGATACAGCCTGGAATCGAACCAGGGGGTCTGTAGTGACGCCTCAAGCACTGAGATGCAGTGCCTTAGACCGCTGCGCCACTCGGGAGCCCAGCGGCATTAGTGAAGGTAAGAGGGAACAGGCGAGATGGTGAAAGCACATAGACAGGTCTGGGACCACCAGGCTAACATGATAGGACATAGGCTGGGAAGAGTCAAGTTGTCTTTGATATGAATGATATGGTTTGATTCTTACCAGCCTGTCTTTGATATGAATGATATGGTTTGACTCTTACCAGCCTGTCTTTGATATGAATGATATGGTTTGACTCTTACCAGCCTCTTTGATATGAATGATATGGTTTGACTCTTACCAGCCTGTCTTTGCTGACGATGAGCAGGCCTTTAGCTCCGTTGAGCTGGGCCAGGCGCACCTTCTCGTAGAAGGTGCAGTTCCCCCGCATCACCATGGGGATACGATTGGGGAAGCCACCATCGGGGACGTCTGACGGGAAACACAGGACCGACGGTGTCAGGTCATAGATCTCCAGACGGGACTAGTGGAGACATAAAGGAGGATAGGTTAATAATGGGGCCTTTCTGAATGTTTCATCATGCGCACACACCACACATCAGCATTCTGATTAACTTGTCAGGGCAGCCGTATTTCAAGAGTATCCGCCAGAGAGAACACACACACACACACAAATATCTTTGTCAGACATCTCTCAAGAAGTGACAATAACAGTCGTTTTATAAGTTAGTTTACTCCACTTACTGCTTTGTTGAGGTCCCGAGGTAGACGAGCCCACTGGGAGTTGAAGAAGATGCAGTAATCCTTTCCTTTGCCCTGGCCCTTGTCACTGAAATGGGCCATGCCATATTCCCCTACAACCTGGCAAGAGGGAACGAAAATGTATAATTGATCAAGCCTAAGTGACTCGAAGAGGGGTGAGAGCAACAGACAGAGATGTAACAGTGGCCAGAATAACTTGAGATATTTCATAGACTGGCCAACTGACTCTATATAAAAAAAAGAGTGCAGTATTGAATCTTTCCACCTGCTAGTTAGCTTTACACTGATGCACAAGCTTTAGCTAGACATTTCCAAAACTGACAATACCAGGGAACACGATATGAGAGGCGTCAAGACTATTTGGGAATTCATCTTAAACCACCTTGATACATCAAAAAGGATCAACGTCATGTTACAGAAGGATGTACAGAGGATGTTACTTGCAGATGGGCCCTGGCTGTTGCTACGACTATTCTCAGCGCCCTGGTGTTCTCCGCAAGCTAACAGTCATGTAGCATGCAGGCTAATTGTTAATTATCTCGACAACAAAATACAACAACTACTGTTAAACGTTATATCGGCCACATGCGACTTGATTTACAGATGAATGAATATACATGACACCATCTCACCTGTTTTATGAGAAAAGATGCCCAAACCAGGCTTAGCAAAGCCTTCATGATGCTTGCTTGTTGTCTCCCCATCAACCGCACTGCCCGCACACACAGTGCGGTCACCAGCTGCTTTGCCAGCTCCCGCCCACATTCTATAGTGCGTTTACCATTGGTTTATTTTGATCCCGTACCGAAGTACACGCATTATGATTGGTTTTCATGATGTCAATCAAATATATTAATAAATCCAGAGGTTTTCTGTCAGCATCCATAGCTTAGTGGTCAGCATACTTGGTAACATAATTAGGTGGATGCTTACATTTGTCCTATTTCACTCATGTACATGTTTGGAGAGTGGGGTCAGAGCCAGGGATCAGCCATTATTGATGGCGACCCTGAAGCAATTAGGGTTAAGTGCCTTGCTCAAGGGCACGTCGGCTTTTTTTTCACCTAGTCTGCTTGGGGATTTGAACCAGCAACCTTTCGGTTACTGGACCAACACTCCTAACCACTAAGCTGCCTTGCTAGCTAAACTTGTGATTTACAATATATGGAGCTGCTAAAAAGAGGCTATATTGTGAGCTAAATTTGATTTAATGTATATTATGCTAGCCTGAAACAGTTGAAAATAAATTATTATCTTGGGCTTTTCAGCAGTCAAAGGTTGGAGTTGAGGAGAAAAGGTCAAGTACCTCTGGAAAAGGTTATATCGAGGCCATAAACTGCGAGTTCATGTGAAATAATAGCACGGGTGTGCAATAGGAAAACGGGATCAAAATAAACCAGTGGCCATGAGGTGAGGGTAAGATGGGGGACAGTGAATTTTTTTTTGAAAAGTGTTACATAAGGAAATATAGAATGGGGGAATGCACAAGCCTTCTGGAAGATCTGATGAAGGAGAAGGCGGACATGAAAGGGGAAAAGTGGAACATGTTTTGAGTGAATATGGAGTGGTGGATCACACAGACCTTTGGAAGAGCTACAGAAGGAAATTGAACGTGACAAGTGTGAGGATGAATTAACTGCGGTGGCAGGTGCGGTGAAGACCGCGGTGTTTGAGCCTCGTCCTGATGATGACAACTATGATTAGGGTGCATTGGGAGTAAGATCGCAGATCTATATGTGGTTTCAGGTTGGGTGGAGAAGAGGTTGGGAAATGTGGAGTCGTGTTGATTTTTTGCGTTTCTGCTGTCCAGAGCGAGCGTGCGCTCCACACCACGCGACTGGCGACAAGAACTGTGACTTGCTTTCCTCTCCAGAGCATGGCGCTGTTGAAAGGAGTGATAACTGGAGTAGCATTGTGTTGAGGAGGATCAACTGAAGTTGAAGAATCCCGGTGTCTGTGACACACGCCATTTGGTGTGACACAGACCCGGTGGAGAGTGTGGTGAAACAGAGAAGACACTGTCTGGACTATAGAGTTTTGATGCAGAGTCAGATAAAGTCAAGTCAGGACGTGTCAGTTATACCATGAGAGCTTTTGTCCTGAATCCATGACAGTGTTTTAAGTATCAAGCTTATGGTCATGTGGCAGCAGTGTGTAGGAGGGAGATTCCTAGATGTGAGATGTGTGCAGGAGGACATGAGACAAAGGAATTTCGGTGGGAAAAGTTGTGTGTAAACTGTAGTGGTACCGATGGTGCTGGAGATCAGAGGTGAGGTGAGAGAAAGGCAGGTTGAGGTTGCCAGGTTCAGTTAATAGTGCAGAAAGTGTGGTATGCTGAGGCAGTGAAGAGAGTGGTAGAGGAAGATGGGTCCAGGGTGTGGGATCCTGAGAGGATCCCTGTGAGTGGGCGGAGGCCAATAGAGAGTGATAGGAATAACATGTGCTTCAGTAAGGTTGGTTTTCTGACGTTTATGGCCATGGTTGTCAATTGTACTGCAGGAATGGAACTTAAATCACAAGAGGACAGATGTTGTGGTGGCAACTGCAGAGAAGTACTTGGGTGTACAAGATTTTACTACAGATGAGTTACAAGATGTTTTTAACGATAGTGTCCTGTCCTCCCAGGCTGCTGGCATGGAGTAGGATCAGATAGGGCTAAAGTAGTGGGATAGTGGTGAGGTTTTAATGGGTGCAGGGTTAGTTGGCAGGATATTTTTTTCAGAAAGCGTAATGAATTCATGCTACAGAATAGTAGGCTGATACACAGCCAATACAGTAGGTGGCGGCATGCACGTATAAATGTGTTTGCGGACCGCCATAATACCAACAAAGAAGAAGAAAAAGGTTGGAGTCCGAGAGGCGTGGATGGAACAGTTTCAAAATGGCGGTGAGTCGATAATATCTTCTATAAACGTCGTTATTTACTGTATTTTATGTTACTTAGCAATTGAAACTGCTTGCCTCAAGGAAGTGCAAGAGAGGGCAGAGAAGCGATATTTGCAAGCGTGCTTTTCAGACAGCATCGCGTTGTCAATGAAACCGACAAAAGAAAATAAATTTCAAACAAAAAGAAAAACGACAAAATAACCCAAACTCAGAATATCGTCTTGAAACAAGAGGGCCTCAATACCCGGTTGGGGACGGTCGTTGCAGATAACAATATATTCTGCAAAACCTGCAACATTACGTTAGACTACATAATGTAGATCTAGCGCCCATGTACTATCGTCTACGTTTGATGTGCAATCCCGGTAATACAATCGTGGACCTGCACGTACATAAAGCATCCTCATTCAGGCTGCAAAGGCATTTACCTACTTAACTAGTTTTAATGGCGGGAATAAATGCGTACTTTTATGAAACACAATTTTCCACCACCATTTTCATATTTTCGGACAATTTAGGTTGCACACCGCGTTCAGCCAAGGGTGTGCAACATTCTAAATTGTCCGAAATGGTGGTGGAAAATGAACACGCAGTTCATAGTAGTGGCCAACTCAGGAGACTGCATGTACTAAAGGGTAGCCGCAAAAAGTGGCGGTGAGTCGATTTCTTAACTTTATCTAAAACCACATTTACTCTCCATTTGTTTTCTAGTTCTTACAATTTGAAAATGGTGTATTTCAATTTTAACTACAGTATTCAGACCACTACTAGCCGGAGTGGCGCAGCGGTCTAAGACACTGCATCTCAGCGCTTGAGGCGTCACCAATGCTTGTGGTCCTCTGTAGCTCAATTGGTAGAGCATGGTGCTTGTAACGGCAGGGTAGTGGGTTCGATCCCCGGGACCACCCATACGTAAAAATGTATGCACACATGACTGTAAGTCGCTTTGGATAAAAGTCTCTGCTAAATGGCTTATTATTATTACTACTACTACTACAGACCCCCTGGTTCGATTCCAGGCTGTATCACAACCGGCCGTGATTGGGAGTCCCATAGGGCGGCGCACAATTGGACCAGCGTCGTCCGGGTTTGGCCGGTGTAGGCCGTCATTGTAAATACGAATTTGTTCTTAACTGACTTGCCTAATAAAGGTTTAAAAAAAAAAAAAAAAAGAGTGGGTTGGGATATTTGCTAGCGTTAGGCACAGACTCGACTGTATAGTGTTGTCAACATCAGCGTGCTAAATATCATGCCATGTTCGTAGCCTAGTTCTCCTCTCTCCACAATTTTTAGACTACATTTGAGAAACTGGGTTCTGTTAAATCTGTCCTGTCCTCTCATTCCCTTAATCTGCTTCTTCTATTGGGTTTAACGGCGGTTGGCATCCAATGTTAATGGTGCATTACCGCCACCAGCTGGACAAGGTATTTAACGAGAAAATAAGAAAACATTACAGGAAAGGGGGGAAACCTACATACAAAATAAGACTTCAACAAACAAAAACCCATCACAGTCCATTCCTAAATACATCCCTACACAGGCTCAGGGCGGAACATTCACCGACAGGATTTCTTGCAAGGCCTCGGCTGTGACATTACGAAGACCCAAGAAACATTCAGCTGCTTTCACAATTATTCAAATGTTCTCCACTTGTGCTGTACAGTTTATGACCATTGCAATAAATGATAAAGTCCACCTTAACATGTAACATTTCACGATCCCTCGGTTGGATGCGAAACCGTTCCTTTTCCCTGCCACTCAGTCGACGTGCACCAACCACTCAGTCTTCAGTTATATCATCTGCCTTTACTTCTTGCGCCACCCTAGAAATAACCCCCTTGATAGGCGCCCTGGTTTGAAAATCCATACAGGAAACATTCCACGGCAACATCTTTGAGGCTTAACACACCTCTGCTCCGCAAAAGATCGAAGAAAAAAAAAAACTTGTGACGCTCACCGACTACACACATTCCTCCAAGACATTACAGATTTTCAACAGTTTTGCAAACAGAATCTGTGTTATATAATACACTCAGGTTTTATTTTCTACCTGATAATTGCACCCACCTGGTGTCCCAGGTCAAAAGCAGTCCTTGATTAGAGGGGAAGAATGAAAATCAGCAGTCGAACTGTCTTCAAGGATCAGATTTGAATTTGCCTGGCCTATACTGTCGATTCAATTTAACCCTTTACACTCGTACCCGTATGCGGGTTGAAAATGACCGATTTGGGCACTTATAAGCGCCTAAATTGGAATTCAGGAGAGTCAAACTCATTCCATGGAGGGCCTAGTGTCTGCAGGTTCTTCCTTTCAATTAAGCCCTAGACAACCAGGTGAGGGGAGTTCCTTACTAATTAGTGACCTTAATTCATCAACCACGTAAAAGGGAGGAGTGAAAACGGCGTGCTGTACAGTAACATGCTATAAATCACATCAGAGCTCAGGCTTTATGGGTTTTGACTGATAGCTGTTCTGAACATGAGCACTTCACGCTACAAGAAGTTGCCCCCCCCCCATCCATCCCTCCAGCTAATTGGGCAACTTTTGCAAATGTTGTTGTTGTCTGAGTGAGGGAAATGCTGTAAATTAAGAGGACTCTATGTATTTTGAAAGATGAGACGTTGAGGATTATATAATAAATACCACTTTGATGTCATACAAGCAAGCCAAACACCTGTGATTCCAAATGCACTTCACATTTCCATATCATAAAACTCATGTCACATACAGTGTCAATGTTTAGGATCACTATGTTTGATGTACTGTTAGGAGATGACATGACATCATACCCTGGGTTTTTCTGAACAGAATGGTTGTCTATTGTGAAGAGAATTTGCGTGCGGAACACGCACCTGAATGCACTATTTCCAGGAATATCCTTATCATGTTACTGAATGTATCCAGAGTATTTGTTATCAACAAATGCAGCGAAAAGTACAATAATTGTAAAATGCACATTAAAAACTGTAATGTTTGGATTCAGTCTTGTCAGGTGAACTGTTGTGTCCTTGCCTTGCTCTAATTTTTCCATAATCTCCAAACTGTTCCCTTTTAATTGCTACCGTTCGTATGCATATGCTTTTCAGATTTCTTCTGTAAGAAACATTTCAATTTTTTTTAAAAAAAAAAGTCCATGATTTGACTCAATTCAAATGGACCTGATCCCCAGCCCTGTCAGTTTCCCATGTCAAATACTCCTATTGAAATAATAATAATTTGTCAAATAAAAACAATCTACATTTTCAGCATACGAATGGATAAAACTGACGGTGCTGCGGCCCACTTGGCGGCATGATTAGACTATAGGGTTAGAATATCAACCCAATCCTTACATTCTATGGCACATTTTCCTTTTCAGGACAGAAACAAGGAAGGAGAGAAGAGAAAGAAGGAGAGTATCTTCGACCTGTCCAAGTACATCGATAAACAGATCCGTGTCAAGTTCCAGGGAGGACGAGAGGGTGAATCACTTTTAACCTTTTCGTCTAGCTATTGAAAAGAAAGTGAAGATCATACATACTTAGTCCTTTTTCATTACTATGTTAAAACCTGAAGAAGGGAGGAGAGGGGGGGAGAAAAATACTGTGGGACTTGGTGCTTCCAAAAGAGAACACTGGCAACCTTTTGCCTGTCTGGAAATGCTGTTCCGTGACAGGTCAAAGTCCCCATTTTCTTCCCTGCCGTTTTGCTTCCATTCAAGATAATAATCCTTATTTATTTGTGTCAGCCAGTGGAGTCCTGAAGGGGTTTGACCCCCTGTTGAACCTGGTATTGGACAGCACCATTGAGTACTTGCGAGGTATGTAGCCGAAACTAAGTCTTGCTTGAATGATCTCATATCACTTCTACAGAAGTGAAAATGCACTCCTGTGATGTTGCCCTTCAGTTAAAAAATTGACAATGAAACAAGGTCCTATCATTTGCCATTTTCTAAAGAAGGTTGTGCTGGGACATTCATGGTGGAGTTTCACATACTATCAATGACCTCTGACCTGTTATGCCACTTCCTTCTCCAATAAAATGTGGTTTGATTTGTTATTTCCAGACCCTGATGACCAGTTCAAGCTGACCGAGGACACGCGACAGCTGGGCCTGGTGGTGTGTCGAGGGACCTCAGTGGTGCTCATCTGTCCTCAGGACGGCATGGAGGCCATCCCCAACCCCTTCATCCAGCAGCAGGACGGATAGTTCGCCAGCCTTGTGCCTCTTGATTACCTCACAGTAGCCCAATTCCTGGGGTGAATCTTAATTGTATTTCCTTGATTCCACAAGTCCTCTCCTTGCTTCCAATATGCTTTGAAAAGTTGACAAGGTAGGAGGACGTGAGGAATCAAGGAAATATTATTGAGCTTCACTACTATTCTCACCTGCCCCTTCTACCTGAGGTGTACTTCATGTTCACTTCCATCAGCCCCACACGTTTTTCTGAGTCCCTATAAATCAGGAAAATTATTTTGTTGTAGTTTAATTGGTGTCACCAGCCTGAATGTTGATCTAGTAGGCAGTAGAAAATGGTGTGATAAGCGTGTGTTTTGTTTAGAAATGAGGAATAGTGGTTTAAATGTTCATTTGGGGGGTGGAGTTTGTCTGACTAGATAAGTGAAAACAAATTTTTGCTGTGATGGTAAACATAAAAAAATAACTTTTTACTATAGTTTTCCCTAAGTCAGGCCAGGTTTGAACGTTATGGCATATTATGTTTTTACATTACAAATGTAATAAATTTACTATTTTCTTTAATGATGTGTGTCTTCCGTGTTTTGCATTGTCTTTGAACGTTTAGAATATGGCCCAATTGGAGTAAATAATTGGGATTCATTGAAGCTATTTGAGAGTTAAGGTTCAGCTTTTTTTTGTTGAAAATCAGAGTTCATTGCTCTTTCAGACAGTAATAATTGCCTTTGCAAGTTCAAGCTTGTGCACGCACAACGATGAAGTCAGTATGATGTCATTCCATATGGTCCATCCTCCTGTCTGAAAGTGCTGTCATTTTCTTTAACCACCGGAAATTTGACTCAGGAGAGGAATGCAGGACCCGTAGCCAGTTATAATGTAAGTATCTGACTTGTAATTTTTATAGACAGTAAGGAACGATAAACTACAATCTCGTGTCGGCTGACGTTATATAAAAATTGATGAGCGATAGGTTCGAATCCTGTTCGCTAGCTAACGTTAACTAATTAGTACATGTAGCTAGCTAGCTAATACATTAGCTAGCTATCTAATATAGCATTACCAGCAAGCTTTGTAAAAAATGTAGCTATATTTTCTGAAGAATTTGGTTATGCCACGACCCATTCTCACGGCAAGAGTTTGGGGTTTAATGTTTGTTGTTATTTCTAGGAAAAAGTTAGCCGCATCCCGCTAGCTCACAGACTCCAAACGGTAGTTAGCCAGTTAGCAGCTAGTTAGCTACATATGGCTAAAGTTCCGTTTTTGCTTGTCAACAAAAAAATACATACATTTGCGGTGTAATGTTACCGTAAATACTATGGATTAACAATATGAAACCATTGTTTTCCTCGATCTGGGTATCAAACGGTTATCTAATGTTAAAACCGCAGTGAGACCCTTTAATCAGCTAGTAGTTGATGGAAGAAGATGACGTAAGTAAGACTGGTATGCAGAGTTCTTACTCCGACTAGCCAAGTTTTTCTTCTCAACTCCACAATGTTCATCACATACGTACATATCGTGAAGTCGAAGAAACCCAGCTAATCTGCTGTGTTGACTTTGGCCAAATAAGGACGACCACTTTTTGAAGTTTGGGGGGGTTATGCACATCATTGGTTGGGGGTGAATTTGTTCAGTGTCAAGTAGTTACATCAATTTACTGTATGTGTGTAAACTGATTGTATTGACCCCCCTTGTCGCTAAATTATGCAGCCTATGGCATGCCTACTGTCAATCTATGACATGTAGTATGGATTTGAGCTATTTCTGCTCATGTCAGCATCACATAAGTCTATCATTGCCATGTTATGGGTCTTCATTTCCCTGGAAGGTACTAATAATCATGTTTCCCCTGTTCTGTAATTCAGTGTGATTCAAGACAGCTTCTATCAGCAGAAACCTAGTCAGACCATGGCTGGCTTCAGGCAAGAGGATGTGGAGGTGTTTTATGATATGGGGGAGGAGCTGGGGAGGTAAGATCTGACTCGTCTGTCTGTGTACAGTGTTGCTGGAGGAGGATACAATGCAGACTCCATTCAGCTCTCTCAATGTGTCAGTGGGCAGAATTTGCACATTAGGACGAGTAAGGAAAACTCCTACCCAGCGTGAGGCACACTGGGAGAACGCAATGAAGTGTGCCTACCGTTCCATCAATTCCATTCCAGCCATTACAATGAGCCTGTCCTCCTATAGCTCCACCCACCTCTGTTGCCTACTGATTCATATGTTTTGAATTAAGTGTTAGGATGTATGAGTACAGATCTCTCTTCACCTTTAGTAACTCTTGTATGTGAAGTGAAGGCACACTGTGGTCCTCTGTAGCTCAGCTGGTAGAGCACGGCGCTTGTAACGCCAAGGTAGTGGGTTCGATCCCCGGGACCACCCATACACAAAAATGTATGCACGCATGACTAAGTCGCTTTGGATAAAAGCGTCTGCTAAATGGCATATTATTATTATTATTATTTATTATTATAAGTGAAACACTATATTTCTGCAAAGATCTTAAATATTGATTGTTGAGCTCTCTTAATGATACAATCCAAATACCACGTAATTGACTTGAAATCCCATAGCTGGATGAAAACATCCATTGGCAAATTCCCAGTGTATTTGTGGGACTGTTTATTCAACAGCGTAGAACTCTCTGTCCTGTTATGCAAGCCTGCTCTGTGTTTTTAACAGGTCCTTGTAAACTAAACAGAGTCGGAACACTAAAATGAATAATGTGCTTCTACAGGATTAAACCTGACTTTGTTCCAAATGGCACCCTATTCCCTACATAGCACATTACTTTAGACCAGGCTAAAGTAGTGCACTATAAAGGGAATAGGGTGCCATTTGGGACATACTAAACCTGACTTCCTACCTTTATATGGAAGTATGGGGGGGGGGGGGGGCTGAGTTTGCTCAGAAAGGGCTTGCAGACATACACTACCGGTCAAACGTTTTAGAACACCTACTCATTCAAGGGTTTTTCTTTATTTTTACTATTTTCTACATTGTAGAATAATAGTGAAGACATCAAAGCCATTAAATAACAAATGGAACATTGTAGTAACCAAAAAAGTGTTAAACAAATCAAAATATATTTTATATTTGAGATTCTTCAAAGTAGCCACCCTTTGCCTTGATGACAGCTTTGCACACTTTTGGCATTCTCTCAACCAGCTTCACCTGGAATGATTTTCCAACACTCTTGAAGGAGTTCCCACATATGCTGGGCACTTGTTGGCTGCTTTTCATTCACTCTGCGGTCCGACTCATCCCAAACCATCTCAATTGGGTTGAGGTCGGGGGATTGTGGAGGCCAGATCATCTGATGCAGCACTCCATCACTCTCCTTCTTGGTAAAATAGCCCTTACACAGCCTGGAGGTGTGTTGGGTCATTGTCCTGTTGAAAATCAAATGATAGTCCCACTAAGCCCAAACCAGATGGGATGGTGTATCACTGCAGAATGCTGTGGTAGCCATGCTGGTTAAGTGTGCCTTGAATTCTAAATAAATCACAGACAGTGTCACCAGCAAAGCACCCCCATACCATAACACCACCACCTCCATGCTTTACGGTGGGAAGTACACATGCGGAGATCATCTGTTCACCCACACAGAGTCTCACAAAGACAAGGCAGTTGGAACCAAAAATCTCAAATTTGGACACCAGACTGAAGAACACATTTCCACCGGTCTAATGTCCATTGCGCGTGTTTCTTGGCCCAAGCAAGTCTCTTCTTATTATTGGTGTCCTTTAGTAGTGGTTTCTTTGCAGCAATTTGACCATGAAGGCCTGATTCACACAGTCTCCTCTGAACAGTTGATGTTGAGATGTGTCTGTTACTTGAACTCTGTGAAGCATTTATTTGGGCTGCAATTTCTGAGGCTGGTAACTCTAATGAGGCTGGTAACTCTATCCTCTGCAGCAGAGGTAACTCTGGGTCTTCCATTCCTGTGGCGGTCCTCATGAGAGCCAGTTTCATCATAGCGATTGATGGTTTTTGCGACTGCACCTGAAGAAACTTTCAAAGTTCTTGTCTTAAAGTAATGATGGACTGTCATTTCTCTTTGCTTATTTGAGCTGTTCTTGCCATAATATGCACTTGGTCTTTTACCAAATAGGGCTATCTTCTGTATACCACCCCTACCTTGTCACAACACAACTGATTGGCTGAAACGCATTAAGAAGGAAAGAAATTCCACAAATTAACTTTTAAGAAGGCACACCTGTTAATTGAAATGTATTCCAGGTGACTACCTCATGAAGCTGGTTGAGAGAATGCCAAGAGTGTGCAAAGCTGTCATCAAGGCAAAGGGTGGCTATTTGAAGAATCTCAAATATATATTTTGATTTGTTTAACACTTTCTTGGTTACTACAAGATTCCATATGTGTTATTTCATAGTTTTGATGTCTTCACTGTTATTCTACGATGTAGAAAATAAAGAAAAACCCTTGAATGAGTAGGTGTTCTAAAACTTTTGACCGGTAGTGTATATTAAATGGCAGAGCAGAACATTCAGTTCTTTGCAGACAGACAAGCGCTGTAGACATAACTTTAGGAAGGGATAGACCCTCTGGAATGCAGCATTTATAGCTGCTTCTTCTTATAGCGTTATCATGTGGTAAATCAAATGGTAGGTGTAAATGTTTATTTTTAAAAAAAAATGCCGCCCACTTTACATGTTTGCATAGTCTTTATCTTATTACATAAAAGTTACGAAAGTGCCAGCCAGTGTGTTGCAATGCGGCCAGTGAACACTATCGTATACAATTTGTAGTCAAGAATCCTACATCGCTTTAAATCGGGATTTTCCCCAGATTAGCTATCTGAATGTGGCCCAGTCACTCTTTCTTGTGTTTCCGATGTTTATTTACATATTATACTATGTATCATCATCAACCTCATGATGTCATTACCTCTCCTAGCGGACAATTCGCCATCGTACGGAAGTGTAAAGACAAGAGCTCTGGCTCGGAGTACGCCGCCAAGTTAATCAAGAAGCGTCGCCTGTCGTCCAGCCGCCGGGGCGTGAGCCGTGAGGAGATCGAGAGGGAGGTGAGAGAACCACAATTGAAATAAGAATTCAGGCTTTGTGTTTTATCCTCAATCATTGTATGTACTGGACCAGCTTTATGTATTTTTTTAAAAATAATCAAATAAAATTCAAGGTGAACATCCTGAGAGAGATCCAGCACAGCAACATCATCACGCTACACGACATCTTCGAGAACAAGACGGACGTCATCCTCATCCTGGAGCTGTGAGTAGAGCTACACCAGTTGATATTAGGGGCTGATCTAGCTGATCTGGGATCAGGTCCTCCCTGTCCATGTAATCTGATTCACTATGATCTAAAAGACAAAACTGATCCTAAAGCAGCACTCTCACTCTGAGCCCCAGACCTGTACTCTAATAGGAGATTGATAAATGGATAAAATATTGTTATTTTTTAAACCCGTTCTGTGGTGTGTGTCCCAGGGTGTCTGGAGGGGAGCTGTTTGACTTCCTGGCAGAGAAGGAGTCTCTAACAGAGGAGGAGGCCACACAGTTCCTCAAACAGATCCTGGACGGGGTCCACTACCTACACTCCAAACGCATCGCACACTTTGACCTCAAGGTACACAGACAGACACATACACACATTCTGGATGGGGTCCACTACCTACACTCCAAACGCATCGCACACTTTGACCTCAAGGTACACAGACAGACACATACACACATTCTGGATGGGGTCCACTACCTACACTCCAAACGCATCGCACACTTTGACCTCAAGGTACACAGACAGACACATACACACATTCTGGATGGGGTCCACTACCTACACTCCAAACGCATCGCACACTTTGACCTCAAGCTACACAGACAGACACATACACACATTCTGGTGGGGGTCCACTGCCTACACTCCAAACGCATCGTACACTTTGACCTGAAGGTGGGTAGGGTGGACTCTGGGGAAGGAGAAGCCAGGCTGGCATTGTAAACGAAAGGGCCATCTTGACATGACGTATTTCTTTAAACTCCCACTGGAGCGGCCCGGCTCCTCATTCAATGTATAACTTGATAAGACTTTTGAGTCATTGGAACGTCAGTGAAACGTCCGAAAGATTTCCAGCATTTGACAAATATAAAGTTTGTCTTAAAAAAACAACAACATCTGTATTGTATTAATATTATTATCTGCATTCTGAAATGTTTGTTTGTGTTGTAGCCGGAGAACATCATGCTGCTTGATAAGAACGTTCCCAACCCCAGGATCAAACTCATCGACTTTGGCATCGCTCATCAGATCAAAGCTGGAAATGAGTTTAAGAACATCTTCGGAACGCCAGAGTTTGTTGGTGAGACCATAGAGAGATGTTTGTAATATGTATTCATAATATAATAATTTGGTGTTCCACGTATATTTCGTATTTTTCTACATATTCCTTTTCCTTATTAAAACATACAGTATATCTTTATACATTTTTATATTATTTATTTTTTTGTCATTTTTACCCCCTTTTTCTCCCCAATTTCGTGATTTCGATCTTGTCTCGTCCACTGCAACTCGTCCTCCGAAACATGACCCGCCAAGCCGCGCTTCTTAACACCCGCTCGCTTAACCCGGAAGCCAGCCGCACCAACGTGTCGGAGGAAACACCGTTCAACTGACGACCGAAGTCAGCCTGCAGGCGCCCGGCCCGCCACAAGGAGTCGCTAGAGTGCGATGAGCCCACCCGGCCAAACCCTCCCCTAATCCGGACGACACTGGGCCAATTGTGTGCCGCAATATGGGACTCCCGGTCACGGCCGGTTGTGACACAGCCTGGGATCGAACCCCAGGCTGTAGTGACGCTGCAACACTACAATGCAGTGCCTTAGACCGCTGCGCCACTCGGGAGGCACATACACTATATATCTTTAAAATAAAAAAAATCCACAATGAGCTTATTGTTATGGAATGGGGAAAATATTCCTTCATATTTGTTTTAATAAGTGAAGGTCTGTGTGTTGAGATCTCCCTGAAGACCATCTGGGATGAATTAAAGCTTTAAAGCAGTACTGGTAATAATCCTGCTTGTTTTACAGCTCCAGAGATAGTCAACTATGAACCACTCGGACTGGAGGCTGACATGTGGTAAAATGGACTAAGATGATTATAAATGTTTTTCTGATTTTTGAGAATGTTTTGTTGTTATTGTTGTTTCTTTACCCTTAAGGTAAATCTCACTAATTTGATGTCCTCTTGTTTCTCCAGGAGTATTGGCGTTATCACATACATTCTGTAAGTACTGCTTCACATTACAATGGTATCAGTTGAGCAACATAAATAGTGTCAAACATTGTGAGATTATTTCTAAATCTACAGATTTTTTTTTTGTCATATCCTGTACCTGTATTACAAATGGACTACACAAGTGAACGTTACTTCGGAGTAATTCAATAATTTACATGATGAAATAGCAAATAAGTTATTGTATATAACATTTGGCCGTGGCCTGAAAGATGACATGATACCACTGTTTAACCTTAGGTTGAGTGTTCACAATATGCTGTTGGTCTTCCTCAGTTTGAGTGGTGCCTCTCCGTTCCTGGGGGAGACAAAGCAGGAGACTCTGACCAACATCTCAGCGGTCAACTATGACTTTGACGAGGAGTACTTCAGCAACACCAGTGAGCTGGCCAAGGACTTCATCAGACGCCTGCTGGTCAAGGATCCCAAGTAAGGCTGCTGCACTGTGGATAGAATAGGCCCAGGAATACTCTAGAACACACACAGGGACATGACAGTAGTCATTTTGTTTTTGTTTGTCTTGTTAGTTAATATATCATTGTAGGGACCCTAGCAAGAGATGAACGTTTACTCAATCTGCACCATAGCCTTGGAGAACTTTGGTCTTCAGTGGAAATGATAGAATTGCAATTAGTAAGGCATGACAGTAAAGCAGAAAGTACTATTGGATTCTTTCTCCAGGAAGAGAATGACTATCGATGACAGCCTTCAGCATCCCTGGATCAAGGTAGGCATCTCTCACAATCTCATACATATTTTACTAAGAGTGTCCCTCTGCCCTCTTTCATTTATAAAGCAACTGTTGGCTTTTTGCACCTGTTTTACTGATGTTTTACTGATGTTTTTTTGACCCTCTTTATCTACTATCCATTAACACCCCTCTCCTCCCAGGTGATCAAAAGGCGGAACGTGCGCCAGGAGGAGAGCGGGAAGAAGCCGGAGCGCAGGCGCCTGAAGACCACGCGTCTAAAGGAGTACACCATCAAGTCCCACTCCTCCATGCCCCCCAACAACACCTACGTCAACTTCGAACGCTTCTCCCAGGTGCTGGAGGAGATCGCTGCTGCCGAGGAGGGGCTGAGAGACCTGGAACAAAACCAGAGGTAAGAGGTAGGAGGAGGAGGTGGTGGTAGGAGGAGGAGGTGGTAGGGCGGAGGAGGAGGTGGTAGGGAGGTAGTGGGAGGGAGGGAGAAACAGATGGATGGACGGATGAATTAATTAATTAGATTATTAAAAATGCATATAAAGCCTCTGTAATTGGATACAACATATCTATACCATACATTCTAACATCTCCCTCACTTCTCCAGGTCGTGCCGGGAGGACGTGGCTGCTCTCCTGTCTATCTACGATGAGAAAGAGGGCTGGTACAAGGAGGAGAACCAGAGCATTGCCAGCGACCTGAGTCACATCCGCCAGGAGCTGCAGCGTACCCAGGCCCAGCGCAGGCAGAGCCAGGAGGACGCCCGCGCCACCATGCTGGCTGCTAATGCCCTCAAGAGGAGGTTTGGCCGTCTGGAGAACCGCTACGAGGTCTTGGCAGAACAGGTGGCGTCAGAGGTGCGCTGGGTGGAGGAGCTGGTCAGGGGGATAGAGAAGGAGAAGGACAGCCTCGTTATGCCCTGAGGCCAGCCTGGCATCTAGTATCACTGACCTGGTCAGGCCCTGAGGCCAGCCTGGCTTCTAGTATCACTGACCTGGTCAGGCCCTGAGGCCAGCCTAGTTTGGTACAGACACCGGTCTTATATATCCGCTGTCATCAGATTCAGAATGAGGGCCCATTTTCCCTTTCTAATGAGAGCACCAACAATGTATAGAGTCTCTCCCTACTATGACTACGTTTAATCAACAAAATGTGTGTTCAATGAATGTCCATTCCAGTATTTTCTAAATTAATTTATAACGTTGAAAATGGTCAAGATTGTCATTAGTTTTTGCAGTATATTTGGTTAAGATGGCGATACATATAGGAAGGTTTTCTGCACCTGCAATAATTTTCCTATAGAGTTTTTAGCCCCATACTTAAAGGGATACGTGGTGAAAAGGCTATAGAGAGCTGCTACAGTCCTGGATTGGCTCGGCACGCCCAAGTAATGAGCAATATTCAGCCCCATAACATGTATCATTAACAGCTGATTATGATTAACCAATAAGGCCAGAGGGGCGTGGTATACGGACAATATACCACGGCTAAGGGCTGTTCTTATACACGACGCAACGCGGAGTGCCTGGATACAGCCCTTAGCCGTGGTATATTGGCCATATACCACAAACCCCCTGAGGTGCCTTATTGCTATTATAAACTGGTTACCAACGTAATTAGAGCAGTAAAAATACATGTTTTGTCATACCCGTGGTATACAGTCTGATATACCACGGCTGTCAAGACAATCAGCATTCAGGGCTCGAACCGCCCAGTTGATAAGTAACAACATGGTAGAAACAGTAGGACGTTCGTGTCCATGTGTTATAGGGAGATTCCATTCATCTTATTGGACACCAGGCTACCTATTCCATACCACGTCACTCACAACTGTCTTGCTGTGCTGCGATGCAAAGCTACAGACGAAGATGCAGATACTATACTTGTCTTACGTATGGAGAGAGTCGTCTTAAGATGAATAGATTGTACAAACCTGTTTTGCAACTTGCACGCAGCCTGTACATTGAACACCTTATTGCCTATACATAAGCTAAATCAAATGTGTAGTCATGTCTAAACCTGTTCATGAATAATGTAGTCTGGTGACTGTCCCATCAAAACGTTTTAAGGCTGGTTTCCCGGACACAGATTAAGCCTTGGACTAAAAACCATGGTCAATGGAGAATCTCCATTTTGAAAATAGCTTTTTAGTTCAGGATTTAGCTTAATCTGTGTCCGGGAAACCGTCCCTTTTGAATACAACTATTGCACAGTAGCCTCATACCAAATGATCTGCATGTCTAGCTGCTACTATATTTGAATGATTATTTTAGTTAGCCTTTTGTCACCATGACCCCACACTTCAGACATTCCATGAGTTGGTCTTAAATCTATGCATCACATTCCATGTTCCGTATAGAACCCTATGAACTGTATATTTCCCTAGTTTAATATACTCTTTTGCACATAAATATAGCCGTGTTCCAAACTATTTCCCATTCAAAACATTTGTTTTATGTACCCTAAACGTATAATTGGTATGTTTTGTTAAGTTAGAATGATGACAGATTTTAGATAGGGTTTTGTTTCAAATAAACAAACTCAAATACATCTAAATGAACTTTTCTGGTGTATATTTTTTCTGTCCATTGAGATAGGAAAGACAAACTGTTGAGGGGGAAAAAAGATTCACACTTACATAATGCAAACCGTTGACCTGCTGAAGTCTTGGAGTTGTTTCCCAAATGGCACCCTATCCCCTTTATAGTGCACTACTTTTTACCTGTTCCCTATGGGCCCTGTTCAAAAGTAGTGCCCTATATAGGGAATAGGTTGCCATTCGTGATTCACATGAAATCTCCTTAGGCACAGTATAGGTCTATTATTTTCAGTAGTAGTTGGCATGTGATCAATCTTCTACAAAATTATTTGTTTAAAAACCAGTGAGATGGAATGTGCCGGGGTGACCGGGGAGTACACTGTATGCTAGTCCTGGCATGGTAAAATAAACGGCTAAGCTTCTGTATGAGCAAGAAGTAGTGAAAGACTGGGTATTGGTTTTGTATGCTAGGACATTTGGACAAAGGTAAGTGAGATGTTTTTGTTGACAGATGACTCCTTTACAGTGGGGTTAGACAGCAAACTCAAGTATATATCTGAGGGAAACTCGTAAAAAGTCAATGGGACCAAAGAGTGTTTGTGTGAAACTACTCCTGGCTTTATCTTTTCTCAAGGCATCAGCTTTCGGGATTTAACAGGTCCAGATTCTAATTTTTTGGACTCATCTCATCATTCAGGACATAAAAAGGATCCTTCCACCTAGAGTTTATGAAACTGTTGTCTCAAACTCTTTCCATAGTCACTCAGAACTAAGGAATATGATCTTTGTCATTCAACGCAACCCCTGTTCCCTTCGACAACATGGTTTGGTGTAACAGTTAAGTCGTCCGGGACTTGTAACCTGGTGATGGCAGTGCTGCTGAGGTCGGTGGTGTCCCTCATCGTGTTGTGGGCCACCTCTCTCCACGGGAATATATCCAATAAGGGTGACATTTTTGGTTGACTTCATGTTAGTTGACAACTCAACCAAATATAAATAAAAACTAGATGTTGAACCGACGTCTGTTCCCAGTGGGTTCCTCCCTATCTGGGTACAAGCATCCTGTCCAGGGGGTGTACTTAAATCACACTGCCTCACTCTACAGAAACAGGAGATAGTCTCCAGTCCCTATGGGCTGTTCTGGCTCGGATAAGGCTTACTTGCCCAAGGTGTTACGTCCCCTCAAGACAAACTCAAAATGTCGCTCACAACAAAGGGAACAAACAAAGAAAATCACTGACAACCAAACAAAACAGAAAGGTGTTCAAAAAGGTTTCTGAAAGGCACCCATGTGGATGCCCACTGAAAGTTGGCAAAGCAACTAGTAAGGGGTTCTAAAAGACACCCCACCATGGATGCCCACTAGGTTAGCCTCCGAAAAGACAAACTAAAAGAAAAACCCACAACAATTTAAGATAGACCAAAACAAACAGGGGAAACACCGACACTCAGGCTTCTTTCAAACTTAAATAGGTCGAACTCGCACCACAGCTGACGTAAAGTGTAGCTCTCCCCAACATCTCTCAAGCTCAACTGGAGCACTGGGCTAACCACTCCTGAATAGCACCTTGGCCAACACAGGTGAAACACCTTCCTACTAACGAGATGGCAACCAGCACAGGTGTAACACATTGGTGACACCAATCGGTGCGACCTACGTGCTAACGAGCTATATGCGCTAAAAATCCAACGTCAAAACGTCAATAGAAAAACCAAAGCCTGTAACAAAGGCTTACTTACTTTTATCCCAGGCTACGCTGTCTGTACAATAACTCGAACCAGAGCTTATTGTGTGTTTACCGGTACGATCTAAACTCCAGTACACAGGCGCTGACGGAGAAGATGGAGGGAGGCAAAGGTCGTGTGAGAGAAATATATAAAATAATAATAATAATACAATTGTAAAGTGGTTGTCCCACTGGCTATCAGAAGGTGAATGCACCAATTTGTAAGTCGCTCTAGATAAGAGCGTCTACTAAATGACGTAAATGTAATGTAAATGTGGAAAGACCAGCAGGCCTTGCAGGAGGCCGAGCCAGGAGAGCCACGCTGGAGTAGGAGATGGAGGTTGTTGCTGAGAGACTGAAAGAGACTAACATGTCCCCGAGTCTGTCTGCAGGAGAATGTGTGTTTACGTTTAGCCTCCAATACCACTTTTAAACATGTTTGACGTCCTCGTTCATGTTCAGAATGTATACTGTAGATAGATTGTATGCTGTTTATGTTCAGAATACTCCTCTTTGGAGACAATCATATATAATAACAGATACAGTTCATATAAGGGAATCAGTCAATTGAAATAAATAAATTAGGCCTTAATCTATGGATTTCACATGACTGGGCAGGGGCGCAGCCATGGGTGGGCCAGGCCCAGCCAATCAGAATGAGTTTTTCCCCACAAAAGGGCTTTATTACAGACAGAAATACTCCTCAGTTTCATCAGCTAATAATAATAATAATAATATGCCATTTAGCAGACGCTTTTATCCAAAGCGACTTACAGTCATGCGTGCATACATTTTTGTGTATGGGTGGTCCCGGGGATCGAACCCACTACCTTGGCGTTACAAGCGCCGTGCTCTACCAGCTGAGCTACAGAGGACCACAGAGGATCAGCTGTCCAGGTGGCTGGTGTCAGACGATCCAGCAGGTGAAGAAGCCGGATGTGGAAGTCCTGGGCTGGCGTGGTTATACGTGGTCTATGGTTGTGAGGCCAAATTCTCTAAAACGACGTTGGAGGTGGCTTATGGTAGAGAAAATAACATTCAATTATCTGGCAACAGCTCTGGCGGACATTCCTGTAGTCAGTATGCCAATTACACGCTCGCTCAAAACTTGAGACATCTGTGGTATTGTGTTGTGTGACAAAACTGCACATTGTAGAGTGGCCTTTTATTGTCCCCAGCACAAGGTGCACCTGTGTAATGATCATGCTGTTTAATCAGTTTCTTGATATGCCACACCCGTCAGGTGGATGGATTATCTTGGCAAAGGAGAAATGCTCACTAACAGGGATGTAAACAAATGTGTGCACAAAATTGAAGAGAAATAAGCTTTTTGTGCGTACGGAACATTTCTGGGATCTTTTATTTCATCTCATGAAACATGGGACCAACACTTTACATGTTGCGTTTATATTTTTGTTCAGTACATACAGTACCAGTCAAAAGTTTGGACACACCTACTCATTCAGGAGAACCCATCTGAGAAAGATACATTATAGTATAATAATATATAATATCTGCCATTTAGCAGATGCTTTTATCCGAAGCGGCTTACAGTCATGCGTGCATACATTTTACATATGGGACAAAACCTTTGGTCAAAACTATCCAATGCTAAAACAACATATCCATGTTGACTTTCAGAGGCTGAAGTATTGCTTTGTATGCAGGCAATGTTGCATGAGAATGAAACAGCA